CATCCGATTGAATGGCCTCATTCTTCGCTTTCTGAGCAGGATATACTGGACATGTTACCTTCAGCGTACCGGCAAGAATATTCAATCTCACTTCCTCGCCAGTATGATAAAACACAATTATCTTACTATTGTCAGATCAAATTCTGTTCCCGGTATGATTTCTTTATTTTTAAGGAGACAGCTGTGAAAGGCTTTCGCAGCTGATTTCTATATATCTTCTATTCCAAGATACTAACTGTGTTCTGTTCTCCAGTCATTCACAGACAATTACCACTGGAAATTTTATTAAATACCAGTCTTCAATAGCATATGTGAGTTGTGGTATAAAGCATTATACACAATCAGAATGCTTCTTCTTTCTTTTATTACAGCCTTGGGTACGGAACGGAAATACAGATAAGGCAACAACTCTTCCTTTCTATTGTTCTTCTAAGAGATGGGTATTGTCAGGATTACAAAGTAAAGTTGAGCCGGCATTTATGATCGATATAGATAATGTTTACAGACAGGTATCAGTTGATATTAATACTAGACAAGATCTAGTATACTGTTCATGGAATATTGATTTTATGTAAATAACAAATTATTATATTCTGGTCTTTTACTACTTTCGTATGATTATATATTACTTCTGAGAATATTTTGTATAAGAATCTTACTATTATTTAAGGAGTGTAACCAGATAATCTCTAGAAATTATGATTAATATTTGTTATATATCTATAAAATACCAGATAATGTCTAGAAATTATGATTAATATTTGTTATATATCTATAAAATACCAGATAATGTCTAGAAATTATGATTAATATTTGTTATATATCTATAAAATACAGTTTCTGTTCATAAGTAATAGATATCTTCCGTATCTAATCTATTTTATTACAGAACTATTCTTGTTAAATTATAATTACATAATAGTTTCTGAATCGTATTCAACTTTAACAACGTTTGTATGTAATTACCCGGTTTGGGTGAGGTTGTATCGTTAGTAATTATTATTATATGTAAATAATAATAAATAACTGTTTTGCAACTGTAAGCAACTGTAACACAACCTAGCTACAACCTAACTGTTACTGTAGGTAACAGTTTGACAACTATTATGAAATGGTCAGTGAGTGTGGCAAACTATTAAATATATATAAATAATAGTAAGCTACCATCTTTGACTTTTACTGAACTATGCTGTGACCCTCTCTACGCACGCCTCCGGGCCCCTATGTAGGTAGGTAGGTAGGTAGGTAGGTAGGTAGGTAGGTAGGTAGGTAGGTAGGTAGGTAGTCAAGGTAGCTTTTCACTTGAGACCCGATAATTATTTATTCCTTTTGAGGATGGATGGATGGATGGATGGATATAAGATCTTTAATCCGGAAGAGGGCGATTGGATGATGATTTATTTATTTACTATATATACCCCCCTCTAGTTAGTACTCGGATTGATATACATAATTGATAGACGGATACTAGTAGATAGGTAGCTAGGGACGGGGGGAGCATGTCTGTATGTATATATATATGTATGTATGTATGCATTTGTTTATTCACGAGAAATTAGAAGCTTAAACCAGGAAGAATGGGGTTGATGGGTGGGTAACTAAAACTGGGTATCTATCAATAGCACTGGTACTGGGGTTTGTTTGCTTGTGAATTGAAGGAGGGAAGGAAGGAAGGAAGGAGGATCAATCAATAAATCAGCCAATCAATTTCTGCGGGATATCTTGGTTTTCATTTTCATTTCTGGATGAGTGTTGTTGTGAATGGGTGGGTCATTAGGGCATGTATGCGTGTGTATATGTGTGGTATGTGTGAGGTATGTGTGTGTGTGTGTGTATGGGTGTACGTGTATATGGCAGGGTATTTCCATGATCATGCTCATGCTCATGCTCATGATGAATCATAATAGATCAATGAATCAAATATTCAACAAACCAACCAAACATCACCAATCAGTTATTCATCCGGATGGAAATATCGCAGGGCCCATAAACTGTAAATATAAACGAGTGTCGTGAAGAAAAGCGTTAGTTGTCTGTCTGTCCGTCCGTCTTGGTTCATCTGTCGTCAGTTTCAGTTTCAGTTTCAGTTTCACACCCCCCCCCCCCCCCTCTAAGAGTATGTTTCTTTCTTTCTATATTTGTCTGCGCACATGGGTGTATATCAACAAAACAACCAATCAAAAAGCCACCCCCACCGCCGAAAGCCGATAATTCTCATAATACTCAGTATGAAACTCGTCCTGGTCACGGGGAGAAGGAGAAGAAGAAGGAGGAGGAATCTGACCCTCGCCCTCATAGATCGTCGGGACCGGATACTGGTACGGATACTGGTAGATGCCAGGGCTAGACTCCTCGGTGACGGACGCGAAGGTCTGCTTCTGCTTGGGGAGGAATGGACTGTCGAGGGGGAGGTCGAAGTCTCCCTCCATATCCCTCCCCCCCTCTTTGTCCCCATTCCTGTCCTTGTCACGGGTGGTATCTGCCCGCATGGTGGTTGCGCTGGTGAGGGAGGGGGTGGGTTTGCTGGGGTGACTGTGACTATGACTATATTGCTGATTATGGCTATGGTGGTGGTGGTGATGTCCAGTGAGGTTGGTGATGGATGAGACGAGGGTGGAGCCGCTTAGGGTGCGGGAGCGGAGGCGGAATGGAGTTGGGGATTGGGGGTGGGGCCCGGTTGTCTTGCTGATGTTGTTGGGACTGCTAGTTTGGAACAGCCACTGCGTTACGCGGCCGGAACGAGTGGGGGTGCGATTTGGGTTGTGGGTGTGGTTGTTGTTGTTGTTGTTGTTGCTATCGGAGGGAGTGGTCGGGGGGCGCGAGTCGGAGGGGGTCGTGGGCGGGTGTGATGGACTGGGACTGGGACTGGGACAGGAACTGTCGTCTGGTGGGATGGACGGTAAGGGCCTGTCTTGCAGGTTCAGGTCCAGGTTGTTGTTGGTGGCTGTGGGTCTGGTTGGGGTGCGAGGGGGAGGGGGGATAGCTGTCGCTGGAGTAGGGTTGTTGGCGCCGACGTGGGGATGAGACTTGAAGATACCAGCCAGGGCTAGGTCTGGCTTTGGAGATGCGGGCGACGACAGGGCCGACAGGACCGAGCTGCGGGTGGAGAAATGCGGGATCAAGGGACTAGTCCGGGACTGGGACTGGGACTGGGACTGTCTCTCCAGCAGCTGCTCTATAGTTCCCAGCGACGACCTGCGGGATCCCGAACCAACCGGTTTGCGAAGAAGCTGGAAGGAGGATGACGGCCGGTGAGAGCGCACGCGGCCTGTCTCTGTCGTGGATAGGGCTCGCGGGGGTGGTGTGATCTGCGCGCGCTCGCCCTCGAGTTGATAGTCCTCGAACCGGGGGAGCTCGGGCAGTCGGTTGGTGGGGGAATTGAAGCCCAGCTCCAGCGGACGAAAACCCTTGGGACCAACCTCCGTCGTGATTGTCGTGGTGGTGGTGGGAGAGAACATCGAGACGTGACGGAAGTCGGACGGGGCGCTGATGCGCACAGGGGCAGTGGATTTCCTCTTCAGCGACATGCTGGCCCGCGATGCTCGGGTTCGACCCTCGACCACCCACGACGATAGGGTCGATGCCCGCGCTGGAGGGGGAGGGGGAGGGCTGGGGCTGGGCAAATCATCGTACACGACGAGCTTCATTGGGGGAACGAGGTGAGGCTGCGTGTGGCATATTCTCATCTCTCGTTCGGCGCCTATATAGGTGGGGGGTTAATTATCATGTTTTTCTGTCTCTGTCTCTCCGTCTGTATGTTTGTGTGTGTGGCTGGTTGAGGGGGTAGGTGGGATAGGTGGGATTTTGGGGGGGGGAGGGGGGTATATCAGATATCCTGCAGGGTAGACAGACAGATGGATGAGGGTGAGGGGAAGGGAAAGGGAAGGTCTACCTCGCTGCTTCATAGCCTGCTGATGCCGAAAGCTCTCATCATCCCTCGGACCCAGGCAGAACAAACAGGATGATATCCAGCCAGTGAATATGGACCCTGCCTGCTCAATTGCCTGCTTCATAGCTGCCAGCGCATCAAAGGGGGTGATCCATCGCCCAGCGGGGGTGGGGAATCGGAGGGAAAGACAGAAGACCAGACCAGAGGGTCAGTGGGACACTAATAAGCGACCAGCAGCCAGACTGTGAGACATCGGCAGAAGGGGGGGGGGGGGGGATGCAGGAAAGAAGAAGATCAAGAAGAAATCGACGCAGGCCCCCGGGGCTCCGGAAGAGGCTGGGGAAAGAAAGCAGGAAAAGAGGAGAAAGAGGAGAAGGAGACGAAGAGACAAAGAACAGGTCAAGTGGGTGGCCGGGGGGTGTTCTGGTGACCAACCAGGCAGTCCAACCCACTAGTTAACCAACCCAGGATGGAATTATGGTCAAGAATATCATCATCAACATCATCATCATCATCTCTACTCTGTCCGGCACTATAATTGGGATCGGTGAGTCGACCCAGCCAGGGCGATAAGTCCCCCAACCCTAAGCCCGGCCTCATCCAATGACCGCCGCAGAGCCAGCGTGTCGGCCTGTCGATCAGCCATCTGCACGGCGCTCGTTGGCTGGCCCGGGCGTTATCACAAATGACTTAATATTAGTTATTGAACGTGGTCCAACTTGTGGGCATGCAGGAGGACCACCAGACACAGATGCACGGTACCTCGGACAGCCTGCAGGTCTGTGTCTACCGTCTAGTTGTCACCGAGTCGCGCACTGGGCGCCTAACGGGCGGTCGCCATTTGCTCGGATGCAGGCTGGAGTGTGATCCGGCCAGCTGGTCGAACCCAAACATGCACCAAACACACCACACCACACCCCCTCGGATGTGATGAACTGAAATGAAAGGAAGGGCAATTAAAAGAGGTCGCGGGTACCTGAAGCGTGCCCCTGTCTCAGACAAATGAGCCCATGGTTTCATTTCATTTCATTTCATTTTCTTTTCTCTGTCTTGGTGTTGGGTCGGAGTCTAACAGTTATATTGTGCATCATATTTGCAGAATGCAGGCAGATATCTACCCCGCGCCACGGGCTATACGATTGGGCTAGAATGATAAGTAAGTATCGATATATTGCACTTGCCCCCCCCAGATGATGCAGCCTCGGATCCCGCCTAACGGTCCCACACGTTCTCTTCTAAATCTCCATATGTCCAATGACGCCGCGCGCCGGTGTCGTCCTCCCCGTGATCCTGATCCTGGTCCTGGTCCTGATCGGGCGGAGTGGCAGGTTCTGTTTGCTCCCTCTTTTCCCGGCTCTCTTCGAGATAGCTGGGTCGCTCGTCGACCGGTTCGCCTGATGGTCTCCTGCAGAAAAGGTTACTCCGGGCCCATGGCCTCGCGGGATCACGCTGCACATACTGGAAATGCCTCTGCTCGGGCTCAAGCTCGGTCGAGCCGAACGCCTTCTGAGTGTGTTCTCTCTCGGCTTCCTCTGCCTGTCGGTCTTCGACTACAAGGTCCACCAGCTGGCTACGATGCGACTGGTGCGAGGTAGAGGAGCTGGTCTCCTGGCGGACGACCCCACGGCCGTTGGAGGGCTCCTTGCGGGGGCTACGCGGGTTACCTTCCCCTTCCCCTTCGCCGCGAGAGGTGTCTCCACTGGGTGTGCGCGACTTGCGGTGCTTCCGGGATCGCTTCACCGTTCCTGCTGTTTGCTGGGGCGGGGCGCTTCGGCGGTGCACATGCCGTTGATCTACGGGCACCTCGTTCGCCGTGATCACCGGATACTAACTGTCATCAGCTCTTCCGTATCGGTGGATGTCATCCGGGGCAGGGTGCGCCTACATTCCAATCACCAAACTCCAGCGCGCGGGCATTGGTGAAAAGTCGTTCGTCGTCCTCATCCAAGGAGGTTTCCTGGATGTCACTGTTCGAACGAAAGCGACTCAGCGTGCTGCTTCGTCGGTCGCGACTAGCCCCTTCGTACGACGAGAGCAACGGAGTCCGAGTGTTGACCTCGCCGGGCTTCGGAATCCAGTACTTGGCCTTCCCGCCCCGCTCATACCGCATCCCGTGCATCACTCGCCGGACCCGGGAGTTGGATTCCGCATGGGGGATGATGTGGTCGCCCGAATCAAAGAGCCTGTACTCGTAGTTCTCGCCCCGTAGGGTCATCTTCGTGTCTTCGATCAGGTCTCTGATCCCGAAGGAGTCGCGAAGCGCGTACTTGACGGGCAGTCGAGCCGCGGAGATGGTGGAGTCGGCATAGTCATGCCAGGAGAAGGCATACCAGTGGGTCATGGCAAAGAACGGCATCTCAAAGCAGATCAGCGTGTCCTGGATGGCCGCGGCGAGGTTGTCGGGCGTGTACCCCGCGACGCCGTTGGACAGCGCGCCCAGCCACTGCAGGATGGACAGGAAGAAACCTTGCCAATAGGAGGCAAAGATAATGAGTTTGACACACAGGAACTTTGGCACCGGGCGGAACGGCGCCAGGTCGTTGTGCAGACAGACCCAGAACATGGCCAGCGAGTACAGACTGACGGTGACGCTAACATTGTACACAATGCCGGTCCAGAGGTACCCGGAGGTCAACCCCAAGTAGCCCTCCTGATAGGTGTCGGTCGCTTTCATGACGATGGAGACAATGGCCAGGATCGGCTTGAGCCAGGCATACTGCAGGATCCCCCGCTTGACCGCCAAGAAGGTCTGCGGGTCGGAGATGTCCACCTTGGGGCAGACGTGGTTCAACGGCCAGGCATGCTGGACGGGAGGACGGCCATGGGTCATGATAATCAATGCCCGCTCGCCTCCCAGGAAGTTAATAAGTAGTTGGAAGAAGGTATAGATCGTAAACGCCTGCAGGATCCCGTTAGCACCGGGTGACCCCTTATCACCACTTATCACCGCGCCGGACCTACCTCGTAGACATCACGGATGGGGTCCAGCCACATCGCTGCTCTCAGCGAGATGATGCTGGACCAAGAGGAGATCGCATATATGGGGACCCTGCTGCCATCAGTTGCCTGCCCACCGGCCCGTGTATGAGAGCGAACACTGACATCAACAGTATGCGGACGACATATCGCTGGAGCAGGGGTTTTCGATAGTTTTTTCTAATCCTCGATCAGCGCAGGTCCGAGGGGGAGGAATGTCGGGCAGAAGGAGGGGTAGTCGTACGTTTGAAGCCATATGGACCTAGAGCAAAGGGAGCAGACGATATCAGCACCAGCGTATTCCTCTGGAAGTCGCGTGTGGGGGAGGGGAAGAGAGGATGTATTCTCACAGTAACGAGAGCAGGGACGCCACCAGCGCGGACACGCCAGAAACAATGATCACTGCTCGAGCCAGGCTAGAGCCTGTACCACCAAGGGATGAGGCGGTACTCATTGTGAACAGGACTCGCGGGGATGACCGCGTGCGCTTATGGCTATGTCCACTGGCAAAGCATTCCGCAGATTAACAAGAACAACAAGAATAAGGAGCACCGGGCATGATCATAAGGCAGTGAGGTTCCAGGGTACGGTCAGGATAAAGGGGGCCCTCGCATGGCCGGGAGGAGCAAGGTGGTGTAGGTGCAGGGAAATGAATTGCGTGGACATTTGGTTGGGGGGGGGGGAGAGGAGGAGAAGAAGAGGAAAGGAATGAGGAGGAGCTTATCCATCAGCCATCAACTAGCTTGCGTGACACCGCCCAGCCTCGAGCCGTGATAGGAGTGGCTGCGACTAAGAATGGCGGCGGCCTGGAAGGATGAAGGCGGACTAGCGCCAGTTTTGCCCGTCCAGCCTCGGAGCTTCCCCGTCCCCGTCCCCTCTTTACTTTAGCCTCCTACTTAGTCTTAGCACTCCACCTCCTCCTCCGTGGATCCGCTTCCAGGGCTCGTCCAGCCAGACAATTTTGGCCCCTTTCCCTGCCTGCAACAGTTGCAACAATTCTCCGCCTGCATCACTCCTCCATCCCTCTACCGACGCGTCGAATTCCTTCTCGTTGATGGCGCAGTGATCTCCCGCAGTCACTCACCACCATGTTCCCGAGCTCCGGTGATCCTAGGAGGATATTATTGCGATTTGCGACATGGCTAGCACAAGCTTGACGGCGTTATCCTTCACCCCGGATCCAAGCTTCAACTGGTTCGTCTTCAGCTCGCAACCGTGGGCAATGGCTAACTGTCGACCAGGTTCTTTCTCCTGGAGCTCATTGTCTCTTGTATCCTGTAGGTGCTCCTATTCACATGCGCATCACCACCACCAACCCCCGCTGACAATACCCACCCGACAGAGTGTTGTTCTTCCTGCTCTACTTCAATCGCCTTTTCGCAACTCTCCTCTCCTACGGAATACGCGCCTACACCTGGCACTACTATCGCGCATATGTCGACATTCGCTCGCTGCAGATCTCGCTTCTCGGGGGCAGGATCTTCTTCAAGGGCATCCGATACCATGGCGTCAACGAGACAATTTTTGTGCATGGGGGCTTCGTCACTTGGCATTACTGGAGGCATGCTGTGAGAAAGACGGATTTGAAACACCGCGAACCGAAAAATGGCGAAGCGGAGGGCGAAACCCAGCGCGCCGGGTCGGCTAACCCGGACGGCAGCAACAGCAGTGATCACGGGGAACAAGGGGGGCTGAAGAGCACGGACTCGCTACCTTGTCGCATCACAGCCAAACTGTATGGCCTCGAGTGGTTTGTCTACAATCGGACGCCGGCATACGAAGGGATTCTGGCGGGCTTTGCCCCCCCGGAGCCCTCGCCATCATTTACCAGACCGCAATACCCAGGAAGCAACACTTTGGACGCCACCTTGAAAGACAACAAAGCAGAGGCCGCTTCAACCTCTGATAAGGCGTCCGCGTCTCATGGCGACCGACTTAAAAGCGCTGGCAAGGATACAGTCGCCTCCGAAGCCGCGGAGGGCTCTGGGCAGGAAGTTGGAGAGGGTCTCTCGAAACTACTCCGACTCCTGCCGATGAAGCTGGAGTGTGATAAAGGTGCTATTGTCATGGGAAATGAAAACACGCGATCTGTTTTGACCATCACTTTCGACGGTGGTGTCGGGATGATCGAAGCCTGTGAATCTGGTCCTCTTGATCTGTACCGACAAGTCTTTTCTTTGAACTTTGTCCACCCGGTCATCCAGATGCGCCCGAACCCGGACTTCAAGCAGAACCAGCTCGCTGCGGCGAAAGGCATCGGCTCAACCCAGACGGAGCAACGGCCTGAAACGAGACGAAAACGGGATACCATCTTCAACTACCAGTTGCAAAAGCGCAGGGTCTGGCATACTGTTCGTGATCTGATCCCATACTTTCAAAGCTCTGTGGAGTCTTTTCATGTGCGCGAGAAACATGCGGACGCGCCCCCAAGGAACTCAACCGATGCCCCGGATGACACGCGTTGGGTTGGTCTTTCTCGGTATTTGGATGAAAGCTCTCACGATGATCATGAGGAGTGGAATCCGGTCGAATACGGGCGATATTCTACGATCCTGGACAGCCCCAAGATGACGGTCACATACTACTGGGATGTTCCGGGAAGCGTCAAGCCGTCCCCGGTTTCGCGAGATTCTCTGCCCTCATCAGATATCAATGGCGCCCCGCCTCCGGAATGGGGTATCGACGTGAAGGTCGATGGTGGCGCTATTAATTACGGTCCGTGGGCCGATAGGGAGCGTGTTGGGCTGCAGAATGTTTTCTTCCCAAACGCCTTCAAAAGCTCGCAGCCCGCCGATCCACTGGCTCCCGGGGAGCTGAGGAAGAACTCTGTTTTCCGATTCCGAGTTGAGATCAACGACGAGTTGACATTGCGCATTCCCACCCGAGAGTCTTCCAAGGACTGGCAGTGGAAAGGCCGTGCGGATGCAATTCGCGGTGTCACCAAGCTGAGAAAGCAATCGAGTAGGAGACAGTCGCGTGCGGGAGAAGGGGATAAAGGTCATATAGGCCCTGATATACGTCCCTTTGGATGGCTGTCACTCCGTGTTGCGGGCGATTCCACTATTACCTACGCCATGGATATGGTCGCGTCGGCGTCGGGATTTCAAAGCCAGTTGGACCTTGATCTTCGAGACACGAAGATGATGTCAAGTGTAAACCATGCGTTGTTGTGGCAATGCCCTAGGCAACTCATTACTTGCGACCTCTCAGTCCCACTTCCCTGGAACAGCCTGCGAACGTGGAAATTTGACGTGGAGAGCCATGATATGGAGCTGTTTTTACTACGAGATCACATCTTCCTCTTGACCGACCTTGTCTCTGACTGGGCCTCTGGCCCTCCCCAGGAGTATTATACGTTCGTGCCGTTTATTTACAATTTAAAATTGTCCTTCAGCAACGTTCGCTTATTCCTGAACGTGAACGACATGAACATTGTCAGCAATCCTTCTGATCTCGACGACAATCGCACCTTGGCTATTAAGGGTACCAAACTGACCTCCGACGTTATCATTCCCCTGAACAAGTACCAGCCTGAACAGAATGCCATTGACTTCAGCGTTAGTCTCGACGATGGCGGTATCGACTATCTGACCCCTGTCTGGGATACACTGCATGCTTTCATCAAAGACAAATCGACTGCTCAACTTCAGGGCCTGTCTATTGGTGGCTCGTACAATTATTTTCTCTCAACGTCTCCTGAACTGACCGATACATTGCTGTTGAATGTTGATGGCTTTTCTCCCAAGCTCTACTTGTTCGGGTTTCTGATACGGTCCTTCATGACGATCAGAGAGAATTACTTTGGAGAAGAAATGCACTTCAAAACTCTGGAGGAATACCAGGAGCTTGCATACCCCCAGGAGGATTTTAGCCCGCCCACTGGGACCAATCCTAACAGGAAGTCAAATGACCTGGATGTAATTGTGCACGTTACTGTCGACAATCCCTGTGCCCTTCTCCCGGAAGACCTGTACGATAGTTCCAACTGCCTGAAGCTTACTGCACCCTCGCTGGAGGCAGACCTGCGGTTTACCAATTACTACATGGACCTGCAATTTTCTCTCGCCCCTCTTAAAGTGGCCCTGGCGTCTAGTCAAACAGAGGGGAGACTCACCCCATCAGACACCCAACTCTTCATCGATGGGGTCTCGGTCTACGGCCACCGCCTATTTGGTCTGCCGCCTGCAGAGCCTACTTATGTCTGCAACTGGGACTTCGGGGTGGGCCGAATCGTCGGAGAATGCTCCACAGAGTTCCTCAGCAGCCTGGCTGCATCGTTGAAAAGCTTCGACTTTACTTTCGATAACGAAGAAAACGCACTTCCCCCCTTATCGCCGATTCTAATCCACGATGTCACTTTCTTGCGGGCCAAGATTGACTTCGTTCACATTTCTGTTCTACTCGACAAGGCTGCTCTAATACTGAGTGCAGGCCCGGTAACCGCTGAATTCAACGACTGGGCGAATGCTAAGTTCTCCAAGCGAATGAGCCTTCTGGTGCCCGAACTCTCCGTTGCTGCAGTTGATTACCAGTTCTTGGGTCGGTTTGGAAGCCTGCTTCATACGGAGATGGCTCCTCTTGCGCTTTTCCGGTCTACTTTGAAGGTCCGGATGGTCCAGAGAAAGAGTGATATTGCCGAAAGCCGAAGGCTACAGCAGGAGCATATCAAAGTCCATGACCAAAGGACACAGAGGACGCCATGGCTTCTCTTGGACTGGGACGACATTGATCCCGATTTACTGCAACACGAAGGCGACAACATGCATCCGCCAACTATTCCTATCCCTACAATGCCTGAACCTCTGTCGAGGTATTCTGGCTTGGGGGGCTTGTCTTCGTCAATGCGTCGCTTTTCAGAGAGTCGAAGTCATCTGAGCTCGAGGGGTTTCTTTGTTACATCAGACGCTTCAAGTGTGAAAAGCGGGACCAACCGGAACATGCGCAGCCCCGCCAGTCCATCAAAGGTGTCACCCAGAATGGAAAGAGACCAGAAGTCTCGCCGGGCAGCAACTGTTGGCTCAGTTTCTCCGCTTCTTGAACGCCGAGATACCCCAAAAGGCCGTCCAGTAAATGTTCCTGGGGCATCAAGCCCTTGGGTAATGCCAGAATTCTCTCTCCACAGGGCTAATCTTGATACATCGCAACTTCCCCCGGAACAGATTTCGCGCGAAGACCCCGACCTTGACAGAGGTGTTCTTCCTGTCGTGGACGTTGACCCGTTCTTCAACTTTTCAGATAACGATGTAACGACATATACGAATTTTGCCATTGAATTGCCCATCGGGGTCAGGGGTTTCTGTTCCCCCGAGTTCCTCCACATAGTATCAGCGTTGATAGAGCGATTGCAGCCCAGACGCCCGGCTGCAATTATTGATTCTCTGCAGAAAGACGTTATCTCGGACATCGTGGGGTATGAAAAGTCGGTAAAACAGCCCAAGACATGCACCAGTATTGCGATCAGGGCTCCCTCCATACTCATAAAACTTGTTAACTCGGAGTCAACCGCGAACGGCGATGTTAACTTTCGTGACGAGTACAGCGTTCAAATGTCACACCTCAAGACCGAATTCAGGACAAAGGTTGAACGGCAAAGGGGCGATCTTCTTTCGGGAATTAGCAAGAGTTCCACTGTTCATGCAGCTGCAGACAGTCTCTCGATTTCCGTCCAAGGCAGCGGCGCCGATGCATACCGGGAGAAGGCCGAGTTCAGTTGCGTTCTTGGAGACATGAACTTCTGGCTTGTGACCAAGCCTGTTGTGAGATCGAGCTTCCAAGTTAGAGCCTTTGACACGGTGACGTCAACCAAATCTGTCGAACACCTCGCCTCGCTGGTCCGGCGGACAACAACAATGTCAGATTCCATCGCGTCCTCTATCCAGCAAAGTTCGTCCGTCGGGAACAGACGGCTGCAGTTTCTCATATACTTCCTCACACGACAGGCTGCGGATGTGCCCGATCCTGCATTTCTTATCCGTATCTCGTACGTGCTCAGAGTTGCGCGTTCTCATCTGCGACAGCATGACTCTTGGAAGATCATTTCTCGCATACGAAATGTCTACTATCACTTGTCACCGGATCAGCGCCAAGTGTTGAACGACAAGTGTCTCAATGGAGATTTTGAGCTTCCTCCCAATGCTAAGACTGTTGTGCTCTCTAATTTCGACCAATGGCGGGCCTGGGATCTAGCTCATGTGGAGAAGAGCTATGTGATGCGAAGGATTTGGGATGCCTCTGACTCCGAATCCGAGGAATCTTCGAAAGCAATCTTCTTTTCTTCCACTGTGAAGCTCTTTCGCTTTTCTATCGACCCTGGGCCTAAGGAGAGTGACTTTGTTGTGGAGGATTTGTCGACTGCTTTGTCTGTTCAACCGAGCGAAGCATCATCTGCGGATAATGAACCCAAGCAGAAGGACATTACGGTCGTCCAGTCCTACTGCTCTTCTGTTAGCCTTCATCTACGATGGGAGATTCTTGATCTTGTGGAAGGAGTAATGAAGACTATGTCTACAGTTACCCTGGAATCCACGCCACCAACTCAGGGTGGTGGGAAGGGTCCAGACAAGGCCAGCGAGCTGCAGCTTATCTTTGGGGCCGACCTGGGATCTATAACGCTTGATGGGATCAATGTCAAGCTATCGATGACCAGCAAGTCCCCTAGAGCCTCACTGGTGCAGAAGTCTCGCAGCGAAGACGGCCCAGAAAACTTGAGTCTCCTGTTAAGCTCCGACGCTGGCTATTCTGAACTTTCCAGCCTCTCCAAGGCCCTCATGTTCTGGAAGGTGGCAAATCCTCATATCTATTGCTCCCGCGTGACGGATGAAAACGAGACAGAGTTGAGCCACCAGTGGAAGCTCGCCGGATCTTGCAGGAAGCTTCGCTATGATATGAAAGAAGACCTGTTGAGCCTTGCACATACCGCCGATCGAGTCATTGCAGATGAGATTCGTTTTATTCATCAGCTTGTGAACAGCGTGGAGCTGCCATCGCAGCGGCCGGCTGAGAGTACCGCAAAGAAGCCAGCCCGCAATCAGTTCCATGTCGCGATGTTCTTGGACGACTACCGTTTAAGCTTTTGTGTTCTGCCATCGCTAACATACGTTATCGCCGGAGAAGTGGCACGAACTTCAATTCTTCCCAAGTTGGGGTCGAAAGTTGAGGTGGACTTTGACCTGAAAAAGAACGTGCATGCACTTTTGTCTAGCGAAGGGGGCAGGTGGAGCTCATTATCGGCATTAGAGATCCCACCCATAAATGGTCGGGTTATTGCCGACGTCTCGCCCAGTCGCACCAACATGGAAATCGATGTCACCATAGAACTTATACGGTTGGAAGCCAGTGCTGTACGGAGCTTTTTGAGTGCCCTTTCCAAACCAGAGGTTTCGCATTTGATGGATGATCTCAAGCAAAGTATGGAAGTCTTGCAGCTGCACTTCGACGATGTTCTTGCGGTCAAGAAATCTAAACCACAGCAGAAGGAGGCTTCCAGTGACCACATGATTCTTTATAAGGCACGCATGACCATGGCAGGTGTGACAATTCATGCCAGAGCACCTGGGCTCAACGCGAAGAGCTACACTGCAGACATGGATATTAGCCTCGGCATGATGCGTCTGCACCTGGACAACGGCCTGGATGCAGGACATCCTATGGAATATCCAGAATTCCATATTGACACGTCTAACATAAGCCTAGATCTGAGGAAAGAGGAAGCGTCCCGAAGTCGCTCGTACTGCAGTTTCACCATTGACGCTAAGCTTCAGGGAACTTCGATGACCCGAGATACTGGGGAAACCAGGCGAGTGTTCCATCTGACCAGCAAGAAATTTGAGATCGAGCTCTTCCCCGAAACAGCCGCCTTGGTGGTTGATATGGCTATGCACCTGCGCGAGCGAATCAAGACCTTAGATCTTTCTCACGAGGTTAAACGGTTCAAGAGGTTGCGACACCGTGGTCATACGGAGTCGGAGCTGAAGGTTCCTAGCATCCAAGTAGATGGTGCCGACTCGTCCGAGGGGTTCCTGGACGCTATGTACTCCTTGGACTTCAACAACATCCAGATCGGGTGGAACATGACGACTGTGAAGTCGATGGCACATGCACGTCAACCCGATGATCTGGTCTTCTCGATAAAGCGTGTGGAGCTGTCCAACAAGAGAACCAATGCCGCTAAACTTCGTATTGAAGACATGCAGTTACAGTTGGTGCCAATTTCAGGAAATCGGCGCAAGCGCTCGCCCAATTCCGCTTTGTTACCCGAGCTGGTCTTCAATGTAGCATACTCGTCGGCAGGGAAGGAGGTTCGACTGGCCTTCCAAGCGGCTGGAAAATCGCTGGATTTACGAGCGACCTCCGACTTTATTCTGCCAGCAAGCATGATCCGAGACTCCATTGCGTCTGCTGCACGGACCATCCGTGAGGCCAACACTGCTCTGGTATCCAAGCCATCCGAAGACAGCACCAAAAATCGACCGCTCTTCGGGAACAAGCGCTTCCGCTCTCTCTTGATAGATGTCGACTTCGCTGGGGCCGTCGTATCTCTCCAAGGGAGGCACACGGAGGATTACCAAACCCTGCTGCCGAGTATGAAAGAGGGTAGACTTCCTGGGTCGGCATACGGCCAGTACGTCCAAGGAGATGGGGTGGCTACTGCAACATTCCGAGCCCCAGGAGTGGCTTTGAAGGTTCAATTCGAAGACAACGGGCGAGATGATTCGGCCCTCAACGCGGAGTTAAAGGTTGATCCTTCGACAAATGTTCTCTATCCCAGCCTCGTTCCGTTGATCAAGCAAATGACGGCTACCATCAAGGAGGCCATGGGCGATCAACCAAAATCCAGAAGACCTTCTAACGCCATGATGCTACAGCCACAAAGACTGATGCAGGAAACTCCACTCGACGAACAGGGACCGGCTTCGATTCTCGGTAGATGCAAACTGAACGTGGGCATTTTGATCTGCAAGCAGGAGTTCAGCTTGAGCTGCCAGCCTATAGCGAGAGTAGCCGCCACGACTCGGTTTGATAGTGTCTATGTGACGATCAACACCGTTCAATCCGACGAGCAGGAGCGATTCCTCGCGCTTCTGGTGGCCTTCAACTCCTTGGAAGCGTCGGTGAAGCACGTGTACTCCAATGAATCAACCGCGAGCTTCGAGGTCAAATCGATGACCATGTCCATCATGAACAGCAAACATCTAGGAAGCGCGAAGGGGATCTCAGCCGCTCTCCGGGTGAGCCCCATGGAGGTCGCACTCAATGCAAAGCAGGTCCAGGACCTTTTGCTGTTCCGTGAAATTTGGTTTCCTTCTAGCGATGCCCCAGACCCCGGACCGCCAATGGAGCCCCAGCCTACCGAAACGCAGGCCTACATTGTGCAGCGTTATCAGCAAGTCGCAGCAACCCCTGCTTTCCCGTGGAATACCACGATATCGATCGAGAAACTCGAGATCCAACTCGACTTGGGGTCTACGCTCGGCAAAGCACAGTTCGCGATTAACGACCTATGGCTGTCGTCGAAGAAGACGTCCGAATGGGAGCAAACGCTGTGCATCAGCTTCAACACGTTAGGCGTCGAGAGTAAAGGTCGCATGAGTGGTTTGGTTGAACTGCAGAACCTGAAAGTTTCCACATCCATCAATTGGCCAAAGGATCAGCACAACAACCAGACGCCTCTTATCCAAGCATCTATCTCCTTCCTTCAGCTGCAGGTGAAGGTGTCCTTCGATTATCAACCATTCCTTATTGCTCACATCTCGAGCTTCGCTTTCTTGATGTACAATGTGCGGCCTGGAAGCGATGCGCCCAGCGAACGGCTTTTCAGCATCTTGGACGGGGATAAAGTGCAAGTCTTCTGTACCAGCTTGACTGCATCGCAGTCTATGGCACTCTTCCAGGCCTGGCAACGACTGGTGCAAGACAAGCAGGCGGCATACGAGGCTTCTCTACGAGACGTTGAGAGGTATCTTCGCCGGAAAGCCTCGGTTTTCTCCGAGAAAACCGAAGTCTCTTCCCGGGACATGGGCGAACATACGGATGACAAGGCCGAAGAGGCGCCCATATCTCTACACAACGGCGTGGTCGTTAGCATTAATTCCGTCAATATCGGCGTCTTCCCGAGCTCGTTTTTCGACAACCATGTCTTCAAGCTGGAGGCCCATGATGCCCAAGCTCGCTTCGATGCCTCCTTGAAGGAGGGCAAGATCCACAGTGCGTTGGGCCTTACGTTGGGCCAACTGCGCGTCGCGCTTTCCAACATTGTCCGATCCGGCCCCATGGAGACAGAGGAGCTCCTCGTGCACGAGATCGCCCAGCGTGTACAGGGGTCGCGGGGCGGGACAATCCTCAAAGTCCCTCGCCTCCTGGCACGCATGGAGACGTGGCAGATACCAGGCTCGCAACAGATCGACTACATTTTCCAGAGCACGTTCGAAGGCAAGGTGGACGTCGGATGGAACTACTCCCGCATCAGCTTCATCCGGGACATGTGGGAAACGCACTCGCGGGCCCTAGCGTCCCGGCTCGGGAAGCCGCTGCCGCCCTCGGCGGTGCGCATCACCGGCGCCTTGAACGCGGAGGGCGGTGGTGACCGCAACGAGCCGCACGAGAAGATCACCGCCGTCGTCAACGTGCCGCAATCCAAGTACACCTATGTGGCGCTGGAGGCCCCGGTCATCGAGACCCCCCAGCTCCGCGATATGGGCGAGGCCACCCCGCCCCTCGAGTGGATTGGGCTTCAACGCGACAAGCTGCCCAATATTACCCACCAGATCGTCATCGTTACTCTCCTGGAGATTGCGAAGGAGGTCGAGGATGCGTATGCGAAGATCTTGGGGTCGTCTTGATTCGATTCGACCATTTTGTTTTCCACGGCGTTTGTCGGGGGTGTACGTATGGGGATGATTAGGGTAAACAAGTAGTTACAGTATGCATTGTTGGCGTGGATGGTGTTGGTGGGCAATCTGTTGTGTGTCCCATTTATTTGCTCGAGTCCGTTCTAAACGTAAGGGTCGGACCAACACCGTTATCGGTTACTTCTGCGATATTTATTTATACTGCTTTTGCTACTCCTATCTATGTACTAGACGAATAGACTAATAGACTGCATGCTGCACCGTTTCCGTACGTCTGCAGCTGCGCAGCCCCGCGATATCAAGTGGTTGCACCACGTTGCCGTACCGTACGGTATGCGGCACGGGGCTCCATTAAGTAAGCCATGCATTAATTCCTAACTCCGCATCCCGTGACGGGCGCCGGGCGGTGAGGGTGGAGGGGCAACGACGCCATACATACCTGTATTGCTGCCTGGATTTTTACGGCATTCGATATCCTGGAGATGTACGATCTATCATCCAGGTGGTGTAATTCATCTCTGCTTTCACGGTTGATAGATAGAAGATGGACTGATGGATGAAGATGATGTTGCTGATGGACCAGCCCCCCATGGTGCTAAAGCTAAATGGGGCAAGCAAATCCCCCTCCGACAGGCTGGATTCCCCACCCAGAAAGCCGGGACGAGAGTATGTTACGACCGATCATGATATCAGGACCGGCTGGCCTCTCGCCACCCTGCTCGGCTAGCTGTCTATTATTATTGCTGCAGCAGAGCAGATGATACGAGGGAGCTTGATGCTGTAGCTATGAGCTATGTAGCTTTGCTCGATGAGTCAACCGAGTCCACGGCTCACAAAGGTAAAGAGCTGGGCAACCATGGTCTTTCCCTCGCGGGGTCTCTGTTCGGTTTATGTTGGTGGTTGGGGGATGGGGATGGGACGGAGATGGGAGGTCGGGGACTGCTCTGAGACTCCGATCATCACTCAAGTAAGTAAGAAGAAGAAGAAGAGATGCTTCATGATTATTGCCAGTCTGTGTATCTACTCCGTATCTCGTGTATCTCCCGTACTGAGGCGGGCACTGCATCCAGGCAAGCGGCAGCCGACGCTAAGCCGTCGAAACGGTAAGAAAACGAGGGGCGCGAAAGGAAAAAACGCACATCCCAGATTTGAAATCGGAAAAAATCCCACCTGCAGCGCAGCGTAAAAAAAAAAAAAAAGCCCCACCTGCCGCCCTCTCGCTTTCTTCCTCTTCTTCCCCTCTTCCTTCTCCTCCTCGCCCGCCCTCTTTTCCTTTTCTCCTCCCTCACCTTCCTCCGCGAAGCCATCTCTGTCTCTCTTCCCCCCAGAGCAGCGCACATAGGCACCTTTTTTGTCCTATTGATTCAGTGGTCGAGCTAGCTCTCGGTCCTGGTCCTTTGTGTGTCGTTCTTCCTCTTTTCTATTATACAACCCCGCCTCTACGGCCCTTGACAGGAAAAATCAGTCAAGATGGTTAAGTACGTACCACCACCATCACCACCACCACCACCACCCTGCTCCTTCCCTCGATGGTTCATGCCTCGACGGGGATGGGAAAACCTAAATCATCCTCAAGGATATAGCGTGCTAACGATGCTCTCTCTAGCTTCACTATCGAAGAGGTCCGTTCTCTACATGCCCCGCATCCAACCCAACCGGCTTCGAGGTGTCTTAGCACCGACGAGACCACCCCAGCCGCAAGATGGAGACGCACACAGCAGTACGATGGATACTAACTATGATGACATAGATCCGTAGCCTGATGGACAGGCCGGCTAACATCCGTAACATGTCCGTCATTGCTCACGGTATGTTTTCTCTCTGGAGGTTCCCGGGTATGTCGGATCGTATGCTGACGGATGCCGCCCACAGTCGATCACGGAAAGTCCACCCTGTCCGACTCCCTGGTCCAGCGTGCCGGTATCATCTCCGCCGCTAAGGCTGGTGAGGGTCGTTACATGGACACCCGTCCCGATGAGCAGGACCGTGGTATCACCATCAAGTCCACCGCCATCTCCCTCTACGCCAAGTTCCCCGATGAGGAGGATCTCAAGGAGATCCCCCAGAAGGTCGACGGCTCTGAGTTCCTGATCAACCTGATCGACTCCCCCGGTCACGTTGACTTCTCCTCCGAGGTCACCGCCGCTCTCCGTGTCACTGACGGTGCCCTGGTCGTCGTCGACTGTGTCTCCGGTGTCTGTGTCCAGACCGAGACCGTCCTGCGTCAGGCCCTGACCGAGCGTATCAAGCCCGTCCTGATCATCAACAAGGTCGACCGTGCTCTGCTCGAACTCCAGGTCTCCAAGGAGGACCTGTACCAGTCCTTCTCTCGTACCATCGAGTCCGTCAACGTCATCATCGCCACCTACTTCGACAAGGTCCTCGGTGACGTCCAGGTCTACGCCGAGAAGGGTACCGTTGCCTTCGGTTCCGGTCTCCACGGCTGGGCTTTCACTGTCCGCCAGTTCGCCGTCAAGTTCGCCAAGAAGTTCGGTGTTGACCGCAAGAAGATGCTTGAGCGTCTGTGGGTGAGTTTGATTCTTCTTTCTACGTGTCGTGTGAATCCACTCTAACAACCACCAGGGCGACAACTACTTCAACCCCAAGACCAAGAAGTGGTCCAAGAGCCAGCCCGAGGTCGACGGCAAGCCCGTTGAGCGTGCTTTCAACCAGTTCGTTCTGGACCCCATCTTCAAGATCTTCCAGACCATCAACAACGACAAGAAGGACCAGATCCCCGCTCTCCTTGAGAAGCTCGACATCAAGCTCACTAGCGACGAGAAGGACCTTGCTGGCAAGCAGCTCCTCAAGACTGTCATGCGCAAGTTCTTGCCCGCTGCCGACGCCATGCTGGAGATGATCTGTATCCACCTGCCCTCTCCCGTCACTGCCCAGAAGTACCGTATGGAGACTCTGTACGAGGGTCCCCACGACGACGAGTGCGCCATCGGTATCCGTGACTGTGACCCCAAGGCTCCTCTGATGCTGTACGTCTCCAAGATGGTGCCCACCTCCGACAAGGGTCGTTTCTACGCTTTCGGTCGTGTCTACTCCGGTACCGTCAAGTCCGGTCTCAAGGTCCGTATCCAGGGTCCCAACTACACCCCTGGCAAGAAGGACGACCTCTTCATCAAGAACATCCAGCGTACCATCCTGATGATGGGACGTTTCGTCGAGCCCATCGAGAACGTTCCCTCCGGTAACATCGTCGGTCTGGTCGGTGTTGACCAGTTCCTGCTCAAGTCTGGTACTCTCTCCACCTCCGAGACTGCCCACAACCTGAAGGTCATGAAGTTCTCCGTCTCCCCCGTCGTGCAGCGCTCCGTCGAGGTCAAGAACGCCCAGGATCTGCCCAAGCTGGTCGAGGGTCTCAAGCGTCTGTCCAAGTCTGACCCCTGTGTCCTGACCATGATCTCCGAGTCCGGTGAGCACATCGTCGCCGGTGCCGGTGAGCTCCACCTGGAGATTTGCCTGAAGGATCTCGAGGAGGACCACGCTGGTGTTCCCCTCCGTATCTCCGACCCCGTCGTCTCCTACCGTGAGACCGTCGGCGGCGAGTCCAGCATGACTGCTCTGTCCAAGTCCCCCAACAAGCACAACCGTCTGTACCTGACCGCTCAGCCCCTTGACGAGGAGGTCTCCCTCGCCATCGAGGCCGGCAAGATCACCCCCCGTGACGATTTCAAGGCCCGTGCCCGTCTCCTCGCTGACGAGTACGGCTGGGACGTCACCGATGCTCGTAAGATCTGGTGCTTCGGTCCCGACACCTCCGGTGCCAACCTGCTGGTTGACCAGACCAAGGCCGTCCAGTACCTCAACGAAATCAAGGACTCCGTCGTCTCCGGTTTCCAGTGGGCCACCCGTGAGGGTCCCATCGCTGAGGAGCCCATGCGCTCCATCCGCTTCAACATCCTCGATGTTACCCTCCACGCCGATGCCATCCACCGTGGTGGTGGTCAGATCATCCCCACTGCTCGTCGTGTCCTGTACGCCGCTACCATGCTTGCCGACCCCGGTATCCTGGAGCCCATCTTCAACGTCGAGATCCAGGTGCCCGAGCAGGCCATGGGTGGTATCTACGGTGTGCTCACCCGCCGCCGTGGTCACGTCTACACTGAGGAGCAGCGCCCCGGTACTCCCCTGTTCAACGTCAAGGCCTACCTGCCCGTCAACGAGTCCTTCGGCTTCCCCGGTGAGCTCCGCCAGGCCACCGGTGGTCAGGCCTTCCCCCAGTGTGTCTTCGACCACTGGGCCATCTTCCCTGGTGGTTCTCCTCTTGACGCTTCCAGCAAGACTGGCCAGATCGTGCAGGAGATGCGTAAGCGCAAGGGTCTCAAGGAGGCCGTCCCCGGCTACGACAACGTGAGTGTCCTTTCCCTGTTACCTCTCATGACAATGCTAACGGTCACAGTACTACGACAAGCTGTAAAAATGTTCCACGCAAGCCGACTCTGCCTCGAGCCTGTGAAGGGTGGAATCCTCTGTTTATGAGATTGACGAACGCAATACCCTGTCCACGTTGAGGGGGAAGAACAAAACGAGAGAACACAGCTTCATGTCGTATGTGGATTTTCGAGACCTAGAGTAGAATCCAGGTGCACGTGCATATGCTAGCTTCATTTTTACGTTTAACGACCACGAGGGATTTTCCATAGTTGCTTTTACTGTTCCTCGGTTGGAAAAATATGAGATGGTTAAGTTCAATTGGTGCTGTAGGGTAGTGTAGCTCTACGCGAATTGGTGGTGAATATACAGAGTAGAATGGTGGGATTTAGACAGTGGAAATGAAATGAAGGTAACTAAGGGGTCATCCTGCCAAGCTGGCCGCCAACTGGCGAACAGTCACGTGCCATTCGGTCATCCGCGTCGCTCGCGTTTCCGCGGCCTGTTCGATCCGCAAAGCTCTGTGACGGAACCTCGCGCTTCTCTCTCTTCTCCGCCATGCTTTGATCGTCCGCTTGCAACTCCCCAAGATCCCTCGCTGCCCTGTTATTGAACCTACTGCATCCACCGTATCCGTTTGAACCCGTGGTTGTGACTTGCGCCCAGCTGCCCAACATCGCTGCACCCAAAGCTCCTCGAGGCACGAATTTCCCGGAGTCGTCGCGTGCAACCGCGACCCGTGCGGCAGCATGCAGCTCACCGAGAATGAGGCAAACGAGGTCAAGATGTGGGTGGTGAAGAAGCTCGAAGACATGTAAGATGCCCAACACCGCGCAGCGTTCCGTTCCCCAAGCTAACGGGCATCTGCGCGACCTAGATCCGACGCCGACTCCGACGTCCTGGCCGACTACGTCCTGGCGCTGATCAGAACCGATGCTCCGGACGACGAGATCCGCAAGGCGTCCGTGGAGAATCTGGAGGACTTTCTGAGAGAACGTTCGTGTGCACCGACCGACTCCGCCCCGTGTGTCTAGAAATGCGCCTGGAACTGACTAGCATCGCACATACAGACACCAACGAGTTCGTCGACGAGCTCTTCGATACCTTCGCGTCCAAACCGCCAGCGCCTGCCGCCCCGACCTTCGCGCAGGGCCAGTCAACCGACGGTCCCGCGTCCGGAGCTCCCTCCCAGCCACCGCACCCTTTCTCGTCCCCGGCCGGACAGCCCAAAGGCCCATATGGCGCCCCCATGGGCGGCATCCCGCAGTCGCAACTTGAGAACCCCAACTTCAACCGCAAACGTAGCTACCACGAAGGATTCCAGGCGGAGCAGGAGCGCGACGATGCTCCCCACAACCGCGCATTCAAGACCCCCCGTCGGGGACGCGGCGGCGGCAGAGGTGACTGGATGGGCAGGGACGGCCGTGCAGGTCCCGGGGTACCGCCTCAGTTTCACCATCCAGGTGCGTTCCAGGTCATGCCGCCGGCGTTCCCGGGCTTCGACCAGAACGATCCCATGGCCGCGATGATGGCGCTGCAGAGCATGGGCTTCCCGCAGATGCCCGGGATGCCGCCCATGCCGATGCCGCCTCAGGGTGGCGGTCCCGGTCCATCGCCGGAGCAGATGGGCCCGAAGAGCTCGGAGCGCTGTCCGTTTTACGAGACCCAGGGCATCTGCTATCTCGGCGCGACGTGTCCGTACCAGCATGATGCTGTCCCGGGTGGTCAGGAGGATGGTAAGTTGATATCCGGCTGGCGTGGTTGGTGTGATGTGCTAATTATGGGTTTGCAGAATACGATCCAGCTTCCTCGAACCTTGTTACCGACTTTCAACGACGCACGGATCCGCCCATGCGGGGTGGTGAGAGAGGGCGTGGTCGTGGTCGCGGGGGAGAGAGAGGCGGGTTCGGCGGCCGGGGACGTCGGTCTGAGTTCTCTGCGGCTGGGCCTAACGACGATGCCTCGATTGTGACGATCGTGGTGGAGCAGATCCCCGACGACAAGCTGGATGAAGCCAACGTGCGGGAGTTCTTCTCCCAGTACGGCGAAATTGTCGACATCTCTCTGCAGCTCCACCGACGCCTCGCGCTGATCACCTTCGCCGACCACGCCGCCGCCAAGCGCGCATGGTCAAGCCCCAAGGTGATCTTCGACAACCGCTTCGTCAAAGTCTACTGGCACAAGCCCCGAAACGACCGCAACGGGGAGCAACGCCCCGCAGGCGACGGCTCCGAGGGCCCGTCCTTCGACCGCGAAGAGTTCGAGCGCCAGCAGGAAGAAGCCCAGAAAGTGCACGAGGAGAAGCTGAAAAAGCGCAAGGAAACCGAAGAAGCCAAGCAAGCGCTTGAGCGCCAGCGCGAGGAGCTCCTCAAGAAGCAGCAAGAAGAGAAACAGCGGCTTCTGCAGCGCCTTGGCGGACAGGACAGCAGCAACGGGACCTCTGCCGCCGCCGCTAGAGATGACGACGGCCAGACCCAGGAAGACGTCAGCGACCAGACTCGGAAACTTCGCGCGCAGCTCGCCGCCCTCGAAGCCGAAGCCCAAAGCCTGGGTATTGATCCTACGGCCTCCCCGTACTCGTACCGTGGCCGTGGCAGGGGATTCGGGCGCGGGAGCTTCGCACCGCGTGGACGCGGAGGGTATGACCCGTCGTACCGCGGTGGATATCGTGGGCGTGGTGGAGGTATTGCGCGTGGTCGTGGTGGTGTTCTTCGTCTTGATAACCGGCCCAGACGGGTGGCTGTCTCGGGGGTGGAGTTTACCCCGGAGAAGGACGAGGCGCTGCGACAGTTTTTGATTGTGAGTTGCCCTACTACTCTCCCTATTAGATTCTCTCTCCTCTCATCCATAACACCATTCCACACTCCTACATGAAACGAATCTAAATGATAATCTAACCAAACCAGGGCGTCGGCGAATACGAATCCATCGAGCCCAGCGCCGAACAACCCGACTCCCTCGTCATCGCATTCAAGGAGCGCTACCTCGCGGAGAAATTCATGTTCGGCACGCGAGACATCCCCTCCGTCGGCCAGGTGCAGCTCACCTGGGTGGCCAACCCGCCCATCAGCCTGGGGTCGACTTCTGGCTCTGTCCCGTCGGACATGAAGACGGCTTCGGATGAGGACACGGTCATGGATATTGGGGCTGAGGGGGGGAGGAAAGATGGTGGTGTGGGGGCGGGGCAGGGACAGGGGCATGCGGATGTGGATTATGATGTGGCGGAGGTGGATGATAGTTGGGGGGTGGAGTGAGAGGATACGTACATACATACATACATACATACATACCTATACTTGAGGGATGATGGGATGGGGTGAGATGGATGGATGGGGATGGATGGGAAGGTAGATAGATGCCTCTGCTGCTGCTGTTGTTGTGGGATAGGCTTTGCTTGGTCGATTGGGCGTTAAGTGGATGGGTAAAAACTGCATATTCTTTTCTTTTCTTTTCTTTTCCTTTCTTTTTCTATCTTCTTATATTCTTACTCGGGATAGATTGAGGGTTGTATGAGTTATTGGTGTTGAGTGATGATTTGTATATGGAAGAATTACCAAAAGTGATCAGAAGCACACCCGCCAGGTCGTATACTGGGCGATAGCGCCACTGCAGTGATCAGGATCAGGAATAAAGAAGATGAGAGTTAGAAGAGAGCCGGCAATAAAGATTATAATGAAGACAAGAATAAGATAGAGCGGTTATCTAAGATAGAGAATACTTATAGTAGGGTTGGTCTTGGAGAAGCATAAGAATAGTAGAGAATTATTTAGACTGGATTAAGAGATTAGTAGAGATATAGATATAGATATAGATATAGATTTTATAGAATTTAGAGATTTTAAAATAAATAAATATACTAGACTAGACTGTTTGATACTTTCCCAGATTATTCAGAATATAAAATTAATCAGTAATAATAAGAGTTAAGTTAGTGAAAGACACCAACGGTCTACTAGTAGGGGAGTTGTTGCCACTGAGCCAAAGGGCTAACATGAGTTACCCGCAGTTACCTGCGGACCCTTAGAATCCCATATATACTATAAGTATACTCAAGTACATCCGGGAGGAGGTGGGCTTCACCCTTGTAAGTATGCATGTCCCGCGGATATCATCCCTTACATTAGTCTATATGATAAAGTTGGGGTTTATCATTTATGAGTACGGAGACCCTATCTAGATTCTAGTCTACACCTTTACCTCTGCCACGGTCTGAAGGTAACAATTATGTTTCCTGGGGACTTACCAAGCTTCTCAGGAGTTGTTCTTTGGGGGGGGGTAATTGCTTCGATTTCTTTTTTGTTAAGATCTACATCGGATTCTGCTGTCTTTGGCTGTTCATGCAGATTGAAGATGACTGATGATTGTATCGTGGTTGGTTTATTGATTCGGTGTAGTAGTAGCTTGAGTGGTATAGTGTATTAGTAGTGTAACTCTGGCTCTATGAGATGGATGTATGGATGTATGGATACTACTACCACTACTGTACTACACCCTCCACCCTCCACCCAGTCCTATCTGCTTTTACTTGCTGATAAGAATAATAGTAGTAGTTGTGCAATCGACCCATTCTTTACCTGTAACTGCTACAGTAATTGTCCAATTTCCATTCCCTTGAACCAACCAAAAAGATACACTTCATCATGAGGAAGCAGCCTGGGTTGTGTGCTGTTAACCACCCAACCAGATTATATAGTACTGCATGGTAGACAGATGTTTCATCCGATTTATACCTCCAGACTTCACCACGCCACACCCCAATGCAGCTAGCTCACTAGTAGCCAGTGTATTGTATCCAGACTCTATCGGGTCCGGTGAATGAGTCAGTCAGTCAGTCAGTCAGTCAAGAAGTCAAGAAGTCATCCCCTCCATATCCTGCGGGACCAGTTCGACCATATACCCATTCTGCAGTCGTAATCAATCAGTCAGTGTGTCATGGCAACAGTCAGTCAGTCAATTAAGGTGAATTCAGGCAGCCAGGCCTATAGATCCCCCTCCCATCCTATAGTATATAATATATATATCCCACACTCCATTCCCCCAAGTAGTCCAATCCTAGTACTTACCACTACCACCCCCTTCTCCCTCTCCACCCCCCAAGAAAACAAACAAACAACAAAAAAAAATAAAAAAAAAAAAGAAGAGAGAAGGAAATACTAACCGGATCCTCAACACACGCAATCCTCGCCCAAATCCGCAAAAACCCCCCCTGGAGCGCCTCGTGCGCGATCCCCCTACTCACCTCCCACTCACTAATCGGCACCGTCTCCCTGCCCACCTCCCCCAACTCCTTGATAACCCTGACCCCTTCCCCCCTCAGCCTCTCCACCGCCTCCCCAACATCCGGAACCGAGAAGCCAAGGTGGCCGAATCCGAGATTCGGAGGGATATTCCCGCTTGATACCTTTCCGTTATTATAGCCGGTGGGTGGAGCTGAAGCTGCAGTTGCAGTTGCAGTTGCATCTACAGCTCTGGAGGAAGGAGAGGAAGAATCGGTGGCGGCTGTGGCAGTGGTGACAACATTCTCCGAACCATGCATGTAATAAAACTCCAACAACCCCAACGTCCTCGTCAGGGTGGGGATATGGGCGGTGCGCTCGGCCCAGCGGGCCACGTCGGCGCGGTCGGCGTCGGTGGCCGGGTAGCCCAGGTAGTAGATGGTGAAGGGGCCGGCGTTGAGGGTGAAGACGGTGCGCATGCCCATGAGGTCGAGGTAGAAGTGCAGGGTGGAGGTGGGGTCGGTGGTGCGGAGCATGAAGTGGTTGAGGTGGTAGGATTTGGTGGCTGGTGGGGGGGGAAGGGGGTTTGATTCCCTTCTCCTGCTGCTTCGGATCCTCGTGGATGACCTCCTGGGAGGAGGACGCCTGGGGGGTTGTTGGTCGTCATTGTTTTGGGAGGAGGTGGAGGTGGAGGTTTGAGATGGGAGGGTTGGTGATGGGGTAACCGTAATTAATAGTCGTCTTATGGGGGTATATTGGGATGATCAAGATGAGATAGGCCGTGAAGCGACAGAACGATGATTAAGCTGGTTCTTGGTTTTGATTGTGGCTCTGACTTTGCCTTTGCCTTTGACCCCAATTCTGCCCCCAATACAACCGATTAAGCTGCCTCTCAAACGGATTCTTAATGGCCAGCTGTATCAGCAACGGGGGAATCTGGCCCAGGATCCAGAGCAAGAAAGGGGGCTCAGGCTCGGGCTCAGACTCAGGCGAGGGTGAGATCGAACAGAAAAGACACGTAAAGATCGACGTGGAGGTAAAACCAAAGAGGGTCACCAGATGCAGCACGAAAGTGATGTGCCGGATGTTGAACTCAAGGGTGATGGTGTTGGCATGGACCATCTCCATTGTAGATGATAGTAATAGCGATAGCAATAGGAAAATAAATGTTCTGACACAAAACTACAGGGTAATTTCTACTGGACAGCCATCCATGACTCAATCATGACCTGTACCTCGACGGCTGTTCGGGCCGGGGATTCCCACCACAGGGTTTGGATATTTGGATATTTGGATTGTGAACTTCTTTATGCCTGGCAGGTAGTGTACTGTAGTGTAGGATAGGATAGGATAGAAGAAGCCCTAAGATGTGGACTTTATTCTAGAGAATCCAGATGCAGGCAGGGACAGTGTCAACTGCTCCATCTCATATCGGGGATTGATGTCAGTCAAAACCCAGCAAAATCCCAGGCTTATCCAGCTGATTCCTTCTCTTTCCAGCTATTCCCAGCTATCCCAGAGTCATCTCAAGTAAAAAAGGTCTAGTCTGTCTGTCTGTCTGTCTGATAACAGTTTATATACTTTTCACCAACATCCCCAAAAACCAAGTCAGTGCTTCAAGCGTATCATGATAGTCCCATAAGCCTGAAAAAAGGTGCGGCCGGATTCATCCAGTTACCAAAAGCCCAGTAAATAGACAACTATTCACCGCTTCCCCCCTCAAACTCATCATCACTATCACTGTCCATCTGGTCCAGCATGCGGTCAATCTCATCGCCCGCCTGCGCTTCCAGACCAATCGACTGCCCGCGGAATCCGTATACCGGGCGCCCATGGTCCGCGCCGACATGTGAATCCTGGCTGCACGGCACGCGGGCATCCGATCCGCGCGAGTCGCTGCTGCTCTGGAAGGGCAGGTGACGCTGCGAGGGCTGCGAGGAGTGGTAGCCCGAGTGGGAGTGGCCCGGGCTGGACATGAAGAGCAGCGTCTCAATGGCGTCCTGCTCCATCGCGCTGCTGCCATTATACGGCGTCGGCGTCGGCGTCGGCGTGGAGGTGTTCTGGCTGGACGGCCGCAGCGGGGGCGTCCCCGGGACGAGCACTCGCTCTAGGTTTGCTGCTGGTCTGGACACCCCAAACTCCTGCTGCGAGTGGTGCCTGCGGTGCAGGAAAGGGGGGAAGTGCGTCGGCTTAGTCACCTCGTTGGGGTTCGGGCGGCGGCGTCGACTGCTGCTGCTGCCTGCGCTGGCGATGATGTCTGCTGGCGGGGCGAGTTTGGGGCGCGCCTGGACAGGGAGGTGTGGTTTCGGATCAGGTGGAGATGGCGATGCCTCTGCGGACCAGGCCACGGGGGATAGTCGGGCAGGGCCATTCAGAGGGTGGGTGTGGGAGGTTGGAGGCGGATTCAAGGCGACCAACTGTTGGGTTTCTGGCTCGCCCAGGGAGACCAGGTGCTCGATCTTGATCGGAGAGTCCGTGCTCGGGGATCGCGAGTGGCCGTGAGTGTGAGTCTTCCTGTTCTTCTCGATTTTGGCCGCGGCGTACGACAGCCGCGTGCGCAGGTGAACGGACAGCTACTCTGATCAGCACTGATGCGTCATGGCCCATGGTCACAGGGGTTGATTTACCGCTGCGATCTTGCTCTCCCGCGAAAGCGACCCGATGCTTCTCGATCGACGCCTCTCGACCCCTACCCCTACATGAGCCACGCCCGACGTATCCGAAAGACCCTTGGCGACGCCAGCTGCCGTCCTCTTCTGCCCGGCATTATCATCCGACGGGCTGCGCGGTGCTAATACCGGCGGACGGCGGTGGATACTGGAAGCCAACATGTCGGGCACGACCTGTCCATGCGTGGACGCGTGCACGCTCGTCCATGCAGGTTCTGACGGCACCCGGACGCGCGACGAGGGCAGTGTAGTGGAAGAATCCGGGGGCTCTTGCGGAATGGAGGCCAGCCCCGCGGGGAATGGAGAGTGGGAGGGGTGTCTCTGGTGCTTATATAGCGAGGGGTCTGGGTCGTCTGGCGACTTTACAGCCGGGTCTGACGATGACGCGCTGGTGTGCTCCAGGTCCGAATCGCTGGGAACTGTGAGGGGGTGGTTGCGGGCGGCTTCAGCATGCCGCGAATCCAGCTGCAGCGGAGAGTGGGAAGAGTGCATGTGTTGGCGCCCATCTAAGCGCGACGATCGGCTCATGCTGATGGAGCGGCGAGGGAGCTGCAACGGAACGGGATTCAACACGACGCTCGGATGTGGGGCTCGATCATTCCTCCGAAGCCAGCAGAAGCGGTTGCAGTCTATCTAGATGAGCTGTCAAGCCCACGGCCACTGAGCGATTGAGGCTGCAACCGCCCACCTGGCACCAGGTGGGATCCAGATGGGATTCCGGGACGCAGGCTGGCTGCTGGCTGCTGCAAGGGGCTGATCCGAGGAATCTACCCGCGCAAGGCGTGGGACAAACAAAGCCCGTTGCGTTGGTCTTTACTCCCGACGGCGGAGGCAGGGCCGGAGATCGCGAGGGAATGGAGGGGAGAATGCCATATGAAAGCAGGCCAGGCTACATGGGGAGGAATTGGCCGGCGAGGAAGCGATCTGGGCGCTGGCAGCCCACGGAGGGGGAAGATGGACAGGAATCCTGGGGGGAGGGGATCTGTTCGATCGACTTGCAGGAGGCGAAGGCGAGGACGAGACGAGACGAGACCGAAAGGCCGACGCGTTCGCGGCGCGGTCACGTGCTGTCAATACGGTACACGTGATCCCGCCCAGAATCCTCGGAGGCACTCGGAGGTACTCGGAGGTACTCGGAGTACTCGTGGAAACAACAATCTATTCCTGGTATAGAGCATCATGAGTAGTAGAAAGACAGATAGAAACAACACGGCCGACGATCGCATCGGCCAGGTAGGATTCAACGCCCGCCACCATGCAACATGTAGGTAGATACACATCGACATTATTCACAGTAACTTTTAACAATCCCAAAAAGCAACAACGGCCCTGCTTCACCGGCGCTTCTTGCCCCCTCCCCCTTCGCTGTCGGTGTTCTTGCGCTTCTTACCTTCGCGGCGCCAGTAGTCGTCGCGCTCCCTCTTCTCGCGCTCGGCCTTCTTCTCCAGCCCCTCCGCGACCTTGGCCCGGTACACCTTGCGGCGCTCCTCCTGCTTGACCGCGCGCTTGGCCTGCTTATCATTGCGCAGCGTGTTGAGCTTCTGCATGAGGTCCCGCGCCTTCTTCTCCTCGCCGCCCAGCACCACCGCCCGCTTCTGCATGTACGTCTTGTCCTTGCGGCCGCGCATCTTGGTGATCTGCGACTTGAAGGGAAGCTCCGCCGCCAGCTTGCGGGGCACGCGGAGCGGGTTGAAGTGGCGCTCCTGGCGCTCGATCGGGCGGTACTTCGATTCCTTGAGCAAGGGCGTGGGGATGCCCTTCTCGCGACGCACCTCGCCCGTCAGGCGCATCGCCTGCCAGCCGTTGTCGCCGGGCGTCTCCTCGTTCAGATCCAGCAGGTTCGTCACGGGGTTGTAGAAGCGGTGGGGCTTGATCGGGTACCAGGCTCGGAGGAAGACAATGTCGCTCATGAGGATCTTGTCCTCGAAGGTGGCACGGAAGCATCCCTCCGGCTTGCTGAGCGCACGCTTGATCTGACCCCGGATGCCGGACACGGTCCGGATCGATGCGCCTTCGAACTTGGCGATTTCGAGCGACGAGTTGAACATGTCCTTGATGAAGGCCGTGTTGCGGAAGATCTTGTACGCATGACCGGTGAGCTTGAGCTTCTTCACGATCTCCGTGTGCTCGTCGACGCTCAGCACCACACCGGTGGCGGCAATGCGGAACCCGGGGGCTTTGTTGGAGAAGGACTGCATGCAGCAGAAACCGGTGTTGGGCGCCACCAGAGGCCCGTAGAACGTGGCAAAGCAATGCATGTGTTCGGGCGTGTACTTGAGCATGCGGTTACGCGTCCGACTGTCCGAGGTGCTGTACATCGGCAACGTCTGGAAGCGGCGCCAGCCAAGCGAGAAGATGAGAGGGTCGTTGCTCTTGAGGATCTTCTTGTGCCAACGATGTCTCTTGATGCGGATCTGCACGTAGCCGAACCGGTCCTCCGTCGGTGCCAGTCCACCCACGATCACCGGATAACGGGGGTTGAACTTGGTGGAGAACTCGCAGGGCACGTTCTCAAGCACAATGCGCGCATAGGTTCCCGCCTTGAAGCCCTCCGCGCGAGCCCGCGCAGCCGGGTCGAGCAGGTCGAATTCGGCGCGGTTCACGTCGATCTGCTTTTGCATCTTGGCCTTCTGTGCATCGTACCAGTCATCCTCGCCGAACTCTTCCTCGCCCGTACCACCGGCCCCTCGTGAATTGTCCTTGGAGTTGCCGAACCCTTCACGGTCCTCTTCCTCGAATCGTAGCCGCAACTCCTCTTTCTTTTTCGCATTGCGTTCTCGCTCTGCATCCAAGTCCACAGGGCCGTCCTCCCGGGTTTCACCCTCGGCATCTTCTTCATCAGACAGACCGTGGAACTCCTCGCCGGTCTCCAGATCTTCGAACTCTCCATCGCCCTCATCATCCTCATCATCCTCATCAAAGTCATCGTCCGAGCCATCGCCATCGCCAGAAAGTTTGGCAGTGGAGAAGCGGGACCGCAGAGACTCGATCATCTCCTCGTCTTGCCACTTCTCTTCCAGCTTCTCGTAGTCGTATTCCGGGACGGCACGGTACTCCAATGCCTCTTCCAGCTCAACGTTGGTCTTTCGGAAAAAGGTATCGTCCTCTTCGCCTTCCTGGTCCTCCTCGTCGGGAGTCTCCACCTTGCCGCTCCATGTGCGGATCACATCAGCAGGCGTAATGGTTTCATCGTACAGCATGCGCGACAGGTCGGTGATGCGGAACTTGGGGCGTTTCGAGTGAAGGGCCTTGGCGTTGGCAAGCATGTTCTCCTTCCAGCGAACCTCACCCTCCTCGTCCTCGTCATCCTCCTCGTCGTCATCCTCGTCTTCATCTTCATCGCCGCTTTCCAGGATCTGATCTTCGACAGACGAGATGGAACCGAGATCCGAGTCCGAGTCGGCAAACTCAAGCTCGTCCTCCTTCTGGCGAACGTTGCCGTTCTGCCTCTCCTTGAAATTGGCCTCAAAGTCCGCGGGGGCAGAGGCATCAATTTCTTCATCGCTGCCGATCTCCTCATCCTCGTCATCATCCTCCTCATCCTCACCACTTTCAAACCCTTCGTCTTCTGACGCAGCTTTGTCTTCTCCATCCAGGAAGCGGACGCTTCGCTTCTGCTTCCGTCCAGCGGCCTCGTTGTCGTCATCCGCCTTTGCGATGGCTTCGCCGCCACGGAACAGACGCACACCGCTTTCCGCCTCTCCCAGGAGCCTGCGCTCACCCTGGAGACCAACCACCAGCTGTTCTCCGAGACCGCGGTCCTCATCGTCCTCCTCATCGTCCGAGCCGCGGTTGAAGTTGGAGGATTTGACATCAATGTACACAGCATCCTTGTCGACCAAGACACCACCGACGTCGGACATGGGCGCGAAAAGCAGCTTCTGCTTCTCTCCCAGTCTGCGCTTGGGCTTGCCGTTACTGGCCTTGGCGATCTGCTGATCCATGTGCGGAGTCGGGCACGGATCCGGGAGGGCCTCGATGCCAGAAACCGTCAAATCACCGACACCCGGGACGTGGACTCGCGCGCCTTGCGCGGAGAAATTAGTGCCGCGCAGATATCCGTAGAGCGCAACCGTGCGGTCGCATTTCGGGTTCTCTTCGATCAGAGTCGGCGGGGTGATGTCGAGGAAGCGATCCGCGAGGGCGTAGGGGTGGGAGTTACGCCAGATGAGGGGTCTGGGGTTCTTCATGACGGACAGGAAGCGGGACAAGTTGTGGATTTCGCGGTCCGGGTAGCGGCCGTTGACGACACCGGACAGGTAGAACAGCTTTGCGCCGTTGTAGAGCTCGCTCCAGAAGCGGTGCTTCAAGCGCTTCTTGGCGGCCTGCAGGGTGCTCTGCTTCTTGAAGAGATCCAGGTGGGTCAGAATGCCGAACACGTTTCCGGGCATACCGTGCGAGGAGAGGACGTTCAGGAACTCCATGGTCTCCATCTCGAAGCCGTAGTTTCCGTCAATCATCAGGAGCACGATGTCCGCGATCTTGGCCACGTCGACCATGCTGGCGAGGGAGTCGGAGGGGCATTCGAGGAACGTAAGCCGGCGTTTCTTGGATGTCACCACCGTCATCGGTCCGGTGGGGGTGCTTAAGGTCTGTTTCGTGTACCGACGGACCAAGGACTTGATCAGGGTCGTTTTTCCACTCTAGAAAACCACCTCGTCAGCATCACCACACCTCCAAAGCCCATCCATCCATCCATCCATCCATCACTCCCAAGTGTACTGTACTCACCCCTGGCGGTCCGACAATGGCAACAACAAGCGGAGGGGCCTCCTCCGGCAGGCGATCAACGAGGGGAACATGAAGTCTCTTTTCTTTGATCTAAACAGCAGCAAGGTATCAGTGACCGTCCTCGCCCAATCCACAGAACCAGAAACAGCAAAACACCCGGGCGCATAGGAGTATAGCCCGACATACATCATGAGATCTCGCTCCCGCCTTATTCAACTTTCCTGGATTCGAGAACGCAAAAGCCTTGGGATTCTGACCTAGACAGGACACCAAGTTTTATCAGTATGCAGTCCAGCCCGCGTAGCATCTCAACTCTTTAACAACTTACCCTCGTACTTCTTCTTCTCCTTTGCGGGGCGATGCGCCCTGTTCGCTTGCTGCTCCATCCTGGCAAAGACGAGGCTCTGCGAACCTCACTCACTCACGGAAAAAAGACACCTTCCCCCTGGTGAAGTGAGAAAAATTCGAGCAATCGCAATCGGCGAGCTGCTTGCCTCGTGGGTGGTCCAGAAGCTCGGCCTCTAAAATTATTATTTCCATTTTCTTCGCCGGGCGCCGCTTTCTTCCGAGCCGAGATTTCCGGCAGAAAAATGGGGGGCCGGGTGGGCGGTACAGGTTGCAGCCTCAGGCAGGTTTACGCAAGCGGGATGTACAGCCTCAGGCAGGAAATGCCATGACTAACGCGATGATGCCGTTAATTCGACTATCGCCGGCCCGGGGCCACGCGATAAGGGCTCAACCCCCACCAGATCGGGCCGATTTGGGCGTGCGGAATCATCCGGAGTTATCGCGACGACCCTCCTTGTCTGGAAACTGGCACGACAAAGCGGGGCAGGATGGGGCAGGATACGATAAGGAGCGCTGCGACTGCGAGGATCGGCTTGCGTATGCGGCAGCCTGAGCCATGTGCTATCTATCTATTAAAGCATGCGGTCCAGCGCTGGAGCGACGGATCCTCAGGTCTTAAGAGTTAACTTTCACTCGGACACTCTATACTATACTCTCTACATCGACCGTACCAGACAGACAAGATGACCACCGCACGTCGCCCTCCCCCGGCCTACCAGGCCTCTTCCGACTCCGCGATCTACGCGACCTCAAAGCTATACCGCTCTATCTCCGAGACGGCGAGCTCACCCTCGCAGCGCACCCTCGAATCGTCGTTCACGATCCGTCCCTGCTCGGGCCAGGCCTGGGTCGTACCAGCGGGACATATCTGCCGTCTGACGACGCCGAAGGGACCGCAGGTGGGCGACCTGAATATCTGGAACGCCAACAACCCGCGCGAACGACTCTGGGCGGCGCGCACGCGCCAGATCCACGCGTCTCACGTCTCTGTCGGCGACCGTTTGTGGTCGAACCTGCCGTACCTGCGGCCTCTGGTCTCGATCACGGGAGACTCGCTGGCAGGCGGCCAGCTGCATGAGGTTCTGGATGAGAGTGGCGCCCGGAAGGAGGGGAAGGGGTTCGGAACGACGCAATTCGGAGGCCGGGTCCACGATCTGCTGGGTACGCGGTGCGATCCGTATGTTAACCTGGTCATGGGGGGAGAGAGCTTCGACTACCACTGCCACTCGAACCTCACCCGGGCGGTTGTGCCGTATGGGCTGAACGAGCTGGACGTGCACGACGTGCTCAATGTTTTTCAGGTGACGGGGCTCACCGAGGAGGGGAAGTATTTCATGGAGACGTCGCCCGCGAAGCCGGGGGAGTATTTCGAGTTCTTTGCTGAGGTCGACGTGCTGTGTGCGCTGTCGGCGTGTCCGGGAGGTAAGCAGTCAAGTCATGGTGGCGAGATTCTTGAATAGCAAGTAAGGAAGGTACTGACTTCAGCGAAACAGGTGACCTGTCGAACTGGGGCTGGGAGGAGAAGGCGGACATGGGCGCTACCACCCGTCCTCTCGGGGTGGAAGTGTACCAGCTGGCTGATTCTAAAGTGCTGGAGGGATGGACGGCGCCGGAGAGTCCGAAGTACGCGGGCATGCACGGGATGAAGATGCCGCAGAGAGAACAGGACGGGTCGGGCCATGTTGGGCTATAGTCGCATAGCATGTGTCTAGTAATCAATCAATATGAAGAACACCCATCTCAACTATGCTTCTTTGAGGCTGACTTCGCTGCAGTGTAACGAGACGAGCAGATCTTGATAGGCGCGGAATGAATCCGTGTCCTGAGACGACGCATGGGTAGTCTAACAAGTAAAGGTCCAGAATCCAACCCCAACCCCAGCCCCACGGTCCGAGTGTCTGCAGGATGCGATGCTTTATCTCATGACAGCAGCAAGTCCCAGCAAGTCGGAGGGAATAGCTGCCACCCCGTGCGACGGGATGCTTGCTGCTTATCACGTACAGAGTCGGCCATTGGTGCTAACAAATCCCTCATCCGGGATGCTGGGCCAACACATGAGGCCCAGAAAATTCCCTCGCACAACAGACAGCTTGGATATAATCACTCTGTCTGTTCCTTATCTTATATTTCTTTCTAATAGACACCCATCGGATGAGTTTGCAGAGATAAGGAGTTGCACGATCATCTGGACGGCGTCCCACGGCTCGTATAGATGGCTTCAATCTGGCTATTCCCTAGGTGGGACAAACACGTGGGACCCGCGTTGAGGCAGCAGGAATGGGATGGCTCATAGGCTGGCTCGTCTTGTATAAGAAGGGTTCTGTCGTCCTGGTCGAGGTTTGTGAGAGGTGAATGGTGGAGGCGAATCTGACCTGACCACTGCGGACTGCTGCCTGCAGCTATTCACTCCAGCTAGTGTCTGCGGCGCTTTTCTGTCCTTTGTCTGCTCTTTGTCTGGCAATCTGACACCTACTCAACACAAAGACCAGTGATGCAAGATATGAGCTTTCGAGAAACCAAGATGGACCCAGATACAGAGGGATCTGTGGACCCAGCCGCACACGACAACATGGACGTCTCTGAAAAAGCCCTCAAGTCCCACGATCCAGTCTACAACATCCGCCCCTGGAACAATCATCTGGACCGGAGTCTTAGTAGAAGAACGACTATCGACGAAGACGATGACCCCGGTCTGCGCCGACCCGGCGACTACAAGCAGAAGCAGGTGTTCAGCGGGAAGATGCTGCTTTGGCTGGCATACCAGTCAATCGGGGTCATCTACGGCGACATCGGGACCAGCCCTCTGTATGTGTACTCGTCCACGTTCAGTGAGGCGCCCTCCCGTGAGGACCTGATCGGCGTGCTGTCCATCATCATCTGGAGCATTACCATGATGGTGACCGTCAAGTACATCTTCGTGATCCTTCACGCGGATAACGATGGGGAGGGGGGCACTTTCAGCACTTATTCCCTTCTCAGCCGCTATGTATGCCGGTTTCCCTCCATCCATCTCTCTCCATCGTGCACAGCCTGACCTCTCCAGATGAACATCACCCACCGCGACCCCCGAGAAGCCTCCCTCGTACAGATGAAGCGACATCTCTCGACCGACCTCGAACGCACGAGCCGCTACGCACGCCACAGCCTCGAGACCAGCAAGTTCGCGAAACGCCTCCTCAAAGTTGTAGGAGTACTCGCCGTGACAATGGTCCTCGCGGACGGACTCCTCACGCCCGCACAATCCGTGCTGGGTGCGGTCCAAGGCATCGAAGTCGTCTCGCCCAACATCTCCAAAAGCACAATAATCGGCGTGACAGACGCCATCCTGGTGATCCTCTTCCTCATTCAACCGCTCGGAATCACGCGCTTCACTTTCGCGTTTGCGCCCATCGTTATCATCTGGCTGGGCTTCAACGCCGTGTTCGGGATATACAACCTGGTCAAGTACGACGCCGGGGTGTTCGTGGCGTTCAACCCGGGAGAGGCATTCCACTTTCTAATCCGGAACGGAGAGTCGGGGTGGAGGATGCTCAGTGGCACCCTGCTTGCGTTTACGGGCGTCGAGGCCCTGTTTGCTGATTTGGGGGCGTTCAGTCGGAGGGCCGTGCAGATCAGCTGGCTGTGCTATACTTTCCCCTGTTTGCTGCTCGCGTATATTGGCCAGGCGGCGTATATCAGTGTGCATCCGGAGGCGTACTCGAATCCGTTCTATGAGGCGGCGCCGCCCGGGACGATCTATCCTGCGCTGGTAATTGCCATTCTGGCGGCGATTGTTGCTTCGCAGGCTATTATCACCGCGACATTCCAGGTATGTGCTGCCTGGAGTCTGTATAGCTGTTTAACAGGTTAGCCATCTAACACTCCTCCAGCTGCTAGCACAAGTCATGAAACTGTCATACTTCCCGCAGATCAAGGTGATCCACACGTCCGACATCTTCCACGGGCAGCTGTACGTGCCCATCGTGAACTGGATCTTAATGATCGGAACCATCCTGATCGCCACCATCTACAACAACGTACGTCCCCCCCTCTCCTATACAAATCTACCAACCCAACACTAACAAAAAAAAAAAAAACAGACGACCTCCCTCGGCAACGCCTACGGCGTCTGCGTAATCTTCGTAACCTTCTTCGACACCAGCATGGTAGCAATGGTCGCGATCTTCGTCTGGCGCGTCAGCCCCTTCCTGGTCCTCCTCCCCTGGCTCACCATCGCCTGCCTGGACGGCGCATACCTGTCGTCCGCACTCACAAAGGTCCCCACCGGCGCATGGTTCACCCTGGCGGTGGCCACCCTGCTAGCCCTCATCTTCCTATTGTGGCGCTTCGGCAAAGAACAACAATGGCTCTCCGAAGCCACCGACCGCTATCCCACCTCGCACTTCATCGCCCAAGCCCCTGACGGGAAAGTCCGTCTCACGCCCCGCTTCTCCAACATCCCACTGAGCACGACGCGCGGGGTGGGGATCTTCTTCGACAAGGCGGGCGAAACCACCCCCATCGTGTTCAGCCAGTTCGTGCTCAAGTTGACGGCCGTGTTTGAGGTCATGATCTTTTTTCATCTCAGGCCGATTGAGGTCCCCTCTGTGCCGTTGGAGGAGCGCTATGCGGTTTCGAAGCTCGCCGTCCCGAATTGTTATCGTCTGGTCGTGAGGTATGGGTATAATGATGAGATTATTTCGCCGGATTTGGCCAGGACCGTGACGGAGCAGGTTAGGGGGTATTTGGTTGAGAGGGGGTTCGGGAGGGGGCAGGGACATAGGAGTGGAGAGGGAGGTGGTGCGAAGCAGATCGACGCAGATGCGAGTGCGAGTGCGAGTGCGAGTGCGAGCGAGATTCAATCAAGTCGGGATCCGGATCTCAATCCAGATGCCGACGCAGCTGCAGACGAACCCATCTCTGTGTCCGAAGAAACAAGCACCGACCCGCTAGCCCGCCTCGAGAAGGCGTACGCACACAACGTACTCTACATCACAGGCAAAGAACAAATGAGGATCAGAAAAGGCACGAATATCTTCCGAGGACTGGTGCTGTGGATTTTCCTGTGGATTCGGGATAACACGCGCGCGAAGATTGCGTCGTTGGGGTTGGAGGCGGAGAGGGTGATTGAGGTGGGGTTTTTGAAGGATATCTAAGTGAGGGTGGAGTGATTGCCAGGACTCGGGGGATGGGAGAGTTGATTAGGAGGGCATTGATGGTTGGTTGGCTGGTTGGTTGTTTCTCTTGTGATTGTGATTGTGATTGGCCGGTTATGTACATAATGCTGGGGTTGAGGGGCATAGTATAAGGTGATTTTCAAAGGGGATGCGATAGGTATTGGTGCTGTGCATGTGTTCCCTGGTTCAATCTTACCAGATACTTGGGATCACAATGAACACACTACACCATAGGCAGATAATGAAGTCCCATCGAATACAGCAAAAGTTAATAATCTCGATCGGGACACAGGAGGAGTGGTATGTAATACACGACCACCCGTGCAATACGACCGCAGATTAGTATCCAGTGCTTTATATCAAGGCCTATTCAGTCCAAGTGAAGTGCATAGTCTCCAATCCAGCAAGTCACCAAATCAAATCGGTCCGATCCCAAACGCATCATTACCCAGCGACAGCTTTCATAGGTCTGTTGCGAAGCATCAGAAGTGTGCGACTTACTGTTATGCCGACGGGCTTATAATAAAACAGACACAAGGATTTATAAAGATGATCTTATAAACTCTTTTATTTATTTATTCTTTTATGATTCTCTCTTATCTTGCTCTTAACTCTTAATGAGTTCTCTTGATTTATCCTTGATTATCTGCTGGGTCCTTCTTTACTCCTTTCATAGTAAAAGTACACTAATCTTCTCCAGTCTCATTCATACTTCATAGTATACATAATACCGATATTCGCCGCACTAATCACCAAAACCACCAAAGCCAACAACTAAGCAGCCATATAAAATCACATCGAGATATTACATACCAAAATAAAACAAGTACTGACCAGACATCTCATACGGGCTTCTTTACTGCCAAACATACAAGTGCTTTCCTGTTTCCTCAGTTGCATGGATACGGCAATGGCAGACACTCTCAACCAATCACGCCCCGAATCAGTGCACATCCAAGAAATGCCAAGAAACAGCACAAAATGCTGGCGACCGGACACCGAACTGAGGAGATACGGGAGGCACAGCGCCCGAAAGCGCAAGAAAGTGCCCATACACCGTAGAAAGGAGGACTGCGTTATGAATATGAATCTTCCATCCCGTTCCGCCAGACTCCTGAAAAAGAAAATTATCAGCGCTATAGAGTCTCTCCAGTGCATGGATGTACCTGTTTTTTTTTAAAAAAAAATTTTTTTTCTGTCAGAGTACTCTGTAGATCCTCAATCGATGATGCAATTCCAGATGGCGCGAGGGACAGGTTTCACGTGACTGCCCCTCGCGGGATAGCGTCATCGGGCATGCGTCATTGCCGCGGTCGACCGCTGTGCCCCGTCCGTCGAGATGCATGCAGGGTGGGGTGTAAACACCGAGTGCGACTGAAGGGTAGGGAATGGGGGTGATGGCGCAAGTGGACGCTGTCAGTCACGGCACACGGAGGAGAGGCGTGAAGCAGCAGCAGCAGTAGTAGTAGTAGTACACAGCCCCTCCCCTCTAGCGTTAGAGGGAATCATCAGAAGAAGAATCATGTTGACTGCCTTATCAGCGGTGGGATTGAGTCACCCCCGCAGAGGGGGGTGCCTAGCAGCAGCCGCCGCGAGTATAAAGCTGTGCCTCGTCCCACCCTGGCAACCCTTTTCTTCTGTAGTACATACGACGTCCACCTGCCACTTTCACTTCCACCCGTCCGTGCTTCAGACACCTACGCTTCCACGCTTCCACCACACCACGCCCATCAACATGCCTTTCTACAACGTATGCTACGCTTCCTCGTCCTCTTTGCATCCCGACCAAAGCTAATGCTGGTTTAGGTTACCCTCAAGAAGGACTCCCCCCCCGAGGAGCTCCAGAAGTGAGATCTCCACCCCCTGCTCCCATCCTCTGCCATCCTCTGCGAATGATTCTGACTGAGATCTTGTCTCCAGGGCCAAGGACAAGGCCGTCGAGCAGGGCGGTTCCATCAAGCACGAATACACCCTGATCAAGGGCTTCACGTAAGACCTGCCTGACCCGCCGCCCCGCGTCCACCCGCGTCCACCCGCGTCTCACTGCAGCCCCGATACCCAAGAAATCCCAGCTAACAACCCCCTCTCCCCCCCTAGTGTTGAATACCCCGCCGACCACGTCTCCGTCCTGGAGTCCTCCGACCACATCCACGTCGAGCAGGACGGCGAGGTCTCGATCCAGTAGATCCGCGCTGGCCGTCGCTGACTGGCCGGCACAACACAATGAATAGTTGATCGCCGGGGAGGCTTCGATGTTCCGATGGCATTTTCTTCTTTGTTCTCGTCTCGTCTTCTCTCGTCTAGAAGATGCCGATGTTTCGCATGTACGAATTACGATAGTCCTGTAGCAGGGGCGGTCTTGTGAGTCCAGATCTGCTGTGCGGTTTCTGGTCTAAACGGGGCGGTTCTTGTGATGTTATGCAATAGTATTTACCTACTACCATACCTTTCGACCGACGTGCTTGTAATTCTCATTCTATTCCCCTTCCCCATATAATTTTTCTCACTTTCTTCCGGCCCTTATCTTTTGTTACTTGAGTTTCTCGATAGTCGATCCAGATGACCTCATTTATCACCGTATGACCAGCCGAAACAGGATTTGCAGCCTCACTGCAGGCCGAGCCGCGATTAGCGTGAGATAACCCCGCTGTCTGAGCGCGATCAGTCCGTCCTGTGAGGGATGGGCGTCTAGAGACACAGGAATGCCGATGACCCGCCAACTGGCAAACCCCACCGCACGTGACCCACCGATCACGTCTGGCCAGTGAGGTCATCGATGCTGCGACACTCGCGCCGAAAGACGGACGGACGGCCAGCCAGGACCAGCCATGGCAATAATGATACGAGGACTTCCGACACGATCAGGGGGAGGGGGAGCAATACCTCGATACACACGCGTGCCAACTACTGTCCCACACAAACGCCTCCTCTCGTCCACACCGCCGCACCTCCAAAGCACGACCCGCCACCCCTTCGCGTACGGGGCCAACGATGAAGTCGCACGTCTGGCAGCGAGTCGACGCCGCCCATTGACCCTCGCCGACCTGCTCAAGTACGCCTCACGATCCCCTCCAGACCACCCCACTAACCCTGCAGACACGGCCGCCCGCCCCTATCGAAAGATGCGCTGCTCGCGTCCGCAAACTTCACCCTCTCGCTCCTCCCCGCCCGCCTCGCCTCCCGGATCGAAGCCCTCCGCAACCTCCCCTTCATCGTGGTGTCGAACCCGCACGTCTCCAAGATCTACAACAACTACCTACACTCGCTCTCCACTCTGCTCCCCTACCAGCAACGCCAAGTCACCACCCTCGAGGAAGAGACCCAGTTCGCCGAAGTCCTCGCCGACCTCGTACACACCCACACAAACACCATCCCCATCCTCGCCCGCGGCTTCCTCGAATGTCGCCGCTACATCGACCCCACGGACGTAACCCGCTTCCTGGACACACATCTGCGCGCGCGGATCGGCACGAGGCTGATCGCGGAGCAGCATCTGGCGCTGCACTTCGCGTCGCATCCGCTGGGCGACGTGGCCGGGGAGCAGCGCTCGCGGAATAACAACAACAACAATAACAACAACAAGGACGCGCCGCCCTCAAACTACATCGGGGTGATCGACACCGCACTCCAACCCGCGCGCATCGTCCGGTCCTGCGAAGACTTCGTCGGCGAGATCTGCGAGCTGAAGTACGGGGTGCGCCCCCGGGTAAACATCGGCGGACAGCCCGACGCATCCTTCGCCCACGTCCCAGTGCACGTGGAATACATCCTCACGGAGCTGCTCAAGAACGCCTTCCGGGCTGTCATCGAGAACGGAAACGAGAGCGAACCCATCGAAGTCACCATCGCCGCCGCGCCGGACGTCGTCCCCGTGACCGCGGCCGTGCGGCCCCGCGAGCGCAACACCAGTACCCCGCAATCCGACTCCGATGTCGGGTTCCAGATGGATACGGTCGTGGGCACGGCCGACGCAAACGAGTCCATCAAGTGCTGGACGCCGTCGTCGCAGAGTATCACCATCCGCATCCGAGATCGCGGCGGCGGCATCCCCCCCGACGTCGTGCCGAATGTCTGGTCGTATAGTTTCACCACGTTCTCCGATATCGAGGACGGGGCGGCCGAGAATGGCGGCATGGATGCCCTGAATACTATTGCCTCGAGTGGTGGGCATTTGAGTAGTATTGCCGGTCTGGGGTATGGGTTGCCGTTGAGTAGGGCCTATGCCGAGTATTTTGGCGGTAGTATTGCCATTCAGAGTCTTTGGGGGTGGGGGACGGATGTTTATTTGACCTTGCAGGGAGTGGGGAAGGATAAGTAGGTGGTGGGTGGTGGTTGAGTGATGAGTGAGTGAGTGTGAAGCGAGAGGGGTGGGGGGGGGGGGTTCTACATCAATAAGACTGGCTGGTCTGGCCCATTCTTCCCACTCACTTCTTCCTATCCCCCCTCTTGCACTCAAAATACATATACATAAGAAAGAAAACCAGACACCGACCCAACCAAACACAAAACATCCATAACCAAAAGAGTTATATATTCCAAAATCTCATCTCATCTCAAAAAGCACGCTATCATATCATATCATATCAACAAACCCACAAGCCCAAGCCCAAGCCCGAGCCCGAGCGCAAATCAAATAATGGCCCTTCGCAAGATATATGCAATACTGAGATTTCCCTCCCATCCTCCATCCATCCTCTTTTCTTTCTTTCTTTCTTTCCTTTATTTGTTCCCCTTCTTCTAACGGTTGATCTAAAACCCACCGGCGCCCCTCACCCTCTGCACCGCGCCCACGGCGCCCTTCGCCCAACTGAAATGACCCGGGTCCACGCCGATGGAGCCGGGCGGAAGCTCGTTGGTCTCGGGATCATGCCAGCAGCCGTCTTCGGGGCTGACGGCGCCGTAGATCGCCGTGTTTTGGTTGCGGTCGATGGCGTCGCGCCAGGCGCGGCAGATCAGCGGCGAATCGAGGAGGAAGTTGACTTCTTGGCTGTGGTAGAAGGATTGGGTGTCGAGGTTGCCGTTTCCTATTATTTTGGTTTGGTTGTTAGATTTAGCTAGGTTGGGGGGGTTTTTTTTTATTTTTTCTTTTTTGCGGCGGGAGGTAAACATACCTTGAATAGCAACCGCCTCATCAATAATCATCAACTTGATATGACAGCTTCTGCGCTTGAATTTGTTATGAATGGGGTGTGTCTGGTCCTTCGCGACGTAATTGTGGATCCGGAGGCGAGAGCGCTGCTCGTCCGTCTCCATCGCCTTGTACATGCGGTGGGCGACCATTTCGTTGGTCCCGTTCTGGAAGGGCAGCAGCTCGCCCGCGTCGTTGTAGCCCAGACACAGGTAGGCAGTCACAGTAACGCCGCGGTTCCGGACGGCGTCGATAAGGGCGAGGATGATGGGTTCGGCGTTCATGTTGGGGGTCTGGATGAAGATGGTGCGCTGGGCGTTGTTGATCGCCGCGAGGAAGCTGCTGTTTTGCGGCGTGTGGACGGAGGAGTGGTTGGGGGCGCCCCAGGGTTCGCGGTTGACGACCGCCATGGGGAAGGGGTCGTGTGGGGGAAGGACCAGGTAGGGCTCCATGAGGAGTTCTTGTGTGCTTTCCGGGGCGTCGGCCGTGTGATCTGTTTGGATGGTCGTGTCTGGGGGGTTGGGTTAGTCCTGGCGATAATGGTGGTATTCCGGGGGGAGGGTTGGGGACATACTCAGTCGACGCGTCACAGCGTCAATCCGTCTCTCTCCCTCGCGAGGCTGCAGCAGGCCGTTCATGCGCTGGGCCTCTCGTCGAATGTCCGGGTCGTAGTGCTCGTCCTGGACGGTCAGCTCGGGCAGGGGCTCCGGGTCCGGGGCGTCGTAGTCGGGCTGCTGGGAGGTGTGGCAGGGGATGGGGGCGCCGGTGGCCGGGGATGAGAGCATGGGCAGCGGGGGCTCCAGCGGGCGGCCCCACGAGATCAGGGCCGTGTCGTACAGGCCGTCGACGATGGGGCCCTCGACGTGCTGCATCATCTCCAGGTTGTCGTTGTCCTGGACGTTGCTGCTCTGCAGCAGGCCGATGCGGCGGTCGATGACCATGAACTTGGAGTGGAAGGTGCCGAAGATGGGGCGGTGGTAGTTGACGACCTGCAGGTCGATGTTCGGGATCTCCTCGTGGGAGGGCAGGTGGACCTTGTCGTTGGTGTACTTCTTCTCGGGGACGGGGAGGTGGTTCTCAAAGACCTGCTGGGGGTCGCCGCGGTCGTAGACCATCTTGACGATGACCTTGGTGCCGCGCTCGCCGGCGCGACGCGACAGCTCGCGGAAGGCGTTGGTGACGAGGGTCGAAGCGTCGGAGTGGATCCAGAAGTTGGTGGCCAGGAAGACTTCTTTTTCGGCGCGCACGATGCAGTTGGCCATGTGGCGGCAGAGATCGGGCAGAGGCGCGATGATGGTCAAGGGCACGACGCCCGTGCTGCCCATCAGCGGCGGCGACACGACTCCCGTCATCGGGTTCTTTTCCAGCGCGCACAACGCATCGTGGTAGATCTGGATTGTTTTGAAACTGGTGAGCGATCTATCCGACCGTGAAGAGGCAGGTGGGGGCTGACCTTCAGGAACAATTCGCTCGGTTGCGAATCTCCCCACTTGCCACACTCGATCACTCTTTGTAGCTCGTGAGCGTCCTCCTCTTTGGTTTCTGCGTGTTTCGTCGCTTTGCGATCATGGTACAGGTGCTGGAAGACCTTGGGAGGGGACTGCGAGGGATCGCGCAGCAGCTCGGAGGTGACGGTCTTGTCGTCGTGACAGAGCTCGTAGACGGTGTCGGACAGCATGGCGTAGCGGACGCGATTGGGACTCAGCGGCTGGCGGGAATACCAGAAGACAAACGAAGTCAGCGTCAGCGAGGCGAAGGCAACGGCGAGATTAAGAGTATTAATAGGGGGGCCCCAAGTGGATTCGGCGGCGGCCCTCCATTCGGGCATAGCCATCGTCAAGGTGGATCTTGGATGACTGACTGGCTGGCAATGACGTATCGCGGAGGGGGAGGAAGTGGTGGTGGTGGTGGTCAGACTATTTTCACTATGGCCGATCGAATCAAAATCTGATTAGCATGAGATTCCTATGTTACGTGGTTTGGTTGATTATAAGCAATGATGCTGGCTGGAATGACGAAACGGTCCCTGGCCCTCGACGTCATGGCGATTCCATCAACAATTAATATTGTTTGATTGATAGACAACGGCCGAGTGCCGGGAAGATCCACCGGCTATCCTCTTGGCTCGCAAAACAAGCTCCTGCAGGCCATGGATGGCGAGTAAGGCTGATGGTGGCTGCGTCTAGCCAGGTTGCGAGAGAGAGTGTGTGTGAGAGTCTGGATGGTGCCTGAGGGTGGAATCGATACCCCGCGTTCAATATTTTTATTTCCCTCCAACTCGACTTCCCTCCGTCCACCACACCACCGCCCCTCCACCCCTTTTCCCCATCCACCCCATTTTTCCATCCCGATGGATCAATCACTGGTTCGCGTCGAAACTCAGTTCGCAGACGAACTGCTTACCTCAGGCCGAACACTCCAATCATGCGCTGCCTCGCCGTAACCTCGGCGTTGACGAGCTGCCCTGATCCTTTTCTCCTCATCTTGGCTCGGACTTGCCCCCGAGATTGGGTTTCTTAACAGCACTCCTGCTGCTCTCGCTGCTCTCGCTGCCCTCTCTCCCCTCTATCTGTCCAACCAGACACTTCTGTAGTCCCATCTTACTGATCGGCCGCAACCATGTGAGTGCAGCCCGACCGGCCCTTGGCTCGAGGCCATTTCCTGACAAACCACCAGGGTCTACACTGCATCCATGGCCTTCTTCGAGGCACTGTGGGAGGTGAGGATACACCGGCCATGGAGTGATCAAGCTGACTGGATAGGCCGGGGTCACCCATGTCTTCGTCAACCTGGGGTCTGATCACCCCTCCATCCTCGAAGCCATGGTCAAGGGTCAGAAGGAAAAGCCCACCGAGTTCCCCAAGATCGTGACCTGCCCCAACGAGGTGAATCTATGGATACCTGGATAATATTGAAGGAGAGGGACTGACCCCGCATACTTGACAGATGGTGGCGCTGTCCATGGCTGACGGTTACGCGCGGTTGACTGGCAAGCCCCAGTGTGTCATCGTCCACGTTGACGTCGGCACGCAAGGCCTTGGGGCAGCCGTCCACAACGCGTCGTGTGGCCGTGCTCCCGTCTTGATCTTCGCCGGTCTCTCCCCCTACACCCTCGAGGGAGAGATGCGCGGGTCCCGCACCGAGTACATCCATTGGATCCAAGATGTGCCCGACCAGAAGCAGATCGTGTCGCAGTATTGCCGCTATTCCGCGGAAATCCGCTCTGGCAAGAACATCAAGCAGATGGTCAACCGCGCCCTGCAGTTCGCGACTAGTGACCCCCAGGGCCCCGTCTACCTCGCGGGGGCGCGAGAGGTCATGGAGGAGGAGATCACCCCGTACATCCTCAACCAGAACCACTGGGTGTCCGTCTCTCCGGCCGCGCTGCCTACGGAGGGCGTCGAGTTGATCGCCTCCGAGCTGGCGGCCGCCAAAGAGCCCCTGGTCATCGTAGGCTACTCTGGCCGTAGTGCCCAGAGTGTCAAAGAGCTCGTCACCCTAGCGGACACATTCAAGGGCCTCCGGGTTCTGGACACCGGGGGTTGTGACATGTGCTTCCCCGGAGACCACCCAGCCTATCTGGGAATGCGCTTCGGCAACCACGACGCCGTTAAAACCGCCGACTTCATCCTGGTGGCCGACTGCGACGTGCCCTGGATCCCCACGCTCTGCAAGCCCTCCGACACAGCCCGGATCATCCATGTCGACATTGACCCCCTCAAGCAGCAGATCCCCGTCTTCTACATCCCCAGCATCGCCACCTACCGGGCTGAATCGGGAACCGTCTTCAAACAACTCAACGCATACATCGCCGCCAACGCCTCCCTCCAACAGACCATCGCCTCCCCAGAGAATCTCGCTCGCAGCAAACAGCGCGAAGAGTCTTTCCGTCAGACCCGCCAAGCCATCGCCGACCTGGCCGCTCCTCCCTCCGGCGGCGCCACCGCCCCCCTCAACGCCTCTTATATGATGGGCCAAGTCCGCCAAAGCTGTCCCGAGGACACCATCTGGGCCATTGAATCCGTCACCCTCACGGGCATCGTAGCCGACCAGGTCGCCCCCTCGATCCCCAAATCATGGATCAACTGCGGAGGCGGCGGACTAGGCTGGTCCGGCGGCGGCGCGCTCGGAATCAAGCTGGCCACAGACCTCGAGCACGGCGGCCCCAACAAAGGCAAATTCGTCTGCCAGATCGTCGGTGACGGCACCTACCTTTTCTCCGTCCCGGGCTCCGTCTACTGGGTGGCCCGCCGCTACAACATCCCCATCCTGACCATCGTGCTGAACAACAAGGGCTGGAACGCCCCACGACGCAGCATGCTCCTCGTCCACCCTAACGGCGACGGCTCCCGTGCCACAAACGAGGAACTGAACATCTCCTTCGCCCCGACCCCGGATTACCCCGGCATTGCCAAGGCCGCGTCCGGCGGCGTCATCTGGGGGGCCCAGGCTGCTACCGTGGCTGAGCTGCAGGAGCTGCTGCCGCAGGCGATCGAGACTGTCAAGAATGGCACCACTGCTGTCCTGGAGGTGCAGCTGAATGGGACAGAGGGGAAATATGTCGCTGATAAGTGTGCGTGATTGTGATTGGACGGGCTTTTCTCTGTCTGCGGTTAGTTGTCTAGCTTGCGTAGATAGTATACTATTCAATATATTATGGTCCTGAAGATCCTCTTGCACAATCTTCCAATTCTGTTACCCAAGCCCTCTCCCTCTTGAGCTACATACATACAATCATACTGGCAGAAGACAATGTAACTAGTCATTATTATATATGAAAGATGTTATCTAGGGTTTCATGCCTCACAAGTCAGCCTGTACTGCGACCCTATATTTTGAATTTTAGCATGAACCTGAGCATCTATAGTTGAACACAATCAGAACCACGGGCTTGTAGCTTGTTGGATAGGTCATCCAAAATTGACATAGTAGGACAGGAGTATGCATAAATAACATTTGAAGGCATGCATACTAGGTTGTAATCACTCCAGTGTATGGTATTGGTCATCGTGATTACGTTCGATCTGTGGGTGAACGAGAGCTAAAATGGACCAGCAAATATGGTAAATCCCAACGAAATGATTTCCCTTACAACAATATCGTTGAAGGGGATATCTCTCCTGGGGCTTACCTCGATCTTCTAAAAAAAATATATCTCAATATCACCATACTACCTCTTACCTGACGACCGTGGGAGTCCAATGAACAAAGCTAGTACCTTACGCCACCCAGGTAAGCGGCTACTGAGCTCTCTTGACCATCAAATTCTGATTCTCCAGATCTTAATCCATCCAACATCTTTGTATCAGATTCCTGTCGCACGGCTTACTATCTTACTTCAGACATGATATCGGCCTTGGTGACTGTGGGGGGAGCCTACAGCAAGGAATCGATGCGGCAGGCGCCAGATACATAACTCCAGGGACCGTAGGAGGCTACCAAAACACGTCACACCCGCTTCCACCGCGACATTCTAATTCCATAATCATCTATGATCTTGATGCCCAATGCATCACGTGCGAAACTTCAAAGACCCCACCAAACTCTTCTTTTCTTCCTCAGGCTCCACTCCCTTGAGAGATTTAACCCCTCCCAGAGCAGCATACCAGAGACAGCGAGCTGCTCGGGAAAAAACAGAGCCGTGCGTAGCGGGATGGACTGTCGAGGTCAGCGAAAAGGGCCTCTCGATGGCCGAGAGCAATGAGTTCTGGTGGCGTACCAAATTTGGGCTTCGCGAGCTGAACGACTAGCACCGTGACCAGAATGGCACACAGATCCAGGAGGTACGCGGACTAGAAACCAATGTACTTCTCCATCAACGTGGTGGCAATGCTTCCTAGCGAGCCAGCGTTCACCATCCTAACTAAGATCACAGACCGATCGATAATCGTACCAGTAGTATACGTTATAGATGTATTGGATCGTCCCCTCGCAGCTATTTTTAAATAAACTTATTTATTAAATCTAGAGTCTTCCCGCGGTGCTAGATCAGAATAAAATAAATAGAATAAAAGCAGCCTGTATCAAAGAAGTGCCGTCATCATGACTAAGTTACTACCTATTTGGGTGCTTGGAAACATTTTATTCTACAGCACCAAGTCAGTAGTATATATATAATGATCTTTACCCATTCAATCTTCAAATCTCTCCCCCTCTCTTTCTTACCTTCTCCTCCATCCTACGCAATTCAGGTAACCCCCATTTCCGCATCCACTCGCACCCCACAACATCCTCGATCGTCGCCCTCTTCCTCGGCTCAAGAACCAACATCGACTTGACCATTCTACCAAACGCTCTCTCCTCGTCCTGCTCCCAAACCCCAAAATCTACCTCTTCCATCTTGCTCGTCCGCCGTCGTGCACCCCGTATGCACGCAGGAAACCGTTGATCCCAGTCCCTGGCATCGTTAGTATAATACTGCCTCAAGTCCTCCTTGACAGCTTTCCGCCCATCCTCATCAAACCAGTTCCCACGGTTCTCCCACTTCCCCCACCATCGATCCGGAAGTTTCCCGAACGTGTCAACATGTTCCCTGGTGACGCTATCCCGTCCAGGCACAAATACCTCAAAGGGGGGCGCGGATCCAAAAATCTCCCAGATAGTGCATGCCAGGGTCCATATATCAGCGGGAAAGGAAAGACAATCATCCGCCTCAATATCAGGACCAGCAAAAAAGGCCTCCGGGGGTGCAAGGAGGTGTGGAGTATGACATATGAAGGTTTTGGTTATAAAGGGGTTGAATGCTTCTCCAAAATCAGCTAAGATAATAGGGCAATCTGATAGAGTAATTTCGTCGCTTCCGAGGCCAAGCCAGAGGGGAACAATGAGTTCCGAGGGAACTCCGGGATCGAGAGGGGCACCGTCGCAACGAATGACAGGCTCCTTCTCGGGCTTCCCAGCCCGTTTATATAGCTGATTAGGAGTCATGTGCTGGAGGCTGGGCGGGAGACGAAGAAGAATATTTCCCAGGTGAAGGTCTACGTGTTTATTATGTGAGGCTCTGGAGTGAAAATATGAGCTTCCAACTACATACTACCATGAACAATTCCCTGGGAATGGATAAATTGAACCCCAAGTACAAGCTGTGCGGCAATAGCTCTTGCGGCGGGTAGATGAAGGATCCGATGGTCTGCGGCCTCTTTCGCTTCATTAATGTTGACCCTCGCAGGATCCATGACTAAACACCGATGGCTGCCATTCGGTCCCGAGAAGAGAAAAGAATCAAGCAGGGTCTGTACCATCGCATTCCCGGGAAGCTGTGAGTTGGCCTGTGTCAGTTGTGTCAGAAACTGCCACTCGTGTGCAGTGCGCTCTGCGGCTTCCGCAGTGGAAATCTTCAAAGCAACCATTCGACTATTCTGCTTATCCTCTGCTAGCCATGTCGTGGCTGATCGACCGAATCCGAGTTTATGGATAACCACGTACCGACCGCTGTGGAATTCGTCGCCGATGTAGACCGGGTGGTAGCCACCGGGAACGTAATAGTCCACGCGCTCGACGTCGTCGGGATCGATGTAGCCGTACTTGACTTTGCTGGGCTCCATCAAGGTCGTAATGCTTCTGCCGGTTTTCAGGACGCGCCTCGCGTGGAGAAAAGGAAGAAGAGATTGTCGGAATGCCGTGGGCCGAGCCAGGCATCCAAGTGCAAACATCGTTCGCAGTGCAGAAGCACACTACGGGGAGAGACTCATGGGGAAGTTGATTCCAGGCTCAAGCGTCCCCGACTCCGAGCGGGGCTTGGACGAGATACAGCCGTGGCCAACCAAATGGCACCACTGCCTGGCTTGACGATGCTGCGGCAATGCAAGTCAAACTCTCGGTTAAGGACAAGGAGCACTTGCCCAATGACTGGTAAAGAGTATTTATATTAGCATGTGTTCTCCCTCTGAAAGGGAAAAAAAAAAAAAAAAAAAAAAAATCAACCCGCATTTTCCTGCTCTCCCCTCCCATCATGTCGACCGTGAATCTAGTTAGGTTTTACTTCCTCTTCCGACCAGATACCGCCAACCTTGCTCGTCGTTACCTTGCCATCGCCTGATTCATCCAAGGGCCGTCCTAATTCGGTGAGTTCCCCCATCCTCATCATGCAGGCCGAAGACATGTTCTCACGGGTCCATTCTTTTTTTAGATCGACCATTCACAAAACCACCACAATCAATGGCAGAGTACAGGAGGACTATCTACCCGTAATCAACCGGCTGATCAGAGACTCTAAAACGTGAAAACTGACAATCTGACCAATCAGAGGGCTTGAATCGGCAAAACTAAAAGCGAGAATTATATATGTTGATATTCCGAGACTCCCTGTATAATAGAACCCCAATAATCTCATAGTTGCTCTACGACACTACAAGCTCAGCTCGAGTCGGTCCCCTAACAGAAACGGCTGAGTCCTAGGCCACCGCCGGGCCAAGCCCTCCTTAAGTTCCAACCAATACAATGGCACTAACCAAAGTGGAGGATCGAACCCAGAGAGAACGAATCCAGTACCATTGGTGGCTAGCTAGTCTGAAGACAGGAGGAGAGAAAGAGAGGAAGAAAGGAAGAGAGCGAAAGAAAGAAGTGGTTGCGAGACGCGCGGAGGAAGTCACGGGCAGGCGTGAAGCTCAGGCACCAACCCGCCGACAAGAACCCTCTCTGATACTTGCTGGATGACCTAAAGGTGCTGTTCGAAATGCTGAATGCCAGTCTCTATGCTCTTTTCCGCATTGCTGAAAACAGGTGATATATATATCGATTTATGAATATATATATGCTCTACAGGACCAACTACAACTCTACAGGACGACCCATCGGCCTCGTCTGATCCTCAGGAGTAACATGCACCTCCCAGAGTCTCGCCAAGTCACGCGGGAATTCTTCTTCTCGCTCCTCACTCACCCACTCACCATACAGCTGATGGGTAGTTTTCTGGACCAGAATGCCACGTTCGTCGCCGCCTCTTACAAAAAGCGAGAAGTCGTCGGCAACTCGGACATATTCGCGCAGGGCCTCCTTGGTGTCGAGATTCGCGCCGGTCGTCCAGCTGAGCAGCAATGGTTCGAGGAGCGGCGCGTCGGTGACGCTGGGGTGTGCCGTGCCGATGCTGGTCAGGAACCAGGACGGGGCGGGGATGGCGCGGACGAGGTCGCGGACCGTGTCGAAGTGCGGCCGGTTGTAGAAGGGGCTGACGGTGCGGGACCAGGAGTTGGAGTGCACGACTAGGATGGGGACGGTCGCGTTGGGGTTGAGCGGGCCGCTGGATTTACCGGGGTCGAGGATCAGCCCGGCGGCTGGGGAGGAGGAGAGAGTGGTGAGGGCTTGGAGGGCGCCCGTGGCGCCGAAGGAGTGGCCGGCTAGGGTGAGGAGGGTGGTATTGAGACGGCCGGCCCAGGAGGGGAGGGTGGTGATGGGGTCGCGGGTGTTGGGGATCGGGGTGCCGTTGGTGATGGCGTGGAGCAGGTCGACGGCGGCGTGGAACTCGACGTCGCGGAAAGCGAGCTGCGCGCGTTTGAAGGCGTCCCTGTCCAGGTCGAGGTCTATATCGGAGGGGCGGAGAGGGAGGACTTGGCGGCCCGGGGAGCCGGCGGAGGTCTTGACGATGGAGCCGGGCCCGCTGCCGTCGCGGTGTTCAATGGCCAAGGCGACATGTCCGCGGCTAGCGAGTTCCCCCAGGAAGTTGGTATAGTCGGTGCGCGAGCTGACATCGCCGTGTGAGAAGACAGTCACCGGGAAAGCCTCGAGGCCTTTTTCGCCGTTGAGGAGCGGAGCGTCCACCTCCGCGGGGATACTGACGGCGCCCCCCACAGCCCACAGGCCAAAGGTGAAGATGGGCCGAGTGAGGAAATTCTCGACACCGGCGACACGGGCGTATCCCTGGGCCGTGAGGCTGATGGGGCGTGGGATCCATGGGTACCGGGGCTTGCGGGAGCGGAAGTGGCGGTCGGTCGGGTAGTAAACAGTGGCCAGGAGTGTCTCGACTTCAAAGGCCGGCTGTCCGGTGCTCTTGACGGCAGCGTCGACGACACGTTCAGGCCCGCCGCTGAGAGGTACTTCTAGATCGACGGCGCCGACCCCGTAAGGGCCTGTATAGGATGGCAGCGGAGAAGCAAAGAGCGGTGAGCCCCGAATGAAGCAGTAGAGGGCGTAAAGACAGAAGGCGCCAAAGAGGATGGACCGCCAAGTGAACCGTCGGTGGTGATGGCGCGAGTCACGCATCCATCGGGGCTGCGGTGTCTGCTCGATGGGCGAGTCTTCGCTAATGCGCAGCTCCAACTCAAGGGCCTCGCCAAGAGGCGGCTGTTTACTGATGCTGCTCATGATGGCGATACTAGTGTGCTCGTAAGTTTGTGGATTGCGGTGCTTTTATGTATGCTGACACTGGATCGATGACGTAGATCCCACGTGTTTTTCCACTGACGTACAGCCCCGTTGCTTTTATCCACCGCCACAAGACTATTCTTATTCTGCCTGTCTGCCTGCGTCACGTGTAAGGCAGCCTGGCTGGGTATAGTTAACTTCTTAAATATAATGAAAATGGGATCTGCCACGTGGCTAGTTCATATGAAAAGATCATATTTAGGTGTATTCATAACTTCTTCAATAGGGAGGCAGAGGGCGTGGCTGTAGGGAGACGGGTGTGATCGTAGCACACCCCTATCTACACGACCAGGAGTTTCCTCCCACCTCCTCTTGCTTGATGGCATGGATTCTTCCTGATGGGAAGACTCCTCAGCAAGATATGTCCAAACGTTTACTTGTATGTAGCACAATCGAAACGAGGACAAAACTCCGATATCCCAGCGACGGCAGCAAAGGAGGTGAGCGACGACCCGTAACAAATGCATTGGCCGAAAATCTGACTATCAAGTATAGCTAGCACTTTGTAGGTACGACTTGGGGACGCCCATTCGTAATCCCACAGTTGATGTTGAGCTGATATTTGTCAGTATTATCGAAAGCGCCCACAAACGAAAAATCAATCCCCTCAAGCCTGGATAATTCTACGCTATATTCTCTTGCTGGAGCGACCGCGAAATATCGACATCCATGAAAAGCAGACATCACATATCACAGAAGGGAAGGCTGAGGCAGCGAGTACGGATTCGTACAGTATAAAACACATCTTATCAATATATGCGGATAGAATAGTTAGCCCTAACTGGAACATTGATTCACCTCACCTATACTCGTATCCACTGACGTTAATATTCCGTATTTCCCAGATTTTATTATATACTATTCGAATATCCGAATCCATACCTTCAACTAAACCCGATCGACTAGTCAAATGGTCATAGTCAGCGGGATCAGTGATCCTTCCAGACGAGTTTTTGCTAACTATTGTCCGCAACCCTGTCAGCGATAGTTATCCCGTCGACTTTTCCCCTTTTTAGTGATTCATTTGAGGCAAGTGAATTAGATTTGCCACTGATACCACCACTGCCCGGATGGTCTAGTGGTATGATTCCTGCTTCGGGGTCTATGTGGAATTACTCCTCTTATATACATAAGATTGAAATGCAGGAGGTCTCGGGTTCGAATCCCGATTCGGGCCATATCTTTTTTTTCGGCCCTTTGATTTGGTATCCGGGAGGGACTGCTTGGTCTATCTATCTATCCCTATCTATCTAGTCTTGATCCGGTGCACTAACAGTGGAGGAGGGATGTAGGATGGAGGGCTTGTGTGCCCCCAAGAGGAGACGGGATAGGTAGGAAAGGAAGGAAACCTCTGCGAAGCAGTCATATCAACCCAGTCCCACAGAAACCGTACGGTATCTTTGTCGCCCCTATATATTGATTGGTATAAAGGCGTTTGGGTCTCCATCGTCAGTGACTTGTGGTTGATATCTGCCCCCCCCCTTTCGGATCAACAAATCCACGTAGCCGCTTTTCTTACCCTCGACCGCAATCACCCGTGCCTCGTATGCATCTTCTTCCATAGTCTCGCGGCTATTAGAGAGGAGTACTTCGAGGAGAAAAGTATGGAAATATCGCCGCGATCCAAGACGACCCGAATCTCATCACCGAACTGATCCTGCTTCAGCCGACCTGTCTCGAAACGTTCAAGTGCGCAAAGCATTGGACCGCTCCCTTTCCTTAAAACTAAGGATCTCATGCTCGACAAATCGGAAGCTCCAGCGTACGCTTCAAGTAGTAACTCAAACTTGATTCCAACCCACCAATGCTATTAACCTCGGTATCTAGTTGCAACAGCTTCAGACATGATCGCGCCCGGGGAGACTGGAGGTATCTCAGGCACAATGAAGCTAGATTACCGTGTGCGATGCGCTGGTCATCCCCAAAGCCTACATCCGGAACGTCTTCGTTCGCGCACAAGAGGAAATCGCGTAGATGCCGATGGCTGAGGCAGATCTTGAAGAGAGTACAAATGGCAACAACCATCTCTATTTGGGGCATGGGCTGCCACTCGCTTTCATGGTACTCAGCAGTCGTCTTTTGTGTGGATTGCCTGTACGCTCGTGGATTGGCTGGTGCTTTGCCACTATGTTTCTTTAAGCACGGATGTGAGAACGCCAACTATCGATTTCAAAGACTAACTCACTCGCAGATGTGGGAACAATTTAAGGAAACATTAAGGAAGGCCAGCTGATAAAGCCAAATACAACTTCAGGGGAAAGGTCGCAGAACGTGACCCTCCGGGTTTTGTCTTGGGAGTTTCAGTAAAAACACGCATGGTAAAACCATGAAGACCTGCTTTTGCGATCCCAACACGCCAAATCCAACGAATCCGCAAGATCACTCAACAGGAGCATCACAATCATGATACTTGGTCAAATTGAACAGGCTCTTGGCATTGTCCCTGCCAACCTGGACATATTGGTCGCGGCCTCCCAGCGCCTTTTCGATCTCCTTTTGCTTGTCATCGTACCATTGGCATCCGTGCTCGATCTTCTCGTAGGGGTAGTCCACGCTGAACATGATTCGATCGGAGCCGATATACTCGGCCACGTACCGCAAGGTCGGGGTGCTGAAATGTCCGCTGGTGGTGACGTAGATGTTATGACGGAAGTAGTGCAGCAGGTTCTTCTGGCACATGGTGTCGCCGTTCTTCTTGGCCAAAGGTCGCTCGACGTCCTCGATCCAGTGATTCGCGCGCCAGAAATCGAATGGGATGCGCTCGCCCAAGTGGCCCACGATTACCTTCAGATTTGGGAACCGGTCAAAGACACCGTTTGTGATCAACCCCATCAAATGCAATCCCACCGCGTTGGAAAAGCTTTGAGGTGGTCCAACGAGATACTTCCGGCCCTCGTATGCTGTTTTGTAATTTGACTCCGTCGGCGCGGCAGGATGTAGATAGACAGGCACGTCCAGCTCAACTGCCACGCGCCAGAACTCGTCGTATCTGCGCTGATCGTAGAACAAGGGCCGCTCTTCCTGCTCGGTGTGCTGCACGTCGTTCAACAGGGCGCCATGGAAGCCGAGGTCCTTCACGCATCGACGGAGTTCCCGGCCAGCCTGGGCGGGATCGTGCATCGACAGCGCCGCAAAGGCTCCTAGTCGGTCACGGTGATCCTTGATCTGTTCATGAATGTAGTTATTGACCTCTGTGGCATGCCGTTCAGCCTTCTGGCGGTCTTTGATGCCCTGAATACCGGGAACGGTGAGGGAAAGGACGGTGTAGCCGATGCCGTGCTTTTCGGAAATCTCGAGTCGTTCACCAGTGATCGACTTGATCTGCCGGAGATAACGCTCGATCTCATTGGGGGCGATGTACAGGGCTGCTTGCTCGCGGCTCTGGTCGGCCTCAGAGGGGATCTCGTAGGCTTCTTCGAGGGTGATCTTTCCACGCATTGCGATTGATTGGGTGGGTTGGCTTGGTTAGGGGTACTGTGTAAGGTAGTTCAAGAAGCAATTGGGTATTAATTAAAAGTTTGGGGAATTATGAAAAAAGTTGGATGGTTTTGAATACTTTGAAGGTCTTTATACCCAGCCCCCTTCCTTGTGATACAGTCCATTGTCCACCGGATATTCTGTTGGGAGGAGGGCGGTGCATCTTCCGCTCCAGCACATTGAGGTTGAATGGGTTGGAATTCAGTTCCAACGGGGTTGCAGAGAGAGGGGAAGTTCCAGATTCCTCAAATTAGCTTTCGGGCAATCATTCCTCGTCTTGACGTATGTCTATAAGACACATCCGGTAAGTTCCCCGGGGCTATAGTTATTTTGTTCAAAGCTCATTGTTGTGGAGGTTTGACGTAGGTGACGATGGTTGGCAGTGAGCAATTTCCGACAGGGGTCTCCGGCGGTATCCCAATTGTTGGTATTTGCTTGTGATAGGAAAAGGGTCAGAGAACCATCTAGATCAATGGTGGAGGGGTCACCTCGCGGTGGCCTCTTGCCTGAATGAGCGCCGTCAATTTCCGGTCCAGATAAACTAGGGTGACAGTAAGTCATGATGATACATTTAGATACGCCAAGCCCACTGGCATGATCGACCTGAAACCCCTCGTCGTGGCATCATGCTTCGAAACAAACTTTGGTAGTAGTTGCAGAGTAGTATACCCCGCAAGCGGGGGCAAAGCTAATATATATACAGACCGTGTCTGCCTTAATGCCTTACTGCCTTGATGCTTTTATGGGCGCCTTAATGCCTTGGGGGCCTGAGGTCTGAGGAGAACCCCTCAAGGGCATAATGCACTGTTGCATCTTCTTCTTTTACTGCTGGTCCGTTGACTATTAGTAGTAGCAGTAGCAGTTCTGGGATTCAGCCCAGTGCCGTGGTAGGGTCTCTCCTCTTTTCGAAATTTCCTCTAGTGTGTCAAGCTAATCAACATATGGTTCTCTAGATTGCTCATAAGCGTTCTGTGGGCCATTTGGATGCTTCTGGTCGAAATCATCTGCATGGTCATTAATTCTTCCATTATTACTAAGGTGGCTAACTTGCTGGGACGGCTGCTGACTGACTGCCTGAATGGATATGCTGTCCAGTCATATTAGATTGCAGCAGGGTCCGTCTGCTGTGGCCAAGATATAACTATAGCTCGACGCGATTATAGCTTTTTGCAATAGTGCACTACACTACTAGACCGGATACAGGTTTTTAACCCGGGTGAGAGAATAAATAACTTAGCTGCGTATACTCCGTCTTCAGGGTCAAGACCCGGAATATCAGTAACCTTTTCAAGTGAAATTTAGCAATCCCGTTAGTTAGTCTTGAACTGAAACATTTACCAACAGATAAACAGGGTGGTTATATCCACTACATAAGTAAGTCTAACTGGAAGCACCTAAGCTGCCCGCAGTGTTATCCTTTGTACCTCCCAATAGAGGCGCTCTTTCCTCATCTAGGCTAGATAGGCCTCTTGCGGCAGTAATGTGCAAACCACAGCAAACTAATCTGCACCAGCGCAAAGACACCATTATCTGCGGCAGGCCATCCCAGCCTCAAGTACCAATATACCGAACCCAATGGAAATATGAACTCCAGAAAGATGATCGAATGTGAGAAACATCGCAACAATCTCCTCGCCAGGCGCCTAGCCCACTGCTGATACCAGATCACCTGACCGGCTCCCTCTAAAAGCGGCCACGTCCGAATGAGGCAGAGTTGATGCCTGACTCGGATGGCCGCGGGCCTGTGCCGATAAGTGCTCCGGTCCCGGCGATAGCCTTATCTAGGCGCGGGGTTGGCGAATGATGGCGTATTGCCGGTACCGCCCGTCGCTTCCCCTCGCTTCCCCTCTGTGCTTGACCTTTGCGCTCGATGCAATGATGATTGGATCCCATTGTGCAGCGCAAATAGCAAAGAGCTCCCAGCTCATTCCGGACAGGCCAATGGCGGCTCGAGGCCCATGCAGCCACCCCTTGTGACGGCGTGATAGAGGGACGCAGTTGGGGAAGGCCGCAAAACGGAACGCGGCACTGCAGCAGGGCGGGAACTCCAATACGGTACCCGATGACAGTACGGAGTACCTTGTCTCATACACGCCCTTGGGCTGACGAGCGTGACATCGCGTCAAATGAGCGCTCGTATCTCCTCCGAATTAGATAACAAAAACGCGGTGAAGCTGCGCCGACGGAGCTGCTGCTGCTGCTGCTGTCACTGTCCCTGACTCCTGACTCCTGACTCCCTCATAGCGGGGGCCTCTCGCGTGCGTCGTCGACTGTCGCAACGAGCCAATCGACCCAATGGATGGCTCCTCGGCGGAACCGGTCCGCCCACCTTCTTAAGCGGAGAAAAAAGCGGACGCCTGCGTGACTCCAACTCCAGTCTCTCTCCCTTTCGCCATCGCCCGTCCCAATACCCTCATTTTCGTCTCTGTCCCTGCAAGTGTCCGGCTGCCCGCAGATACCTTGCGCCCTGTTTATACCACCCATACGCCCCCCTGAACAGACTTCCGCGATCAATTCATATCCTTGCTCCGAGAATGAGTCCTCCCGCCGCCGTAGATGAGATCGTGGGCTCGGCTCCCACTTCCGGCCCACTGGTGGTCGATGCCATCCCTGCCCTGAGGGCCAAAAGCGCCCAGATTCCCACGGGTATTGCGCCGGCCACGAACAGTGACATGTTCAAGAGCCAGGTTGGTGCCTTTTCTGAAAGATATACTTCAACGGTGGCAAAAGGCTAACCTTCCCCTTGTTTTAGCACTGCTACACCAAGCCTCAGTCCAAGCGCTGGGACCGTGAGTCGTCCAATTGCCCTATTCCGACCACCTGTTAATTCTCTCAAGATATCTTCTCCATCGAGTCGAAGGCCCGGAAGGTTAGTCCGCCGAGAGACATTGGTCGAGATATACCCGGAACTAACCTGGGTCATTGCTTAGAGTTCGACCCTGAAGGAAGCGGCGAGATACCTCAAGAACCCCGGCCTCATCTCCCTGGGCGGCGGTCTCCCCTCCCCGGAATATTTTCCCTTCGAGCAACTGTCCGTCAAGGTTCCCACGGCGCCTGGCTTCACCCCGGAGGAGACCCACACTTCCGGTGCGGTGTTGACCGCGAATAAGGGTGACGTGCGTGAGGGGAAGAGCATCTTTGGTGAGTGGCTTCCATCGTGATACGTCGCGGAATACTGAGTAATTTTCCCGGCAGACTTGGAGGTCGCTCTGAACTATGGACAGGCTACGGGAACCCCGCAGCTGCTGAGGTTTGTGACGGAACACACTGAAGTACGTGGCCGTCCCTACGAAATCTGGCAAAAGCTAATCCCAGCAGCTCATTCATAACCCCCCCTATTCCGATTGGCAATGCTGCCTGACGGCCGGTAGCACTTTCGCGTGGGACACGATACTCCGCATGCTTTGCGACCGGGGTGACTACATCCTGATGGAAGAATACACCTTCTCGAGCGCCCAGGAGACGGCGCTGCCCCTCGGCATTCGCGTGGCCCCAGTCGGTATGGACGGACAAGGTCTCCTGCCCGAGTCTCTCGACGAGGTGCTCAGCAACTGGGACGAAGCTGCTCGGGGTGCCCGCAAGCCTCACGTGCTGTACACGATCCCCACCGGACAGAACCCCACGGGTGCCACCCAGTCGGTGGAGAGACGCAAGGCCGTATACCAGGTTGCTCAGAAGCATGACGTTTTCATTATCGAGGATGAGCCGTACTACTTCCTGCAGATGCAGCCTTACGCGGGCCCCGACAGCGAGCCTGTCCCGCCCCCGGCGAGCCACGAAGAGTTCATCAAATCTCTCGTCCCGTCCTACCTGAGCCTCGACGTCGACGGCCGTGTCCTTCGTGTCGAGTCCTTCTCCAAGGTCCTCTCCCCGGGATCGCGAACCGGCTGGATCGTTGCTTCGGAGCAGGTGGTGGAGCGGTTCGTCCGGAACTGCGAGACCTCCGCCCAGAACCCGAGCGGTATCGTGCAACTGATGTTTTTCAAGCTGCTGGATGAACACTGGGGCCACGCCGGCTACTTGGACTGGCTGATCAACCTGCGCATGCAGTACACCGGTCGCAGAGACTCCATGATGCACGCGTGTGAAAAGTACCTCCCCGGTGACATTGCCAAGTGGATCCCCCCCGCCGCGGGCATGTTTGTAAGTGTCCCAACACTGTCCTATTTCACAACTCCAAGCTAACAGATCAGCACTGGATCGAGGTCGATTGGAAGAAGCACCCCGGGCTTGCATCCGGCAAGACGCGCCAAGCCATCGAGGAGGAGGTTTTCCACGCCGCCGTTGACAACGGGGTCCTTGTGTCTCGCGGCAGCTGGTTCAGGGCTGGTGACGCCAACGAGGAGAACATGTTCTTCCGCGCCACCTTTGCTGCTGCCAGCTCGGACAACATCGCTGAAGCGATCCACCGGTTCGGTGACGCTTTGAGGGCCCAGTTTGGTCTGTAGAAAGACCCGGCTTGGACCGTAATTACCATAGAAAGACATACTTAGATAAGGCACGAAGATAGAGATTTTGCATGTTTGGTCTGGCGTCAAGCATTCTGAATATACACATTGGATTACCTTTTTCTTACCACTCTTTGGCTTCCCGTAACACCTCCAATCCACCCCAAGAAAGCAGCAAGTCGACTAATTGCCAACCTCTCGAAACGCACGCACCGACCGGCACCGGAGTTCTCGAAAACAATGTTCCGCCAGCGATCCACAATCGCATCCGAACGATCTGGAACTTTAATCGGACGTTTGCCCAACCCTGACTACTGTTTTCCTGGGTGCTTCTCAACTCGTCCTCCCAGAATGTTGACATATACAGGTCGGAGATGATGCATCCTGTGACTTGAATACTTGATTTTGCTGCCTTGATACCCTAGATTTCCTTTTTTTCCTTCTTGGTTTTGTGCACATCCCTTTATTTGTTCACTCCGCTCCCATTTGGAGATCGGCTCCTCGGCTCCTTTTTGTCCGTTGGTTAGACCAGCTGGTTTGGTTGGTGAATTGCTGTTGGTAAGTCTATGTGTCTTTTAATACTGGGAGGGGAGATATTAGTGTCCTTGAGCTGGAGGGGCTCTGTTACCCTCGAGATGCTGGGTTTCCAGCCTGTTGTCGATACTGTCACGTGATGTTATAAAGGGAGCCCTGAGTGCCTGAGGTTGTATAACCTCGACCGATACTTTTTGTATTTACCACGTGTGTTTGGCTCTGGGCTGTTTAAGTCTCAGATCCTACTCCTCTCGTCTGCTTTCTGGGCTTGTTTGCGGCTCTTGCCACGTGCGCCTTTCGCATGGTGGATCTAGAAACCCTTGTCACTATCCATGGCTAACCATTTCTAGATCAGTATAGTGGTGAATACACCTACCCCGCCTCAGATCAGCGACTGTTACATCGTGGAAAACACGTTCTCGTGGATCCAACTTCCTATATACAAAGAAACTTTCAATATTCATCACTTCGTCTGCCCAGTTGTTGGGTGAGGCATTATTTGCACTCTGAACTGGGCTTCACTATCAGCTACGAACGTTTGTTGCTGTGGGCCCCACCTGGAATCCATCACGGGACTGTGGGAGCTTCACTTGCCTTTTAGCTCTCTGTATTGAATTCTATCTCCGATATCTCCGACATCTTCGATATAGGTGCTGGGTGTCAATGTTGTATTAATTAAGGTGAGAATGCTGCTATTTGCTGGAGCAGTTGTGTTGGGGTTGTTAAGCATTGAGCTGATGGTGATAGTATACTAGCTATATTATATAAAGCTTGGGTATATAGGCTGTGGTCATCCTTCAGAGCTGGAAAGAAGTGACGGGAATAACAGTTTCCCTCGAGGTCTCGACCCAAGACACGGGACGAGTTCTATTTTTGAAACTTTTACAGTGACTTAGATGTAAGTGACTGAGTTCCCAACCTCTGTTTAGCGTCTGTGTCTCCCTCTTCTTCTCGCCTTCGTCTCTATGATCTCTCACATAATCTTTTTCTTTCTATTCTTCTCCACTCTCATTCGTTCCGCCATTCCTCCTCTCTTCCACACCCAATCTTTATCTTTGTTTTTGTTCTGTTCATCTTTGTTGCCATCTGCGCTATCTGTATCACTCTTGATCGAAGACTGTTCTGGTTGTTAACCATGTCCGGTGCGCCTTCTGACCTGCAGCACCCAGGCCGTGAAATGTTTGACGTCTCCCAGTTTGTTTGTCCAGACAAGCTAACATCTGCTGCAGCCCGTTCCAGCTACCGTGCTTCCGTGAGCGAAGCCGTTTCTGTGAACATCTTGATCCTGAAAGCCTCGAGGGCGTCCAGCCAGCTACCCCCGAGCTCCTGCGGCAAGGTGAGAAGCAAGAGACCAGCGTGGACTGGAATAAACTGACGAGTATCTAGTGTTTGAAAGCAATATCAGTACCACCGTCGATCGATCTTCAAAAGGGTGCGTTGACACTTGCCATCTCATAACACGAGAAACAGTTCTTACTGAACCATCCAGACTTTGGCCATTCAAACGCATTCATCGGGCCGAAGAGACCAGACGCAACCTCAGAGAGAAATACGACATCGACTTCCCCTCCCCTGGCCATTATACGTCCGGCTTGCCGAGCAATACATCCAAGCCCGCGAGCACTCCTGATCTGAACAGCCACCGATACCTGGCGCTTCTTGGTCACCGACGCAAGGCCAGCGAGGAACAGGATCCGTCCACCAAGACCAAAAGGATCACGAAGGGTCACCAGAAATCGGCGTCCGACGGACAAGTGCAGACTGCAGCTGGCACTGAGATTCGAACTCGCCGGGGTCTTTTTGGCCGCCGGACCCTCAGCGATCCATCCAATTCTCGCTCTCCGCCCGATCCCCACGAGTCCAACAGCCTGTCTGCGACGCTCCGCACCATCCTGACCCGCCGGGGTGTGCCAGCAGACAAAAACCGCGCCCAGCCCATTCAGCTCGCCGATCCCTTGCTCCAGAACGTGCCTCCGCTGGGAATCCCGCCTCTGTTCACGCATTTCCCGGGATATCGAGTTGGTGGCCTGCCGCTGCCATACGTGAGTGGAGCCCGCGAGACCGAGGAGGGTCCGTCTTCGTCTTCGTCTTCGCCTTCCGCGCCGCCCCCCACGCCCACGAGGACTCCCCCTTCGCCTCCCCTCCATCTCCCTGCTTCTACCTGTACCAGCACCTTTTTTTACGCTTCTCCCTTGTCGCCTTTCGTGCGCTTACCCAGTGACCAGATTCTCCGGGGTCCCACTAGAGATCTCCTCCTACGCCCTCTACGCCAATCTCCTCTGCCGTCGGTCCCGTCCCAGCCTCTCCACCAGCGTCCGCTTCACGTCCTTTGGCATCCTCTTCGCTGCAATCCCTTGTCCGCACAAGCCGCTCTACAACCCTTCCGCTATTCCTCCTACTTCAACACGCCCCCGCTCCCCAAACCCACCATGGATCCCTCGCGCGGCTCGCGATTTCTGGACCCCACGTCCGCCGTGGCGGCCATCACAAAGCACAAAGCCGAAGCCATGAAGCTCGCTCGCGAGCAAAGCGTGGCGGTCCAGGAGATGTGTCGACGAGCAAAAACCGAGTGTCCACCGTACGAATTCGAGGAACTGATCGGCAAGGGCTCGTACGGCCGCGTGTACAAGGGTCACCAGCTTCCCTCGCGCAAGGTGGTGGCCATCAAGGTGCTGGACATTGATTCCATGGACTATCAGTCGGTTCGGGATTTTCGGGATGAGTCGATTAAGGACTTCATCCGCGAGACGAAGGTCATGAAGCAGGTGAAAGACTCGGGCGCGAAGAATATCAACGCGTTGATTGAGGCGATTTCGATCCATTCGCAGCTGTGGCTGGTTTGTGAGTATTGTCCGGGTGGGAGTGTGAGGACTTTGGTAAGTTGGGCTTATTGCTGTCGTCCTGTTGTGGGCGCTGATCTTGCTAGATGCGAGCGACCGGCGACCGGCTGGAAGATAAGTATATCATCACCATTGCACGAGAACTGGCCGCAGGGCTGCGTGCTATCCACGATGCCGGCATCATTCATCGCGATATCAAAGGTGTGTTTGTCGTGGTCTGTGCGGAGTAGTGCTAACGTGGTGCAGCTGCAAACATCTTGATTCATGAAGAAGGAAGATTGGAGATTTGTGACTTTGGTGTTGCAGGGGTGCTTCAATCGCAGATGGACAAACGGTCTACTTGGATTGGAACGCCACACTGGATGCCCCCAGAGATGTTTGCAACTCGTGGTGAAGCCCACCAGTATGGTAGCGAGGTAAGTCAGTCCACCGATGAAGACAGCCCCTGCTAACTTCGCAGATCGACGTCTGGGCCTACGGGTGCACACTGTTCGAATTTGCTACAGGAAATCCCCCGAACTCGAACCTTCGCGAGAGGATGCAGATTGGCCGGCAGTTGACCCGAAACACCCCGAAGCTGGACAATGCGAAGTACAGCGACGGCCTCAAGAGTCTCGTTTCCTATGCGCTAGAATCCAATCCGATTTCACGCCCCTCGATGGCCGATGTCATGACACACTCCTATATTGCTGATACCGAGGAAGCCTATCCCACTTCCTCCCTCAGCGAGCTTGTCCGGAATTACTACCAGTGGTCGCAGCGAGGAGGCCAGCGTATCTCTTTGTTCCACCCTGGAGGTGCTGCGGCTGCAGAGGCGCCAGGCGCTGAAACCAACTACGACGAAGACTGGAACTTCAGCACGACGGATGGATTCGAGCGTCGGTTCTCCGTCATCGACCTGGATCAGCTAGCCGCCTCTCTGGCCGAGATGGAAGACGAGATCAGCCCGACGACCAAGACTGGTGCAGAGAACGAGGCTGGGGACGACGCTTCGGATGGGGAGATGACGACTGAAGATAAAGCGAACTTTGATGAGCGCGTCCGTCGCGGGGCCGAGGCAATGGAAGGTCTGTTCAACGAAGACAAGCCGAGCTACAAGTACGAGACCAAGAACGACTTCGTGCCCATCGAGCCAAAGCCCCCCGTATCCGACCTTCCACTCCGCACAGATACCGATCGGTCGTCCGTCACTTCCACCTTCATCGATATCGACATCGGCTCCTTCGACTCGTCGCACTATGCCGCAGGCGCTACCTCCGCGCAGCCATTCCAGCTCGCAGATGCCGACACCATTCGGGCGAATCGGACCAGTGGCCGGCAGCACCGGAACTCGATTGACGGTCGTTCTCGGTCGTCCAGCAGCGGCGTGAGCAGCAATCAGGACCCCGAAGAGTTCCAACCGTCCGCTCCCCGTCCTCCCACCATGGACTGGAAGTTCCCTGTCTTCATGCAAGTTCCAGACGAGGAGGGCGAGCCAGCCCGCGAGCCCGAGCCCGAGATCGCGCCGGAGACGAAGCCCGCGGAGCCCGAGACGGCAGATAAACGAGCTACCATGGAATGGACGTTCCCAGTGATGACCGCACCCGCGGACGACGGGCCAGAAAGCCACGTCGACGCAGGTCGGTACGACACCCTCAAAGCTCCCATCATCGACATGCAGACATCCGCCACAGTCCGACACTCCGTGATCGGCGAACCGGGAGACTCCCGGCCCTCTACATCGCGCTCCGAGTCCAACGCATCCGTCAGCTCAGAGGACGCCTACGATCCCTTCCGATTCGATCGTCCCTCCACGCCTACCGGCGGTCTTCTTGACGGACGTCGAGAGAACAACCCCACCGAGATGGTCGATCCCCTGGCGCCGCATGACTACGAACCCAGCGTGATGGATGGACCCGGCCCCGACGCAGAAGACCCCGGCGAGATCTGGCAGAAGCCCACTGCAGGACCCGGAGCCGACGCTGACCGGTCTCCCGCGCTGTCGGAACCATTCCCCACGGCTGTCCCCACGAAGCATCTCGACCTCAACTTCCCTTTCGTGCCCCCTGCCTCTGCGTCTATGTCGGATGCCCTGCCTACCGCGAGGAATAACTTCCCGGTGCTTACTACTACGGAGGGAGAGCCGATCCTCTTCCCTGAACTTACCTTGCCGCAGCTGGATACATTTGATGCTGGTGCGGGGGACCGTGCAATGGCGGGGGAGCTTGACCGGCTGCTGGAGAACTTTATTGATTCGTTGAATGCGACAAATGAGGCGTTGTCGCGGGTGAGTATTGGGCCGGAGGTGAGATCGGACTTGAGCTCGACACCGGAGCATTCGGAGTGATGGTCTGCACATATGCTTGTTGATTGTTGATTGGATGGGGTTGTTCTATGGCTGGTGGGTAACGAGTTACGATTATCGTGCATGTTTATGGCTGCGGTGTTGTCATGGCATCTGGAAAAGGATCTCGCATGTTTCTGCTTCTGATGGGGTGTGGTGTCTAGATGGGGAGGGAAGGGGAGTCTTGAGAGCCGGCTATGATTTATCTATTCGGATGTGGATTTGCTATGGAGTTACGAATGACACAGTGGAACATACTCCCTCCCCCATCTTACTTACTTCACTCCTTCACTCCTCACCCAACCCCAGAAATCCCCAGCATAGCACTCCCTCTCTCTCCCTTCCCCCCAAACCCCATACCCAACCCCATTGTTTACCCTCCCCAACGCGCGCGAGAGTAAACGAACCCCAAACCCGAGCCTCCACCCGCCACGCCACCGCGTCATCCAAGACGTGACGCGTCCGTCGTCTTTTCTCTATACATCCAATGCGAGATGCCTCACTGAGCCAGATCTGCCAGACGTGTCTCTTCCTTGTTTCGGATTCCTCATCTTGCCTTCTATTCTTGTCAATTCTATCCAATTCCAATCCCACTCCATCCTACTCCAATTTCATTCCATTCCATCATATCCCATCCCACCCATCCTATCCTACCAATATCAACTCCAATCACCTCAACAAAACAGCCAACCAACAAACCCTCAACGCAATCAACCATGCCCCCGAATTCACATGTCTATACCCATACACCCCCCTGCGCTTCTCCCTCCCCATCCCCATCCCCATCCCAGAAAGCGAACTGGCCGCCCACCCTGCAGCAGATCAAGCGCCTCTACCATCAGAGTCAATATAAGCAGTGCGCGGCTAGATGCGAGGAGTTGTTGGTGGTAGCGGGGGAGCCGGTGAGTGTTGATTGACCTTTTCTTTCTTTTCTTTCCAATGTGTCTCCGTCCATGTCTACTCCGCATCTCTTTATCTATTTTGGTTTGGGTTTGTTCGTCCTGTCGATCCGGATGTACATGTACGGATATGGGTTTCTATGCATCAATCCTACCTATCACATTTCTCCGTCTGTCACATACCCCCCACTCACTCACTACACACAAGATGGAACCTACTCTGCCCTTTCTCTTCTTTTTTCATACTCTGACTTTCGATTGATCTGTCTAACCGCGGTAAACGCGACAATCCCCAAGTCTATTATATCCTCTCCTATCCTATCCTACCATATTAATCCACGTCCTTCCCCATACCCTTCCCCACATCCACAGCCACAGTTACAGCCACAATATCTCCCCAAACCAACCCTACACAGCCCCCCTCCCCTCAAAAAGTCTAAAAAAAAGCAATCAAACAAACAAAAGCAAAACAACATACAGCACACAAGACACTAACCGAGATGACAGATCCACAAAACCTACCTAACCTTCTACCTCGCCATCTCGTACGAGGGGATGGGCGTAGCGGCACACACATACTCACGACATAAGTTGCCGTTGCTGATGAGTGCGCTCGAGGGGTTTCTGGCTGCGGGGGTGTGGTTGCCTGAGTTGATTCCGGTTGCGTCTTCATCTCTATCTACTGGAGGAGGGGAGGATGAGAGTGATTGTCGGTATGGGGTTGGGTATCGTGATGGTGACGGTGATGATTCTAGTTCTGCGTCTGCGTCTTCTGCACGTCACGGTCACGTTTATGATGAATCTGACCACCATGACACTCTTGAGAACGATTCTTGGTTACGGGGAGAGGAGAATAGCCCTACCTCGACGCTGGCGAGTAGTCTGGAGGATATGCTCGATGAGGTGATTGGATCTGGATCTGGATCTGGAAGGGGACCTGGAGAAAAAGATGGAAGAGGGTCTCTTGGGAATGGGTCGACTTTTGCATCTGTGTCTGCATCCGCGGATACTTCTGCATGTTTTGGATCTCAATTTCAATCTGGATCTGGATCTGGATCTGCGGTCTTTGGAAAGGGACTCGGAAACGAACATCTCCATGAAGATAAAGATGAAGATGAAGATGAAGATGAAGATGAAGATGAAACCGAAGCTCATAGCAGAGAGTGGCTGAGATCCGCCCTTACTCCTCCTGTGTCGGACTCGGACTCTGCCTCTGCCTCTGCCTCTGCCTCTACATCTCCCTCTCCCTCTCCCTCTACCTCCACCCCTAACCCCCTCCACGGCCCCAGACACCAATCCCAAAATCAAGGCTACACCCCCATCCACACCCCCGAACCCGAACCCAAACCCAAACCCAACCCTCATCCTCATTCCAAGTCCGCGAAAAACCCCCTCCTCCCCTCCCCCCTCAAAATCCGCAAATCCTCCACCACCACCACAACATCAACCTACACCCTCCCCCCCTTCGAAACCAGCTACACCACGACCATCGAAACCCCCAAGATACCGGGCATGCCTCCACTCCCACTACGCATCGTTCCGCGGGTGACGACACCACTAACCTTCTCTTCTCCCTTTCCCTCTCCCTCTCCGATCCCTTCCCCTTCTTTTCCGTCCGACCCTTCTTCAACCCCAACCTCAGATTCAACCCCAACCTCAAATCCAACCCCATCATCCTCAGCGGGGGCTATACCCACACCCCAACCGAAGAAAAAGAAAAAAGGACACGATTCCAACAATCGCTCTGCATCCGAATCAAGACCAAGATACGCACCAACCATGCTCAACAAACACACGCACACGCACGCGCACATAGCCACACACAACCACACGATCCTCTTCCTGCGCGAGCAGATCGCAGCCAGTATAGCCACGATGCAGGGTCTCATTGACGAGGTGACGGAGATGCAGCGCGCGAGGCGGGTGTCGAAGGGCATGAGACGGTCTGGGTCGTTTTGGAGTTTTAGTCCGGTGAAGGTTGGGGGGGCGGGGTCTGGTTCTGGTTCTGGTTCTGGTTCCGGGTCTGGGGCAGCAGAAGGGGGGGCGGGGTCTATGCATGGGAGGTCTGGGTCTGGGTCTGGGTCTGGGTCTGGACGTGAACAGCTCAAGGAGGGGAGAGAGGAGCGGATTGCGCGGCTGCGGGCGGAGGGGTGGCGGACGGTGGGGATTCGGTCGGAGAGGCGCGGGTGGAAGGGGGAGATGTATTATCGGAAGTATTGTGGGGGGGTTTTGGATGAGTTGTATCTGCAGGAGGGGGCTGAGTAGGGGTACAGTGTTACTGGTTATTCTGGGTTGCGATTGAAGACATGGAGTGTAAGAATAGAGGCGTAGATATGAGTGGGGATATGGCATCTGGGATTGGTGTAGGAGGTATTTGAGAATAAGAGTCAATTGAATTCAATTTATGATACGATGACTTGACTGAGTCTGTAGGATCTACTAGATGTGTAAGTAGGTACTCATCGATCAATCTGGAATATGGAGCATTAGTTATTTTGAGTCGCTGAAATGTCCAAAGAAGCAATTTGGTATTCCCGTTGAGTAAGGGAAAGGGGACTCTAAAGTTGAACAATCTCGTTATAAAGAATTGGAGTGCGGTAATGGAGACATGTGCGATAGTAGTAAAGCTAAAAGGCATATAGCGCTCGACCTGTGGATATAGTATCACTGTGAACATCAGGATGCGCGAGATTTCCCATACGCGGGAGACCACTTGTTGCTCATTCCTGATATCTGCCAAACTATCTGACTCCTCACGGGCTTTGTAGTGGGTTCTTTTTAAAGCACAGCTCCGGCTGGTGTACCCCAGTCTCAATCAACTAATTCATCCGTCCTGTGACTTTATCCGGTGGGTATATATACCATTCCAGTTCGTTTCAAGCCCGGAGAACCGGGTGTATGCCGTATGCACGAGCTAGTTACTGGATGCGTTTAGTAAAAGGGGCAATCGATATCCTTTTCAAACTCATAGTACTGCGCAGCACGAGAGGATATCTCTCGTTCCATTTCTGTAAGATTATCTCCATGCTGTCGTGCTGTTTCAGCAAGATCATACCTTGTTTATTGCTAAAAGTACTTCCGTCGACACTTTTTCAGGGACTGTAAGGAATAGTTCCTCTCCTTTTACCATCACGGTGGATACGTCGAGTACTTTGGACGCGGGTCGCGTCTTCGACTCTTACCACGTATTGCCTTCTCGGGGAGAGAAAGATGGGATCGAGTAAAGGTAAACTATGATGATGGTTGAAGTCGAAGAGACAGACCGGGAAGTGTCAAAAAGGGGGGGGAGATGAGACTACTTATATAGTTGCAAGAACACACAGCAACAATAACAGGCAGGAACGGCCTGTGCGCCAATATAATAGGAAGGAGTAGGCAGGGCCATTGTGTGCCTTATTCCTGCCTAAGGCTATAACTGCCAAACCCCACCGCCCTGCCAAGCCCGGCCTTCGCCAGCCCGAAGCAGCCAAGCGCGGGACGTGGTAACTTTGGTACGGGCCGAGCACGCCAGACAGACCGTACGATTCGAATCGGCCCCGCTGTAGACTATGGATCGCCTCCGAGTCAATCGGAGTACGGAGCAGATACTACCTATTTAGTAGCTAACACTCCGAGCAGACCGACGGACCCAGCATGCGTTTCTCCAATTCATAACCCCCCTCTCCCTCATTCCTCCCTCTCAACCACACTCCACACTCCACCACGCCCACAGCATCCATCAACAACAATGACATCGTCCCAACCCCCCGTCCGCATCGGCACCCGCCGCTCCAACCTGGCCGTCGTCCAGGCCGAGGGAATCCGCGCCAGCCTGCAGAAGCTCGCGCCAACACGGAGCTTCGAGATCGAGACGCTACACACCCTCGGTGATAAGGACAAGTCGACGGCGCTGTACAGCTTCGGCGCGAAGAGTCTCTGGACTGCTGAATTAGAGGAGAAGCTCAACTCGGGCGAATTGGACGTTATCGTGCACTGTCTGAAGGGTGAGTCCCCCCCTTCCCCCCCCCCTCTATCTATAACTAGGACCCCAAAATCGTTCATGCAAGAACTAATGAATAATGCAATGTCAATAGACATGCCCACAACTCTCCCCTCAACCTGCGCGCTTGCCGCCATCCCCCTCCGCGACGACCCGCGCGACGCCCTAATCGTCAAATCCGGCCTGCCCTACACCAGTCTCGCGACTCTTCCTCATGGGGCAGTCGTGGGGACGTCCTCCGTGCGCCGCTCCGCCCAGCTCCGTCGGCTATACCCGCACCTCAAGTTCGCGAACCTCCGCGGGAACGTGGAGACGCGGCTCGCGAAGGTGGATCACCCCGAGGGCGAGTACACGTGCATGGTGATGTCTGCGGCGGGGCTGGAGCGCATTGGTCTGAAGGGACGGATTACGCAGTACCTTGGTTCGAAGGATGGGGGGATTTTGCATGCGGTGGGGCAGGGAGCGCTGGGGTTGGAGATTCGGAAGGGGGATACGGCGACGGAGCAGTTGTTGGAGGGGTTGGCGGATGTGGGGTCGACTTTGGCGTGTTTAGCCGAGAGGGAGTTGATGAGGACGTTGGAGGGCGGGTGCAGTGTGCCGATTGGGGTGGAGACGGAGTGGGTGGAACAGGGGGTGTTGAGGGTGAGGGCTATTGTGGTGAGTTTGGATGGCGAGAGGGCGGTTGAGGAGACGGTCGATGGGGAGGTTAGGGTGGTGGACGAGGCGGTTAGGCTGGGGAGAGAGGTCGCGGAGAAGTTGGTCAGGGGGGGCGCGGATAGGATTTTGGGGGAGATTAATGAGACGAGGCCGGCTAAGGAATAGATTTCTTGCGTCTGTTCTTACATGGGGTGTGGCTTAAGAGGTACAGGGTACGTTCCTATATAACCACGAGACCCAGCTTCCATCTGATAATCAGGGAAAACATGCTGCCACCAAGAATGATAACCACGAAAGCCGTTATAGAGAACCCTCCAGACGCCAAACAAGCCGAATTTATCACGAACGCAAACGATTTTTGAAACCATGCCAACTCCCACAGTCTTCAAACCCCATCCCAATTTCCAAACTATCGATTACCCTCATTCATGGTGTTGACCAAACTGCTCCAAGGGGGCACAGCTTTCACGGCATGCTACGTCGGCAAAATCTCTTGGAGGAGGGCATAGGAGTATCAATGTCTTGACTGTATCCTAAAAGCAAATCTTAATGACACTACTACCTATAATTTGATGGGACATCAGTTCACGAACAGACGATTAAACCAGCAAAAGCCAATGTGGTTAATACTCGTACAAATCTTCTAATGTGATGCCATCGATAAAATCATTCCCACAAGACCGCTCATCTCTTCCAGAGATCGCCAGGATTCAAAGTTCATGACGAGGAACTTTGAATCTTACGTAAAATACTGGAAGCACGAAGTTCGGATGGAGACATTGCTCAAGTCTGGGCCAAGTCTTAACGTGACCGTCCAGATCACGATCCCCCGCGAGTGTCGAGACCATTTGAGCCGGACCTTCGCGTGGGTTTATGATCAGAAGGCATGCGCGGATATAGGCGGCATGCCCTACTTCCGGAATCCGGCGTTGGAGGATACGGCGGAGGATAAACTCTCAACACCAGACTGTTAAACAGACTTTTTTTTTTTTTGTCTGATCATGGCTATGGTTGTTCTTTAGCAGGGATCCTGATATTATTCGCGTTCGACCTGCTTTATGCGAGGGTGTCTTTGGAGAATGGCATATCCGAGCTTCTCCTATCAATCAAAAGCGGCCGCGGAAGCCAAGATACATGTACTACTATACTTTGATCTGGCATCTTGTCTTGTTTTGTCTTATCGTGTTTCTTGGTTTGCTGTGAGGGCTTGATATTCGTCGAGGCCCCTGCAGATAATATTCCATTTCTTGTCGGATTGTAGTGTAGTGACCGAATCAGGTGGGCGGACATCACGTGGGGGAGTCAGCGAGAGTGTGATCGGGCGGGGCCAATCATCACCGGGCGGCGAGGGGCGGAGCAACGGGCCAGCAGATGATCGCCCGGCCGGATGTCACTTAGTGCCTTCTTCAATGTCCCTCCCTCCCCTCCTCCCCTCCTCCACTTTCTCTTCCTCCTTCTCCTTACTACTTACTCTCACCCCCCCCCCCCCCTCTTAAATAAATACCAGCCATTGTCTCCCGTCTCTCGTCATCTCACCATCCCCGGATCTTCCCTGCGACCCTCAGATCGGGCTCCTTGCCTTCCGCCGTCAATCACCCCGCCGCCGTTAGCAGACGTCATACATTTATCTATCTCTGCGCCTCCGAGATCTACCCTCGACGGCACTGGTCCGCCCGCCTCACCATCACCTCTTCACTACGACCTGGTCTAGTTCGGCTGCAGTGAAGTGCGTCCCCGAGGCACCGTGCCCATCATGTTTGCTACCAAACGTCTGAGCAAGGTAATTCCCCCACCCCCATTCCGAAGACTCTTGATCAGGTCAGCTAATGACACGGCCCGGCACTACAGGAGCTCCTCAAGGTATCTATCTACCACACCCTACCAGCCTACATTCCCTTCCTCCCTATCTCCTCCGCCATGATATCTCACCTCTACATTCCCTCCGCCATGATACACATACCCTACGGCATACATCCACCCAATCCAACAACTCCACTAACCAACCCCTCCCATCGCAGTTGAAAGACCACCTCCCCCCGGAATCACAATCGTCAAATCCGACAACCTAGAAGAATGGCAAATGGACATCCAAGTCCTCGACTCCAACCCGCTGTACCTGAACCAGATCTACCGGCTGAAATTCACCTTCAGCAATAAATACCCTATTGGTACCTTGCCACCCACCCACCCAACCAAAAACCAGCCAACCAGCCAACCAATTTACCTATTCTAGAACCCCCAGAAGTCCAATTTATCGAACTCGCCCCCACAACCGAAACCCCGCGCCCGATCCCCATCCACCCACACATCTACAGCAACGGGATAATATGTCTGGATCTGCTCAGTTCCGCGGGGTGGTCGCCCGTGCAGACGGTCGAGAGCGTCTGCATGAGCATCCAGAGCATGTTGACCGCCAATTCGCGTGACGAGCGGCCCCCCGGCGACAAGGACTTCGTGTCGTATAATCGGCGCAGGCCCAGGGATATTAATTTCTTTTATGATGATGATAATGTATAGTTTTTGATGGCTGGCATTGGGATGAGGTGGGGGTGTATTTTTATTTTATTAATTGATCAGAGGGGGAAAGGGGGGGGGACGGAAGGCATGTGATTCTTGGATTGATTGATTGTGGACTGGGGTTACGTTTGGATTGTGGATAGGGGATGTGCATGTGGAAATGGGATCAGTGGGTGGATAGGAATGGAATGCACAGGAATGGATTAATCGGATGGATAATGGATATGGATAGGATATTCTGCATTCTGCCGGGTGGGTTAGGTATGGTACAGGCTACAGGCTACAGGCTACAGATATCTATGCGCCGAGCGACGGCTGAGAACTGAGAACTGAGAACTAAGAACTGAGAGTGAGGTACGAGGATGAAGAAGATGATGATGAGGAGGGGACTCAGGAAGAGAAGAGAACTTAACTTGCATTAGCATTGGCGCGACTTTCATCTACAGTACTTCATATATTTCCGACAAACGCCACGGCGTTTTCCATAGCTTGGGTTTTAGGTTAGGTTACTATGTTGGATTAGGTCATTATGTCAGTAAAGGCGGAGTTAACTAGCATGGGATATAGTCAGTCGGATATTGCTTTACTCTGTCTGTCTGTCTGCTACCTTGCTATCTTGGTAATAGTATGTAACTTTTTTCCCCCTCACCCTCTCCCTCTCTCTCTCTTCCTTCCACACCCTCCCTTTCTCTCTCCTTTCTCTCCATATAACTACACTACCCTGAATTAAATACTCACGTAATCCGTAGTTATACTGTATTTTATAAGACTCTCCCCCCCCCCACCTACTCAGAAAAGCAAACATCCACAACTTTCATCAACAGATTTGTTTGTTTCGAGACACTATACACAGGGTTATGGCAAGATAAAAAGAAAAGAGAAGAAAAGAAAAGAAACACACAAGTCATGGGACGTAGGTAGGGAGGTAGGTAGGTAGATAGATCACTGTAACAGATACAGACACAGACACAGACACGGACAAAAAGAAATTCAAACGCCAGGTCAAAAGATAAAAAAAAAATACAGACAGCGGAGGAATTGAGTGAGTTGGTTTGAATGACCGACAGGGTACCTGTTACACAACACAACTCAACTTGCACACAAGGGTAGGTAGGTAGGTAGGTAGGAACAATTAATCTTTCTTGGTATATCTGCATGTCTAAACGAGATTTTGCACCAATCCACCAGGGGTCATGTGTATGTTGTTCTTAAGCTGGAGCGTAGCTGTTGTTATAATAACAGATCCTGGAGATCAGAACGGTCCCATCCAATTCTACCGGTCGACTTCACCGAACACGAGATCCATCGTTCCTGGGATTGGTTAGTATTGGAGTTGGTTGGTGGGGAAGGAAAAGAGTAAGATTGGGTTGGGATAAACTCACCGATGATAGCAACAGCATCGGCCAGCAAGTGACCACGGGACACTTGGTCGAAACCACCCAGGTGAGCGAAACCGGGAGCACGGATCTTGCAGCGGTACGGCCGCTCGGTACCGTCACTGACCAGGAACACACCCATCTCACCCTTGGGGGCCTCGATGGCGGAGTAGGTCTCACCGGGGGGGACGGAGTAACCCTTGGTGAACAGGAGGAAGTGGTGGATCAGAGCCTCCATGTTCTCCTTCATGGCCGCGCGGGGCGGGGGGGAGATCTTGTAGTCCTCGACACGGACGGGACCGGCGGGCATCTGGTTCAGGCACTGGACGATGATGCGCAGGGACTGACGGAACTCCTCCATACGGCAGAGGTAACGGTCGTAGCAGTCACCGTTGACACCGACGGGCACGTCGAACTCGACCTGGTCGTACGCATCGTACGGCTGGGACTTGCGGATATCGAAGGGGACACCGGAACCACGCAGCATGACACCGGTGAAACTCATGTTCAGCGCATCAGCAGCCGGCACAACACCAACACCCTGGGTTCTGGCCTTCCAGATACGGTTATCCGTGAGCAGCTCCTCGGTCTCGTCAATGCGGTCACCGAACTGAGTGGCCCACTGGTAGATGTCGTCGAGCAGACCAATGGGGATATCCTGGGACACACCACCGGGGCGGACGTAGGCAGCGTGGAGACGGGCACCGGAGACACGCTCGTAGAATTCCTAATTCAAGCCATGGGTCAGTTCACTGTGGCCCCCGGTCCACGGGTCAGGATTTCAACCTACCATCAGCTTCTCACGCTCCTCGAAACCCCACAGGAAAGGCGTCAGAGCACCAACATCCATCGCGTGGGAAAGGACGGACATGAGGTGGTTCAGGATTCGGGTCATCTCGCCGAACAATGTGCGGATGTACTTGGCTCTCTCGGGGATCTCGATGTTCAGCAGCTTCTCAACAGCCAGGGAGAAACACTGCTCGTTGGTCATCATGGAAACATAGTCCAACCGGTCGAAATACGGCAGGGCCTGCATGTAGGTCTTGTATTCGATCAACTTCTCGGTACCACGGTGTAGCAGACCGACGTGGGGATCGGCGCGGACGATCTCTTCGCCATTGAGCTCCAGAATCAGACGCAACACACCGTGCGCGGCCGGATGCTGAGGACCGAAGTTGACAGTGTAATGGCGGATCTTGCGGCCGACACCCTCGTCCTCGGACTCGAGAGCTGCGCCGACCTGGGCCTCGGTAGGGCCCTCCTTGTTAGCCAGCGATGTGAAGGTCGGGTCGGTCGGAATGAGGCGGGTGGCCTGGTAGCTGGTCGGCTCGGCGTGCCGGCGAGGCAGCGACGTGGCAATTGAGCGACATCTGGGGATAGCAGCGTTTCTGGAGGCGAAGGGAGAGGGGCGGAGGCAGAGCCTTTTGGGCGCGCTGCCCGCGAGGCGAGTGAAGGAGGTAGCCATTCGGGTGAGCGGGGAGTGAGGAATGAGGACGAGGACGAGGAGGCGAGGCGGGGGAGCCCTCAATCCAGACGCAATGGGTTGGAGGAGGGGGGATTTGCGGGGATTGGGTCGACGTGGTGACGCTACCTTGACCAGATTGGAGGTTGCTGCTTTCCACTCGAGATACAATTTGGGCCGTCACGTGAGCCAGCTGCTGGTCATCAGGCCGCCTCTGGTTGGCCTGCGGATCCCGTTTATTGCGCGCCGCGCTAGTTCCACCTCTGCCCAGTACTGGGTGCGCTTTAGACACCTAGAGAAACCCCCCCCCCCCCCCAAACTTGACCGCCCTCGCCATGCAGAAAATACTGCCGCGTCGGCCAAAGAACTTTTCCCAGTTGCTCTCCCGGTCGTCCATTCCCACCTTGTCCGTTGCCCTCCTCCCCTCCCCCAACTCCTGGTCCATCATGGCGCCCCTCATCGTTTCGCAGGAGGAGCTCGATCGCAGAAGGGTATGCTCGATTCCTCCGCCACTCTCCCGCCTGCCCTGCCATACTGATTGCGATTCCAGATCGTCGACATCAACTTCGAGACCGTCGCCAACATTCCCTCCACAGATTTCCCCGGTCACTGGCCTGGAGAGTCGCACGAATGGTCCCTGGAGAAGTTCCAAAATGTACGTCCGTCAGACCCGGCTGAGCACACAGATGCCGTTCCTTCCCGTCTTGCCCGCTGCTCACACCTGGCGCGAAATATAGGACTTCAAGATCGAATTCCACCGGAACGAGCGATTCGAATCCTCCTTCTCTCTCATCGGTGTCGATGCCTCGATAGCCAATGCCTTCCGTCGTATCCTCATGGCGGAGGTCCCCAGCGTGGCCATTGAATACGTTTTCGTGCACAACAACACCTCCGTCATCCAGGACGAAGTGCTCGCGCAGCGTCTGGGTCTGATCCCGTTCAAGGGCTCGGTGGAGGGCATCAATTGGATGCGCTGGTTCAAGAAGCCCACGGAAGACGATCCCGAGAGCGGCAGCAGCCCCGCCGACTACAACACCATCGTCCTGCGCCTGGACGTCGAATGCACCAAGAACCCCAACGCCGATCCCAAGGAAGACGACCCCCGCAAGATCTACAACAACGCCCACGTCTACGCCAAGGATATCACCTTCCACCCCGTCGGTCGTCAGGAGCAGTTCTTCTTCGGGGACGATACCTTCCAGCCCGTCAACCCCGATATCCTGGTCGCCAAGCTTCGTCCCGGTCAGAAGATCGACATGGAACTTCACTGCATCAAGGGAATCGGTGCCGACCACGCCAAGTTCTCGCCCGTCGCCACGGCCTCCTACCGTCTGATGCCCGATATCAAGATCCTCCGCCCCATCCTCGGAGACGACGCCAAGAAGTTCGCCAAGTGCTTCCCCAAGGGTGTCATCGGCCTTGAGCCGGTCTCTCGCGAGGAGGCGTCACAGAAGGGAAGCGGATACGAGGGCCACGAAGGCGAATCCAAGGCTGTCGTTGTCGATGCCTTCAACGACACCGTCAGCAGGGAATGCCTCCGACACGAGGAGTTCCAGGGCAAGGTCAAGCTCGGTCGCCTGCGCGACCACTTCATCTTCAACGTGGAGAGCGTTGGCCAGTTCGAGAGCGACACGCTCTTCCTGGAAAGTGTGAAGGTGCTGAAGCTCAAATGCGCCAGATGGAAGAGGGGCTTGACGGACCTGATGCGCTAAGTGCCTCGTCCGTAAAAAAATGATTCAAAGCTATATAATGCATTGGCCAGGCGTTGGATTGTGCTTGTCTTGTTGTTGATTTTGTACATTTACGAAAAAGTCGGTGACAACCTTCTTTACAATTGCTGGGAGTCTGGACTGGGATCCTTGAGGGATAGAAAAAGCAGATTTGACTTCCTAGGTCTTCAAATATGATCATCAGAGAATCGTGTATTCTTCGTAGCGTAGGCGCATGTCCGTTCATCTTGGAGAGGACTGCTTTGTCTTCATTGGAATGACAGTCGGAAGCGGAAATCGATGGTATACGCCGGGTCACTGACTGCGATTTCCTGGCCATCCTCGATCAGCTCTTTTAGCTTCAGCTTCAGATTGTGCCGGGTCTGCTCCTCCAACTGAGGCGGGAACCGCTGGTAGAGCGTTTTCTCCTCCGTTCTCATACTGGGCTTCTTCAGCTGCGCCTCGGGCCGTTCTCCAAGTGTCTCGATGAACACTTCCAGCGTCATGTTCGGATCCACTGTCAACTTCCGCGCGAGGTTCCCACACACCGGACAATCCGGTTTCTTCTCCGCCTCGAAGGTGTATGTGTAGACACCCTCCTCGCCCGCGTACATCATGTAGTTTTCGAGATAGGGGTTGCACGAGGTGGCGATCTTCAACGCCTCGGACGTCGTAGCAGCTGCGATAACTGCGTTGGTTGAGGCAATAGCGGGGATAATGTTCTTCACCACGCCCTGGGTCATCTGGAAGGTGATTCCGGGGATCTGGAATTGCTTCGCCCGCTCGAGGGCAGCGCTGTACACCCATCCGATATGTTCCAGGTCGTCACTGTCGAAGGAGTCATCTTTGCGCTGTTCCTGCCAGGCGATCTGATGGGCCCATTCGATGCAGTGTTGAGGTTGACGCGGGATGGTTGCGATGGTGCAGAGAGGGACTGCAGGTCGGGGTGCGTGCATATCGAGCTGACACTCAATGCAAGAGGAAAGCGAGGGTAGGATCACACGTGCCTGGCCCTTGAAACCTATTCCCTGTTTAGCTGCCTCGGTTGCTTTCTCACTTTAAGCAAGCCTACCTTCCGTTCCTCCATCGATGAGCGGCTTCAAGCTTTCCGGATCCTCAAAATCGACCATCCCCACTAGCGTGGAGTTGATCCATCGCCTGGCTTCGATACTGTCAAGGCCACAAACGATGATTTTAAACTGCATGTAGTAATCCTCATCCTTGTCCTGGATCTTGCCTACGAACGGCGTGATCTTGACTCCTTTCACCCGACGTTCTACAAATGCGGCGGCAACCTCTGCCTTAGGCTTGCCTATATCGGCTTGGCGGAACAAGAACTGTCGGTTTAGGTTGGAGATATCGATCGTATCTGAAAACGTTAGGCGTCTGGTCTGGTTGCGCATTGCTGCAGGGAACTTACCCATGTCAATGACATGGATGTCCTTAAAGCCTGACAGGGCAAGATTTTTGAGAATCTCGCATCCTAAGCCACCAGCCCCTCTATAGATGGCGCGTGGTTAGTTCCCTACATAACTCCTGAAGACGGAATTCGAATCATGAGGGGACCAAATACGAACATAACCCTAGACATGCGTTAGTGACCTGCATCGTATCTCCATGTCCAAAGACACCTACAGAATTTTGGATGATTCCAGAGAAGTAATTGTCTCCGGTCCAGGAACCCAGTCCTCGTCGCTAAAAGGACCCGACTTGGTCAAGACCTTGTATAGATGTGTCCTAGGCGGTATCAGTATCAGAGCGATGGGACCGCAGAAGTTACTTCACCATCGAGGAGGTACGTCTGGGGATGCCATTGTGGTGGATATCCTCTCTAGTCCAGCGCGACAATAAACACCCAATCGCCGTCGCTCTAGATCGCAGTCCGTTTAGGCAAGTGTTTCTCGTGCCTTATTAGAAAACAATAAATTGATGGGGGTATATGTTGGATGGAAAAAGTACCAAACACAGCCGAATGCAGTACCCAAAACAGAGCTGGTGAGTGCAAGGACCACCGAGGGGAGGGGAATGACGAGGGGACGAAGCAGGAAGCAGGAAGCAGGAGGAAGCTGCCAGGCTGCCAGGCTGCCAGGCCTCGACCGTCCCGATACAGCTCCGCCCCACGTGACCCCGCCGCGACATACAATTAATTTCCTCCACTTCTGCAATCCGGTCTTCTTTCCCCCCCAAGAAAACGAGGACAATGTCACACTCGTAAAATGGATGGTCTACTGACAGCGATCAAGACGGTCAAGCATGACCAGCAGCCTGTCTTGTCGGCTGCCGCGGAGGAGTCGCATCGCGAGGCTCCCTCTGACAGGCGCGACTCCCGGAAAGCCGATCTCCCCGGGGACGCCACCTCCTCAGAGCATATTCTGGCTGTCCTGAAGTCCCAGCCCGATCAGGATGAACTCGCGACCGTTCTGGCAGTACTAGACCCCTCGAACAAGACAATCGCTTCTAAGGACTTCGACATCCGGGTCCCCCGCCCGGTAACGGCGCAGATCCTCAATGCTTTGGTGACCATTACGATTCCCGACCACTGGGACTTTCTAAATACCCGATCGAAGGCCTCCAAATCCGGGAATAAGAAATCACGGTGTGCGCTGTTGAGATGTCTCAGTAGCGTTGCGGGCATCAGCTGCTTGGTGGCCCGGCTCCGTTCTCTCATAACGGCCTGCCGTTCATCGGCGCAGCATGCGAAGTCATCGGGTCATAATATCCAGATCAGGGACGTCCTTGCGGTCATTTCCGCTTTGTTGGAACCGAGCGACTTCGCGTTTCGCCTGCATGCGGAGATTGAAGATCTCTACAGCAATGCGGCGCAGAAGCAAGTGGCTTGGAGAGAGCTACTCTCACTTATCGCGGCAGGTAGAGTTCTGTCGACGGCGGCAGAAGCACTAACGTTGGTGAATGATCTCGATGGAGCTTCTTCGGTCTCGTGGGTTGGAGAAGGCTCGAAGTATGCATCCTGGATAGGTGCCAACGTCTGCCACATGGCTTCTAAGATCTCTCTCGACGGTGAAGAGGCTTGGAAAGCGTTGGCCTTGCTAACCGGCAGATCATTGAGTCTCGGATATACCGGTATGATAAGCTTCATATCCATCAGGTCCATGTGCTAATTGAATCTAGACCAACTGGTCAGAGAAATCTACATCGGTCTCCTCGTCCAGCAAGCCCAGTCTCAACGATACAGCACGCTCTTTGGCCATCTTCGGTCAACAGAGCAGGTTGCCGTGCTGGAGGCTATCTTCCGGGATGTTGAAAGGAAATACTTCTCGACTGAGATACCTGGTGACAAGACCACTAATGCGCCAACCGATGTGATCAGCAGCGTGGCGGCCTTATGTTCAGTTGTCATCCAAGGACGGCCACATCTGCAAACTCAACTCATAGACTGGCTGTCTAAGGGCCAGGGTGGCTCAATCTATACTGTCGGGCTTCGTCGAGCATTGCTGGCTAATATCGCACAGCAAGAAGGTGAGTTCAACGCTCTATCCATAAAGTTTGGTTTACTGACAAGAGTTTGTGCAGACCTGATGAATACCTTGATTCAGAAGAGCATGGATCAATCGGGTGACAAATTCTATATCAAGCATGCCCCAATCAGGTCGCAAGAAGGTACCATTCCCTTGTAATTTGTCGGCGTCAATATACTAACGCCCCTTAGCCAATACCCAAGTGGTTCTCTTAGCAGCAGGCTACCTCCAGCGGCTCGACCCTGCAGCGATGATGTTCATCGGACGCTCCGGTATATTTCTCAACACGGTTTCAAATCACCTGGCGGCCTCGTCGGGCAAAGCTCGCCTCCTGGGTATGCTGATAGGAACAGCAATCTCGCAACTCATTGAGCAGCAGGGGAAGGGAATGAAGTTCGATCTCGAAGAGATGGAGAGCGATGAATCGCTGTGGTACTTGGACCTCATCCACGCACATGATACCGTTGGCACCGCCGAATCCATCCAGTCGTTAAAGGAACCAGCGACAAAGCTACCAGAAACCAAGAAACCATCGCCATCAGGGGCCAGTGAAAAAAAGAAACCCGCAAGAACTGCAAAGATCGTTGCTATAGAAGAGATCGAGGACTCAGACAACGAAGAGGAAGAAGATGAGGACCTAATCCCATATGAGAAGCCCGACGAAGACCCATCAGATTCCGACGACGACCCAACCTTGGTCCAGCGCAACAAACCGACTCCACCAGTGTAAGTTCACAACAATCACCACCACAACAATAGCCCATCCTCTCCGACTAACCACACCAGATACATCCGCGACCTGATCATCTACCTCCGCGACACCGACAACGTCGACCGCTACGAGCTCGCCATAACCACCGCCCCGTCCCTCATCCGCCGCAAGACCGGCTTTGGCACCGAACTCGCCGAGAACCTCGAAGAACTGGCTCTGGTGATCGTCGGCTCCCAGGAGCACGGCAACATCGCCAAATTTCCCGAATACCAACTCCAAAGCATGATCGCGCTGATCGTTTCCCAGCCACTGAAAATGGGCCACTGGTTCTCGGCCATTTTCTTCGACGGCGACCTCTCGCAACCCCAGCGCTCCGCCATCCTCACAGCTTTGGGTCTGAGTGCCCGCGAACTCGGCGGAAACGGCGAGGCCGACGCCAAAGCCCTGAAGCTGCCAGATCTACAAAACTCATCATTCCCCTCGAAAAAGCTCCCTGGGAATCTCGAAGCCCTGTATCTTACTAAATCGCCTATCGCAGCTCTAACTAAACAACTTGCCCGCTCCTCGCTCGAACCCCTAGCCGCCTCCGCTACGGATACCCTCACCGGCCCGAACGCCCTCAAAGTCCGCACCTTCTCCTCGAGAATGGAGGTCGAGAAGAAACGCCAACAGCGCGAGTCTCAGCGGCAGAAATCCACCATCAAGGACCTGTATAAAGTCCTCGCGCAGGGGTTTTTCTTCCCCCTGAAGGGCCGCTTCGAAGTCATGATGCTGCAATTTTCCTCGTGCGTCCTCCCCTCCCCGTACCTCCCTGAAACTTAACTAATCCCCCCCCCTCCCCCCCCTTAACACACACACACAAACTAACACAAAAACAGCACGACCTCCCCATCCTACAACCCCTTCTTCACCCCGCACCTCCTCACCCTCCTCATCCAAACCCTCTCCCTAACCCTCTCCACCATGGGCCCCTACACGCCGTACCTCCCCACGCTCACGCACGAAACCCTGACCTTTCTGCTCTCGCTACACGCGCGACCCATGTGCGACGACCCGCTCATCCTCGCCGCCCTGTTGTCGCTGTTCCTCGCGATCGTGGACCTGAACATCGCATCCGGCACGTCGGGCGAAGAGCGTCTGGTCACGGAGTTTGCAACCCAGACCATGGAGCTGAGGGAGTGGGTGGGCGAGGTGTTTGAACGGACGGCGCCGGTCAGGGATGAGAGTGATCCGAGGGAGCAGGTAAGGACGCTGGCTGCGGGGGTCATGGTGAGGTTGGGGGAGGTGGTCGAGAGGTATCAGGGACGGTTGATGGGGGTGGGAGGGGTTTTAAGTATTGATTTCTTTTTTTAGAAAAAGAATATTATTTAACTGGTTTCGAGGGGGAAGAGGGGGGGGGGAGGGGGGGAGGGGGGTAAGACATGCTACGTTATGTTATGTTATGTTATGATTTGGGTAAATTATCCATCCATCTATTAATGCCATGTTATCATGAAGTCAATCAAGTCATACAAGTTTCAAATGGATATCGTAAGACCAGCTAGTTACTGTTACTGTTGCTGTTACTTGTTACTTTAACTGCAACAGCTCATCATTCCAACTTCGCCAAACTCCCCTTCTCAATCGCCGCCTCCATCATGCGATCCCCATTAATCATGCCGGTGGTACAGATGACGATCTTCCGTCTGGGGGCCTCCTGCGCGGCAATGAACCGCAACGCGGCGATCTCCGTGAACGTGATCCCGCCCAGAAAGAACACATAGACGGTCTTGGTGGCATTGTTCCCGCTGATGGTCTGACGGGCGCGGATGGCCTTATCATCGCCCTTCTGGACGATGCTGAAGGTCGCGCCACGGGCGCTCTTGACGACGTCCTCGAAGCCGAGCCAGCCGGGCGACGACGCGCTGGCCGGATTGGGCGTTGCGGCGGAGATAGCCCCGCCGCGGAGGAGGGAGAGAATGTATGGTTTCTGCAGGATGCATTGGACGAGACGGATGCTGAGGGGGGCGAAGCCGCTGTAGACGTAGGCGACGTCGTTGGGGTCCTTTTCGCTGACTTCTTCGACGACGAGGCGGAGGGACTTGCGCAGGTAGGCGTAGTTGGTTTTGGAGCCGGGGTGGGCGGCGCCGGTGGTGGGGAGGAGCATGGCGGTGGTGGAGGTGGCGGAGGAGCGCGGCTGGAGGAGTTCCATTCTCTCGAGGGCCCAGAAGGTGAGGAGATGTTGGTGGCCGTAGGCTTGGACGATCTGGCGCTTGAAGCTTTCCAGATCCCGTGGCCGGAGGCCGCCGGACATGCAGGATTCCAGGCACAGGAGGCGGAGGATGGTTTTCAGGGGCACGTCGCGCGCGATGAGCTCCTCGATGGCTTCGTGGTGGTAGGTGGCGTCGGCGCCGGCGGCGTTGTTTTGCTGCACTTCCAGGATCTTGCGGAAGATGTCGGAGCGGGTGGTTCGCATGATCTCCTCCGCTAGGTTGGTGTGCACTCGAAGGCTCTGGTGCTCGAGTTGGTAGGTGGGGAGTTTGTTGACGAATTCGCGCAGCTCAGTGGTCGTCTTTGCGGCGTGGCGGCTTTCGTAGTCCGTCTCGAGACGGCGGGCGACCTTGTTCAGGATGTCGCCGACGATGGCGAAGTTGGCGTCGCGCAGTTGGCTGAAGAGTTGGTCGGACGAGTCGAGTTGGATCTTCCGCTTTTGGCCCTGTTTCGAGGACTGTTGAGGGGCTTTGGAGGATTCCTGGGCTTGTGGTACTGCGGTGGGACCAACGATTGATGTGTCCACGTCCGCTTGGTTGTTTTTGATCCCAACCGTTTCATCAATCAATCCCTCGTATGTCAGTTGGGTGAGGAGGGCTGAGCCGAAGTCGACTTGGCGGTCGATGATGATGAGGCTCTCGGTGCTTGCGCTGGGGAGGAGTCCTCGTGCTGAGATCCCGGCCAGCCCCGAGCTCTCCTCCGCATCGAGTTCCCTTCTCATACGCAGCAAGAGATCTGCCAGCCGTCGGGCATGATCACCCTTGCCGATGATCCGGGGGAAGTAGCCGTGTCTCTGCTGGATGTCCATGAGAGCCTTGGCGGCGTGGAAGGTAGACCCTGGATTTTTTTGCTGTGGACATCTCCATTAATAGAGGCTTCGTCGATGGTCTGCTGCGCTCTCTTACCAGGTACAGGTCGTTGAAGGAGTCCTCCAGCTCCAACGACAGCACATCTTGCTCCAGAGGAACAAAATACAGTGGCATCTCGGCGATGTTGACGTCTCCTATGATGCCTGCTTCCTCCAGGATGGAGTTGCTTACAAGGGTCCGTCTCGGGACCCAGAATATGGACAGCTCATGTTCAACGTTGCCGTTGCGCTGGAGGCGCTGGATCTGTTCTAGAGGAATGTTAGCTCATTCTGATGGCATCCACTCGAAGGTGAAGCGAAAGAAAGCCTTGAGATGAGCTGGGCACGAGTCTCTTGATGTAGGGAACTCTGGACTGGCTAGCTACGTAGAGTGGGAATGGATCCGCGTAATCTACTAGTTGTCCCATATATGGATGGCTCCGGGTAGCTCCACCGTGTAATAGACGGCGAGGCACAAACAAACGATTTACAATGGGTGCGACAGGTGGAGATGCGGAGGAGATGGACATACCTGCCACGGCCCGCACCTGGCGTATCTTTTCCGCATGCACTAGGAAGACGACATTGCGCTGCGAGGAGTCCACGTTGCCATTCTCGAGCAGGAAGACGCGGTCTACACCGTACTCCTGGAGCAGAGAGAACTTGACGAACAGCCCGACCGGACCGGCCAGATCCTGACTGACGACCAGGTTCTTCTTCCCACGCACCTGCACAGAGAGAGTTCAGCACGCGATGAGATGGATGGTACAGGCTTACTCACGCCTTCAAGAAGGTTCAAAAAGTCCCTACGCGCCTTGTCCCGAAAATAGTCGGCATCAGACCCTGGATACGGCGCCATGACTGCGGTGAAGCATTGTCCGACAGCACAGCGAGGATGATGAGGATGATGGACGGTTGCGGTTGGTGGTTGGCGGTGGTTCGCGGCTGAGAAAGGGTCCAGCCACTCCGCTAGCCCGTTTGGGACTAAGAGCTGCACTGCCTGTCATGCCCGTCGTTTCCGTACCGTCATTACCGTCCCCGCCCCGCCGGGATGTGCGTATCCGCGATACCCTCCGCCTTGGGCCTCGACCCCCCATCCAATAATGCCTCAGGAGGCGTTTCTGACGGCTCCTCCCCTGACTGACCAACTGCCTACTGACTGACTGACTTGGTTTCAAATTTCTCTCCTTTCTCATCCCCCCCCCCTCTGTCCCCTATTCACTCGCTTTCTTGCCGTGCTTCGCTCGGTTTCTCTCTCACTTGACGGCCCGTCTGCCAAACTACACTACTCCAACGACAAATTCCCGACGGCAATCACGCCATGGGCCGCTTCGGGTTCAAGAAGTCCGGGGACGATGACGATGATTCCCCCAACCGCCTGGCGCTGTTCGGCTCCAGATCAAAGAGCAAGAGTCCAGCACCGCCTGCCAACCCCTATGCCAAACCCATCCCGACCGACCCTTACACCAAGGCCAAGATCAACGCCGGAGTCGCCCCCTTACCGGCGGGAGAACACCCCCCCGCACCCTCAGCCGGCCCCTCGGGCGCCCACAACATCCCGGGAGACCACAAATACCAAGGATATGCGCCCAACCGATATGGCAACCAGGGCGGCTTCGGATCCGACCGCTTTGGCGGCGGAGGGGCTGCTCCTGCGGCGGCGGCGTCCCGGTACGGCGCCGGCGGCTACGGGGGGTTAGGCAGCGCCGATCCCAATGACCCCGCCGCGGCGGATAGCAACAGAGATGCCCTTTTCGGAGGGGCTCGCGAACGCGTGCAGCAACAGCAGCCCGGCGGTTCAGGCGGTCCTCCCCCTCCGTATTCCGAGGGTTCGGCGGCCTACGGTGGCGGCAGCAACGACTACAACACATCCACGTATCAGGAGCGACAACTCACCGCAGAGGAGGAAGAGGAGGAGGAGATTCAAACCATCAAGCAGGATATCCGGTTCATCAAGCAGGGTGATGTTTCCTCGACTCGCAACGCCCTTCGCATTGCCGCACAGGCCGAGGAAACTGGTCGCGAGACCCTTGCTCGTCTGGGTGCCCAGGGAGAGCGGATCCACGATGCAGAGAAGAGTTTAGATGTGGCGACGGTCGAGGGACGGATTGCGGAGGAGAAGGCGAAGGAGCTGAAGACGCTCAACAAGAGCATGTTCGCGGTCCACGTGTCCAACCCCTTCACCAGCGGCCGCCGCCGCCGCGAGCGTGATGAGCGGATTTTGAACACCCACCGCGCGGAGCGGGACACTCGTGAGGGCACCCAGAACGAGGCCTTCAAGACCAACCAACGGATGGAGCGCACGTTCCGCGAAATCGACAAGGAAGCGGCCAAGCAGAGCACCCGCAGCCGGACGAACGTCACAGACCGTGCCAAATACCAGTTCGAGGCGGACAGCGAGGACGAGGCGATGGAGACGGAGATCGAGCAGAACTTGGATCTGCTGTCGGGCGCTGCAGGCCGTTTGAACGGACTTGCCCGAGCGACGGGCAAGGAGTTGGACGAGCAGAACCGCCATCTGGAGCGTATCACCGCCAAGGTAAGCCCCGATGTTTTGTTTCTCTGTGATATTGAATCGAGACTAACCTGCCATAGAGCGACTTCGTCGACGACCAGATTGCCATGAACCGGGCCAAGCTGGACCGTATCCGCTAAGCGGGCTTCTAGACCCTTTATTGACTGCCTGGTGCGGTCGATTCTTACCTGTGCCATATCATCACTTACTACCACATCCTTGGCGTTCTGGATATCATACTACTTTATGCTTGCTGCCGGATCCTCCCGGGCATTGCTGGTTGCATATGGAGGAAGTAATAGCCGCGATTAGAGATTTTACCCTTGTTCTTGCTTACATGGAATCAAACATGGGGCCTCTAAGTGGACTCTATTGTCTTCGTACAGATTCCTCCCATCTCCCTCGGGATCCCTAGGAAACCTGCGTCCATTGCACGCCTCGCGTAGACCGAATGGATCTGTAGAGAGACCCATCTCACGTGCGGCTGGAACCTTGTACATTCTGTGCCGTAGCATGAACACTAGATAGTAGCAAGGCTCACCACAGCGGCACCCATTCAACCCTCTCTCATCCTGATATAACCCTCCACATCTCCAAAAGCAGAAACCACCGCTCAGGACTCGGAAAGATATCTATCCTATTCCGAATCCACCACCACTTCCTACTCCGTATCAAGTCTACAATAGTGCATCCCCAAGGGAAGCTATCTATCACTGTCACTAACTACACTATCACCCCTAATTCCCTCCCATCCACCACCTCCGCCTCCACAGCTTGCGATCAAACCGTTACTCCAGCAAAGCCTGCGCATCACCCGCATACATGAAGACTTTACCACCGACCTCCTTAGACATCCTCTCTATCTCCCTCTCCTCCTCCTCCTCCTCCTCCTCCTCCTCCTCCTCCTCCTCCTCCTCCTCCTCCTCCTCCTCCTCCTCCTCCCATCTTTAAAATAAATCCAGCAATCCACAACCTCATACGCATTCGTCTCATAATCCGCTAGCTTCCGCGCCTCTTCTTCGGATCGCACGAGATAGGCAGATCCCGTCACCACATCTCCCTGTTTCCCATTGATCAGGGCGGGATAATCGCCCCATTTCGCAATGGTATAACCAAATACCTCCGCCTTCCGAAGTTGAGGCTCTCCTCTGGCAGGTCGAGGATTCTTTTTACCTGAACCGGGGCGGTTAGAGTGCCGTAGAAGAATAGTATACTGGGTATGGGTACTTGGTGGGGAGGTGGGGGGGTTGGCTGTGGCTGTGGCTGTGTAAAAGTGAGGTGGTCGCTGGCTGGGCGGCATGGTGTGGAGTGGAAGGTGGTGGAGGGTGGTTGTGGCTCGCTCCTCTTCCTTACCTGGGCCCCTGGGGTGCGTAGGGGCTCTCTGGTTTCTCATTCCGAATTTGGGACAAGATGGATGGATAAAGAGCTGACGTACACACCGCACCCCATAGAAATTCAAAAGGCAGGTACAACGAACTCCCAGAGTCAGTCTAACTGAGAACGGTATGTCGAGAATGACATGCGATGATGGGGATCGTGGATGTTGGACTAGATACTTGGACCATGGATGGGATGGGGATCTCCACCTTGCTCTTAGTTTATCTGCCCAATATCGAGATGGCCCGCGGGAACCGTTGGAGTTTCAATCTGCTACACGAACGGCTGGGAACCCACAACCCACAATATAGTAGATGGATAGATAGATACTACTGCGTAAGACAGTCCTTAAGTGAGTGAGTGACTGACTGAGTGAGTGGCACTATAAGTAGATTGTTAATTGTTAATATTGGGCTGAAACGCGGTGGGGGCCGTTCTCATCCTTCTTCTTCTTCCTTCTTGGCTTGAAAAGTCTGTATGTCTTTATTTTTTTTTTTTTTTAGAAAATTTTAAATAAAAAAAAAAAGAATATAATTAAATAAAACGTCTCGGCAGAAGGATGGGTGGATAGATGGAGCAGGTGGTTTGGATGAGAATTTATCCAGATCCCTTGATCCCTTGCAAGGCTTGGCTTCATCTTCAGGGACTGGATTGGTTTGGGGTTTGGTTTGGTTTCTGGGCTGAGTTGAGTTTATTCGGCTGGACGCGTGGAGGGTAGGGAGGGATGATGTCATGGGTGTATATTTCAATCTATCCATCCATCCATTGAGGGAGGACGATGGTATTGGGTAGCAATGGGCAATTTAAACACAAAAGAGGAAAGTCGCCACTGTTAGTGCTTAATTCACCACGCCATAGGAAATATGTGGCATGTTATTACTGTTTTAGATGGTCGTGTATCAGTATGGCATTGATTTATTCCCGGTGGTGGGAGTATTATGCCGGATGTGGATGCAGTGCTTATAGTATACATATATCCATGCAGCATGGATTAATGTCATATCATGTGGTGCATAGTTATATTATGCAGGTTTATCCCAAGGTGTGGTGCTAGCGCTGGTATTTGATTGTTGTGGCCTGAATCTTCTGCGGGAGTCATTCGCAGCCTGAACAGTTAACACGGTGCTTGACCATTTCCAGCATCGCAATTCGCACCTAACATTTATTATAACCCCGAGGACCCTTTCTTCCATACACCAAAACCTCTCGGGTCTTCAACATGCAGTAATGTTTTTTTTTCCCGCCTAGGAATCCATTCAGGCCTGTTTTGTCACTCCAGACAGGCCAAGCACCATGGTTTGTATTATGATCCATTCTGGTCTCCTGCATCATGCAACCCTCTAGATAGATACCAAATCGATCATTCTCGGTCCTATATACGGACCCTCTGACCAGTGTCGCCGAAAGGTGAGCTTACTTCGGAACTCCCCGTCAATACTACAGATGAGCTTTGTAAGACGCCTAGAAATGTCAACATCTCGTTACTCTGTAAAGGCAGTCCTTCGCCATGCTATTTGTGGGTCTTGAGAGGGCAATATGAAGCACAATAACGACTTATCTCCCCTGAAGTACGCAAGCGGATATTTCTATTGAGCAGCGTGAACCTATTATCACTCATCAACTTATCAGTCTTTCTCCTCCCCCCAATGGCAGCTTTTGCTTGCATAGCTAGGAAAGGACTTGGAGAAGAGAACTTGTAATAAGCGGCGGGCGATAAATGGCAGTCTGGTTTAGAGATCGTTTGAAGAGTAGGCAGCATTTGAGAGAACTGCATAGGTTGTGTAGGACAGTAGGATTGTTGAACAGGACTGTGGTAGGTAAAGAAGAGATGGCTACCTATCTGCCATGTGAAAAACAACCATCTTGCTTCCCCTCATGGCCGATCGTCGATCATTGTTCCCCTCATGGATCCACCTCCATGAGGGGACCGATTTCTAATCCGGAGAAGAGAGGGGGATTTTTGAAAGCTTTTTGCTTTGGAAGGGTCGCATTTGATAAGTGCCTAGATAGGAATCTTCTCGCGTGAGCTTAACTTGTAGCAAGAAATAAGCCTGTCGTCTTTTCTTAAGACCTTCCTGGGAAGATATAAAGCTCAATAATTGAGCGTAAGAGCTGAGGGGGGGGTGACTCGGCAAAATGGGCCTGTTCCGCTCTTACAGTAGTTCAAAGAAAGATGTTGAATTGGCGAGTGAAGAAGTAGACGCATGCAACGGGTTGCATTGGGAGACGGAGTGAGTATATATTCGGGCGCCGAGCCATCTCCATTATTTCATTGCCACAGTAGCTATTCACCACCACAGCTGCAATAATCCAAAGCATGTAGATAATTCTGGAGCAGGCTTGAAGTCATTATACTCTTTTAACAGCACTACAAATCTACACATGGTCAAAATTCAAAAAAAGGTAACGAGACTGGATCTCTCTATGTCCCCATGACCGACACGTGACCCTTAGTCATCAATCTAGTCCCGCCGCCGAACTTCACCTCTCGACCTCTGATATTTTCCCTCCAAGACATCAGCGATCCATCCTACATCGCCCCCAAGGTCGCCGTTATCGTGGTCTTCGATCCGGATGTAGCTGCTGTTACCCCTGCCTGGGAGTGTTTGTTCTCTATCTCGTCTTTGGGATCTCCACAGCCGCCACCATGTCCGACGGTAGGTCCTCCCCCCCATGACCTCCAACATCCCCCCATTCGCGAATTGAATCCCGTTGTCTCATCCCGGGCTAACAACCTTGCAGCTGATTTCGAAGCCGTTCGGAAGCTCCAGGCTGAGCGAAACGAAGCCGCCGCTGCGAAGAAAGGTTCTAGGACCTTTGACACGTCTAGCCAGCGCACTGACAGCTCGACCAAGGCCTCCCTGACGGATACCTTCGATACGACCCTGTACGAACGCGAGGGCGCCGACAAGTTTGCGGGATACGACACTTCCATCGCCGTCAATGGCGACGATGAAGAGATGGAGGATGCGGATGCAGGCCACCGTCTGGTGGGCCAGTACACAGCGACTAGGGGTCAGATAGATGAGTTTGCCCACGGCAACGGCGTGGAAGAGGAGGACATCCTTTTGGGGCGCGAGAAGGCGGCCAGAATCGCTGATCGTGAGACCGACTACCAGAAGCGTCGCTTCAACCGGGGCGCGTTGACGCCCACGCGTGCCGACCCGTTTGCCGCGAACACCCATGCAAACGTCGAGGGAGAGGGACAAACCTACCGTGAAGTTATGGCTCTGCGTGAGCTCGAGAAAGAAGAAGAGCGTGTCCAGAAGCTGATCTCCGAACAGCAGGCCAAGGGCGAGGACGATGGGCAAGAGCATCAGGCTACGTTGAAGTCGGATGATAAAGAGAATGCCGATGCGGGCTCCACGGTCGCGGTTGCCACCGGTCGCAAGCGTAAGCAGCGATGGGACGTGTCCTCCGAGCCCACCGCGTCGGCCCCCGAGGCAGACGCTGCGCAGCCCGCTGAAACCAAGACCAAGAGATCTCGCTGGGACCAAACACCTGTGCCGGGCGCCCCGGAGGATGCCCCCAAACGTCGCTCGCGATGGGACCAGGCGCCTGCCATTGCTGCCTCCACCCCTGTGGGCAACCAGGGGCTTGCCACCCCCATGCATCCTTCTCAAGTAGGTGCGCCTATGATGCCATCCAGCTTTGGAACTGATATCTCTGGGCGCAATGCTCCTCTGTCGGACGAAGAGCTTGACCTCATGCTGCCGTCGGAGGGCTACAAGATCCTGGATCCTCCTCCGGGCTACGCCCCTATTCGCAACCCCGCGAGGAAGCTCATGGCAACCCCGGCCCCTATGGCTAGTGCGTCGGGAGTGGGTGGCTTCATGATGCAGGAGCCGGAAAGCGCTCGTTCGTTGGGCAAGCAGCTTCCGACTGAGATCCCTGGTGTGGGTGACCTGCAGTTTTTCAAGCCGGAGGATATGGCCTACTTCGGCAAGCTGATGGAAGGTGGAGACGAGAGCGCGATGACGGTGGACGAGCTGAAGGAACGGAAGATCATGCGGCTGTTGCTGAAGGTGAAGAACGGTACTCCGCCGATGCGAAAGACGGCCCTGCGTCAACTCACAGACAACGCACGGCAATTCGGCGCCGGTCCCCTTTTCAACCAGATTCTCCCCCTTCTCATGGAAAAGTCCCTGGAAGACCAAGAACGCCATCTGTTGGTGAAGGTCATCGATCGTGTCTTGTACAAGCTCGACGATCTCGTCCGCCCATACGTCCACAAGATTCTCGTCGTTATCGAGCCTCTGCTCATTGACCAGGACTACTATGCGCGTGTCGAGGGTCGGGAAATTATCTCCAACTTGGCCAAGGCCGCAGGTCTTGCCACGATGATCAGTACCATGCGTCCGGATATCGACCACGTCGACGAATATGTCCGTAACACGACGGCTCGAGCCTTTGCCGTCGTTGCCTCCGCTCTCGGTATCCCTGCTCTTCTCCCCTTCCTCCGCGCTGTGTGTCGGAGTAAGAAGTCATGGCAGGCTCGCCACACGGGTGTCAAGATTATCCAGCAGATCCCGATTCTGGTTGGTTGCGCCGTGCTTCCGCATCTGAAGGGGCTGGTGGACTGCATTGCCGACAACCTCAGCGATGAACAGGCGAAGGTCCGAACCGTCACCGCTCTGGCTGTGGCTGCTCTGGCTGAGGCCGCCAACCCGTACGGTATCGAGAGTTTCGACGAAATCCTTAACCCCCTGTGGACGGGCGCCCGGAAGCAGCGTGGTAAGGGTCTCGCTGCTTTCCTGAAGGCCGTCGGCTACATTATCCCCCTCATGGACGAAGAGTATGCCAACTACTATACCAGTCAGATCATGGAGATTCTTCTCCGAGAATTCGCTTCCCCCGACGAAGAGATGAAGAAGGTTGTCCTGAAGGTGGTGTCACAGTGCGCTAGCACAGATGGTGTGACGGCCAGCTATCTGAAGGAACACGTGTTGACCGACTTCTTCAAGAGCTTTTGGGTGCGTCGGATGGCCTTGGACCGGAGGAACTACCGTCAGGTGGTTGACACGACTGTCGACCTCGGACAGAAGGTTGGCGTGGGTGAGATTCTCGAGCGCGTCGTGAACAACCTCAAGGACGAGAGCGAGCCCTACCGCAAGATGACGGTGGAGACGGTGGAGAAGCTCATTGCGGCGCTTGGAGCCGCCGATATCTCGGAGCGTTTGGAGGAGAGACTCATCGATGGTGTTCTCTACGCCTTCCAGGAACAGAGCATCGAGGATATCGTGATCTTGAACGGTTTCGGAACGGTAGTCAACGCTCTTGGCTCGCGTTGCAAGCCGTACCTCCCCCAGATCGTCAGTACCATCCTTTGGAGATTGAACAACAAGTCTGCGACGGTCCGCCAGCAGGCTGCGGATCTTATCTCGCGGATTGCGATGGTCATGAAGCAGTGCGGCGAAGACGCCCTGATGGGCAAGCTCGGTATCGTGCTCTACGAATACCTGGGTGAGGAGTACCCCGAGGTGCTGGGGTCCATCCTGGGTGCCCTCCGATCGATCGTCACCGTGGTCGGTATCAATCAGATGCAGCCTCCCATCCGGGACCTGCTCCCCCGTCTCACCCCCATTCTACGCAACCGTCACGAGAAGGTGCAGGAGAACACGATCGACCTGGTCGGTCGTATCGCCGACCGTGGGCCCGAGTCGGTCAACGCGCGCGAGTGGATGCGTATCTGTTTCGAACTGCTCGACATGCTGAAGGCCCACAAGAAGGGTATTCGCCGTGCCGCGAACAACACCTTCGGTTTCATCGCCAAGGCCATCGGACCCCAGGACGTGCTGGCGACGCTCCTCAACAACCTGCGTGTCCAGGAGCGTCAGTCCCGTGTGTGTACGGCCGTTGCCATTGGTATCGTGGCGGAAACCTGTGCGCCCTTCACCGTGCTGCCGGCGCTGATGAACGAATACCGCGTCCCCGAGCTGAACGTCCAGAACGGTGTGCTGAAGGCCATGTCCTTCCTGTTCGAGTACATCGGCGAGATGGCCAAGGACTACGTCTACGCGGTCACGCCGCTTCTCGAGGATGCCCTCATCGATCGCGACCAGGTGCATCGCCAAACGGCCGCCAGCGTGGTCAAGCACATCGCCTTGGGCGTGGTAGGTCTGGGCTGTGAAGACGCCATGGTGCATCTCCTCAACCTGGTGTTCCCCAACATCTTCGAGACCAGCCCGCACGTTATCGACCGCGTCATCGAAGCCATCGACGCCATCCGCATGGCCGTCGGCACCGGCGTCGTGATGAACTACGTCTGGGCCGGCCTGTTCCATCCAGCCCGCAAGGTCCGCGTTCCCTACTGGCGCCTCTACAACGACGCCTACGTGCAGAGTGCCGACGCCATGATCCCCTACTATCCCGACCTCGACGGTGATGGTCTTGATAGAGTGGAGTTGTCGATCATCGTTTGAGCTGTTAGAAAAGCCAACCAGCGTTTCTTTTACGTACTTACCACGTTACCTTTTGTCTTTCCTTGTTGTACACCCATTTCTGTCTTCCTTTCTTTTCTTTCCTTCCACTTTTCATCCATCATACTGGGCCTGTTCAATTACGGTGTTTCTCCGGGCGGAATTTGGCGCGTGTCGTTTACCTTTACTTACCATCTTTCCTGAAGATATAGTCAATGTCAATGGCAACCTCCTCCATCTCTTTCAATCCAGTCAGCCAGTCAGTCCGGGTCTCGACGGGGTCGAGGATCTATCTATCTGCCAGGGCAGCCACTCCGTGTAGTCCAAGCCAGCCAGTAAGTAATAGAGCACGCGATGCCGTCGCATCCCCCCGCATTTGGGATCTCCGCATCATGCAATGCACTACTGCGGTCGAAAACAAAACAAAACACCACAATTCTCGCTCTGTTTCCGAGCGTGGTGACGTGAATCTGATTCTGGGCCGAGTCGCACCGACGGACCTCTCTACTCACTCAATTACTCAATTACTCGCTCAATTACTCCCCCAACCTACCAATGAATCCCACCATGCCCCTCCCCGGGAAAACCGACGTCCTCGTTATCGGCGGCAGCAACGCGGGCTTCTGCGCAGTCCTCTCCGCCGCCCAGTCCGACGCCAAGTAGGTGATTATCATGATATAGTAGAAGACTTTACCGGGGATATAAATCAGACAACAGAACAACAGATAAACCGCAAAGCTATACCGCACGCTGATCAGGAAATCGAACTTAGCCATCAAATAGCTCGCCAGCAACCTGAGGATATCATTTTAGCTATTATTTTAATCAGCAGATCTACAAGATCAACAGCCGCCTCAAGTTCTGGGACGGCCTGGCCCTGAAGACCCAGAACAGAAACAAGGGACTTACTTATTCAGGACTATCTGCAGGCGGCGGGCGGGTTTGAGGTGAATCTGTGGATACGCGCGCAAGTTCCTGGGCCCGCACTGGGATGTGATGCTTGTACACGGCACGCTGTACAACTCGGGGGATATGTTCAAGATAGCAATCCGGGAAGTGTCGGCCAAGCAGGCGGGGAACTGGTCCAGATATTAATGCATATTGCGTGGGCAAGATGCTGGGAGGAATATACTATAATAACTATCTAGGTAGCAGTGGCTTGACCTCCGGGGCGGTCTTTGGATATTATACTGAACAAGCGGCGGCGGTCAGGGTTTTGTTGATCCAGCAGGCACGGTTGTGATAATTATAATATTTATATAGAGTGAATTAAGATAAATAAATATTATATATAGTATGTATTTGTATTAAGTGTGTTGCATGAGCTATTAGGCTTTTACCAAATAATAAGGAATTGTATAATATAACATTGTACATAGTAATAGTATTTGTTGTCTCGAATCTATAGCTACATCACTGTATACCACGCCATATACTACACCAATCACATCCGCACACCACAAAATATACAGTTAGTAAACCATCATCCAACCAGAATCCGACAACGCCTACGTCTACCATCCTGCGTACATAATGTGAACAACCACACCCCCTCCATCTTAGTCATTCAATCAGCATCTCCTCCGTCCGTATCTCCCAAACAGTAAGTAGTTAAGTACGATGAGGTAATTCCCTCCACCACCACCATGACCAACAACAGCATCAGCATCGCATCAGCCCCCGCCAAGGCAAGCTGCACCCTGCGGGCGTGGTCGAGTATGTGCCGCGTAAGCCTTCCCCATCGCGCCATGTCATGTGTGGGCTTGGCTGGCGTTCCGTGTGGGGAGCCCGCCGCTGATTGGCCGGCTTAGGGGGGGGGGGGGGACTGGAGCGCGGGATAGTTACCTCCGCTGGTCGGGGGGAATTCTTCTGTCCGCTGCTGTGGAGTGTGGTCACGGTCTGTACACTTTCCCAAGTCGGCCTTTTCCCCCATGACGTCGAGGGGGGTTTTCAGAACTGTAAACCAAACCAAACCAAACCATCCGGAAAAGAAGTGAGAGTACCAGCAGTACCTGAAAGGAGGAACTTACTGGACTGAGAGAGGGGTCTCAGGGTGGGTAGCTGGTAGTAGTTAGTACCTAGGGTCCGGGGCTCGAGCGTCAGACATCTATTCTATTTGGATTGGGTTTGCTTTTGGTGAGGCTGAATATTATCTAGTATGTACATCAACAACAGAAGTCTTGGCTGATTTAGTTGATAGATAGTTGCTGGGTAGTGAACAGTAGTACTAGTACTATGGAGTTTCTTAGTAGTGCTAGCTGGCTAGTAAGTAAGTAAGTAGTGGATAGGTTTGCCTTACTGTACACAGTCAGTCATCAGTCAGTGACGGAGTAGATACTCCATCTGATAGATCAGACATCCCCATCCACACCATCCACGGTCGCTATCCAGGTACACACACATACACACACACAACACACATACACACACACACATACATACATGCAGTTGGACTACTGTCCTCCGTCCGCAGCGCAGCCATCACACCCAATCTCCACATTATCTATTATCGCTACTAGTACTGCGTACTACAAAATATTAAATACTTTTATTAAACTTGGGCATCGATGGTCCGCTTGGCTGCTGCAGGAGAATGCGCCTAGGCCCTGCTCTCTGCTCGCCAGTGGATACGCCTTTTTTTGAATGTAAATAAATGTGTTGGGACTTGGGACTTGGGTCAAGTAGGTTAGGTTAGGTTAGGTTAGGTTAGGTTAGGTTAGGTTAGGTTAGGTTAGGTTAGGTTAGGTTAGTTAGGTTGCTCCGTCCACCACCACATGGGCCTCTCCCCCTACTATCTAGTAGCTAGGTAGCCATCCGTCCATCCCAGAATTCCATCGCCAGCCAGCTAGCCGGCGAGGAATGGAATTATGAGACGCCCCTGCCGGTGCAACCCTACTACTCTGCAGGGCAGGATTGGATGTATTTGGTTGGAAAAGGTTTCCAGGGTGGTACTGTATGTAGCAGATTACTATTGGTACTTTGCTTTTTTTTTTTTTTTTCTTGTTTCTTTTGAAAAAAGAAAAGTGTTTTTTTTTTTTTAAAAAAAAAAAAAAAAAACTTTGTTATGGTGAGGAGGATTATTATTGTTGTTGTCGTTGTTATTATGGTTGATGTTGCTATTACGGAGTTTAAAGCTTGAATGCAAATTCACATTCACTTATGACTAAGTCGACAAAATCTAAATCCTCGGGACAGTTGCAGTAGAGTAGTAGATCATTGCCAACTTGACGTACTGTGTTTACTGAGTATCTACTACTCCTGTCGGTCGATACTTTCCCTCTCCCGTGAGATTAGGTAGGCTCCCAGATCTCCGTGGTGGTTTTTAGTTCCTGAACCGTCTGTCTCACTCAGTAAGTAGGTAGGTAGATCCTGTACCTCCCCAGGTACATCGGAGCACGCGAACGAAATCCCACACATCCCACGACTCCATTCTTTGCCGATGAGGGGATGGGTATGACGTTTAACAGTTTCCCCTTGGCGTTAGCCTATGCAGGGTCTGGTTGTGGTGTATTAATAGAAGCTATCCATAGCAATCTAAGTAAATCACCACACCACCACGATGTCTCTATCGAGGACTCTGGGTAGTAAGCTGAACGTTAGCGACCACACTACGTGTTTGCGACTTAATTTCTCGATCCATGGGTTTTAGTAGTGTGGGATCGGACACTAAACGTCTGGTTATGACGTTGCGAGTTTATTTGGTTTGATTGTTTTTTTTTCTGTCTACTGCTTATTGTTTAATATTTTCTTTGCTGTACTTCCAATTAATGGAGTGTTCGTGCGTGCGACTACTCTAATTACAGTAATTACTACATAGCACTATAGTTGTAGCCACTATAGTTAGTAAGCCTACCACGAAGATTGCTCGAAGCTAGCTGCCATCCTTCCATCCATCCTTCCATCCTTCAAAGGCTCAGAAAAAGCAATCAACGCGCGACAATCAGATAACACGCCCACCTGTTGTTTCAGATTCGTAAGTTCATCTACGATTGCGATGCGCTAACCTGATGACTTCATTCATTCATTTATTTGGATGTACTCTGTACTACTTTGTAAATGATATATGGAGAACATGTCATCATCAGCATCGTCCTCGAACCGTTGCCAATTCAATCTACTTCCCGTGCTACGGACACCCTCCCGAAGCAGACACCACGGCCGTTCTTGACATACGCCAAGGAAGAAAGAGAAGAGGGGAGGGGAGGGCTCCACTTTGCTGCACACTAGATTCGAGGTGTCCCGTCGAGCGGCTGCTGTCGCAGGAAGCTTAGGTTTGCAGGTCACTCAGGGTCCTCTTTCTCCGGTGGTGGTGGTGGCGGTGGTTTGGGATCCCGGAGTTGGAACTTGTTGGAGGTTGGAGTGGTATCAGAAGCCCTGGATCCTGGATGTGTCTCAGTCTGAAGAGGGTAGCACACCATCACCAACCATCCTCCACCCTCCACCCGCTACCCTCCGCCACCCCCCCCCGCATCCTACCTAGATAGTAGAGTGCCATGTTGTACGCGTGTCTGTCTGGCATGTAACTCGGGACAGTGCACGCACACAAAGTTTGGTCGTTGGGGCTTGGAGTTACGGTACAAGTGGTGCTATATCCACCGCGCACAGATGTAGACCATTGTCGGGTGAGTAGGTGATGATAGCATTTTCCAACGGTCGGACTCGGAGATGTGGGCTTGAGGGGCCCTCGAGGGCCTACCGGACGGCTTGACCTGGCCTGGCCCCTGAAACGTCGTGCCCGAGAAGTTGCAGTTCGGTCGGTGTCTCCTGTCCTATCCTAGTGCGTTCACAGTTCATTAGGTGCAGGGAGATACATATCCTGTGTACTCCGTAAGTGGTATCAGGTAATCAAGATGGTCGGCTATAATGGCATTGTTATGATTAGTCGCGGTTAGTAATGGCGAGAATGAGATTGTTGCAGACACGATACGAGGGGAAGACACCCAAGCCAAGACGAAGACAGGTACAGTCCATTCTCCTTCGAGGCAATGAGGGCCTCCGGCTTTCCGCGGGTGATATCATGGGCCAGGCCAACCAGAGCCCAGCGACATGTTCTTGACTTCTTGAAGAGTGGAGTAGAGAGGGAGAGAGTGGACCCCGACCTGTCGGGGGGCGCTAGATCTGATAGGCCCATCGCGGGTAGGCAAGAATGGGCCGGCGTGTTTCAGGTCGCTGCTAGCCGCAACCCTGAGAGTGGCAGTGTCTGGCTCCCGGTGGGGCGCACCAGGATCGCGCGCAGGGATTTGGGCAACGGGCTTGCGGGGTTCATTATTATGGAGGCCGATACGGCGTAGAACGGGCTTTAACTCTGACATTTGGAGAACAGGGCTAATTAGAGTTGTCTGGGTAAAGGTACTAAGTATGTTTATACACAAAGAGAGGGATGGCGGAAATCCGACTCGCCCACGCCCCCGACCACGGATGCCAGTCCAATTTCTTTGTTGGCCGCCTGCGATCTTGTTCGCCCTGCGCGCCGGAAATTGTATCAATCAATTTTATGACACAAGAAACCCTTGCTGACAACAAACCATATACCGAAACGGGGAAAGTGTCATCCCGAAGCGGTCTAGGCTCGTGAGATGTGCACGCGTCAGCTGCGGTGGGGCGCGCCCGATGATTGGGTGATCTGCTCGAGCCAAGCTCGGCTATCGACTATCTGCCGTCCCGGGGTGTGGCTGCATGCTCTCCCTGCTTTCTCTAGCCCAGGGATTGAAATTGAATCATAGTGCGGTTTGCCAATAGCGTGGGCGGTGATTCTGCTCGTTGCTTTTTGATCTTGGTTTGCACGCTAATGCAAGAGACCCACACCATTGCCCTCCTTTCTATCCTACTCGCTGCCCACTGGCCTGCCCTCGTTGGATGGATTTGCTCGCCGACTTGTGGAAAACAACGCCCTCGTATGGGGGCGCGGCAAACGGAATGTCGCGGGAGTGCGCTGACCTCCTCTGCCACTACTGGTAAGTAAGTAACTTTGAGCTTTCAACCCTCACCAGTCAGTACTTTCCTCTGGAGTGTACGGAGTACAGACCAGATGATGGGTGGAGTGGAGTGGAGCTGTCCGTCGCCCATCGTCGTTCCCCATCCAAATCCATCATGGATGGTTGGTTGCGGTGCTATATCGGGGCAGCCAACCAATCAACACATCCAGCCTCAACGAAGCTCACCCTCTTGGTTCCTCTGACACATTGCTATTGCAGTTGCGCCATAGTGGGACACCCAGCCAAAGTCTGGACAGTGGACATAGCAACTCCGATTGTATCCAGCGCTCTTCTACCGCACGGGAACTTGATTTCCCTCTTTTTGCCGCGCTGGTAGGTTCTTGGCATTGACCTTCCTGTTCCAGCACCCCCCCACTCTGAGCCCTTACCCATCCCATTCCATCCCGGACCGGGCGACCCATGGTCCCATGCTCTAGTTAGGGGCGGGAGACCACGCTTTCTCCTCCTCAAAATCAACAATTGGACTGAGACTGGGGCTGTCAAACTTTTGGGTATAGTCTGCCACACGCCTCCCCCCCCCCTTCTCTCTCCGCGGGAACGAACCATATCCATAATCCATCTTAGTCTGGCTGTCTGTTCTGTCTCCAAGTGTCCGTAACTGGCAGTTCAAAGCTAAAACTGATAGAGACAGAGTAGCGTGCGTTACAGACAGCCCCGACCGACCGATTCAAACCTAACTTACATATGGTTTCTTATCCCCGGTACGGCGGTGGTGGCATTAGCGCTACGCCCGAAATCGCAAGAGAACACCGATGGAAAGTTCAGTCAACATTCGATTCCCCTTGGCGCATGAGTCTCAAATTTCGGATCACGTTGACACCGGGGCGTGTCGGCTTCGAACTATGTACCTAGTTGCCGCAGGCCGAGTCAACTTGTGAGAGAGACAGCTAAGGTACGGAGTACAGTCAGTAAGGTACAGTTTGTTAACTAGGTTTGCGATCTATGGGGGTCGCTGAATATACTTTCTGGGCACGCTCCGTGGGATGGTTCAGAGGTGGTCTTTTGCTTTGTGTACCTCGATCGTAATGCGCATCGATGCGGCTTGGTATCTTCAGCAACACGATACGGAGCACATCCCAGTACATTTTCTTCCTAACAGGAAAACTATCGAATCCACCTTTCCCCTGCCTGCAACGGATGGAGTCACAGACCATAATGACAGTAACAGAACCCCTATCCTTCATTCTTCTCTCTCTCCCTCCATCCCCATCTCCCTTTTCCATATCTAGACCATCCAACCGTTCTCCTGAACCCTACTCCCCAAGCATCTATCTAGTAGCCTCTCAAGACGCCATTATGCCAATCACCGACGATCTGCCGTCGCCAAGAACCGCCCCGTGCAGATAGATGACAGATGTTTTAGGGGGGTGGAAAATGATTTTCGTTCTATTTTGAACAGTCCCGTCTCCCAGCAAACAAGCTGCGCTGTTTCATCTGCTTAGCATCAAATAGGGCCCGCAGTGGAAGTGACGATCGGCCATGTTCCTGAAGACTGGCCCCTGGGTTCATTGGACTGTCAGTGGAGTTAAACATCGTTAAGGTACGACCTTGGGAAGGTCTGGTGTGACTACTAGATACTAACTATCTACTGGCGACTCACTAATCATTAATGCCGATGTCAAGGGGATCTTCTGGCTTTAGATGCCGAGGACGGGGTCTGTCTTGGTGGTTTAGCTTCGCTTCTCTCGACTTCATCTCACTGCATCTGCATCTAAATTCCATTCATTCCACATAGATACTTTTTTTTTTCCCCTTTCAAAATAAATAAATAAAATAACACTATCTATCTATCTATCTATCTATGGGCCAACCACTCAGCCTAAAGCACCCCCCCCCCTCCCCCCCCGCTAATAAATCATCTTACCACCATCTTATTTATTTTCGTCCCAACACCATGGTAAATGTTTTCCCACCAGCTCTCGGAATCCTCGGAAGTACGGAGTAGTTCGTTTCCATTTCCCTCTAGCCCAGCCCTGTCTAAAGAGCACGGCAATAATAGTCGTAGTAAGTATGCTGGCGTTACTCCGTAGCAGTAGTAGTGTATATAGTAGTATATAGTAGTTCTTTGTTTAGAAAGATACCCACCATCTGCTGAAGAAGCGAAATTAAAAATGCCTAATTATAACAACACCTTCATCATCATCATCATCATCATCATCATCATTGCGATGGAGTCGCAACCCTGATCTGGCTGGGGTGTCGTCATGGTCATACTTGCTCAACGTACGAAGTGCTGCGCACATGCAAAAGAACCCTCACCCGATCATGCTTTTGTGGTCGGTTGCTTGCTTGATTGTATCGACGCCTTCCCTTCTGCCGAAGTAAAATAGATTGGATGTACCGTAGAGGATGCGGTGGCATCGGGGAGGAGAGAAGGGGGGGGGGGGGGGGGGGCACCAATCCCGGTTTCCAGGAGGATGGGACCCCTCTTTCTTCCCGTCTTGCAAGCATGGATCTCAGCGCCACCGAGCTAGTAGGGGTGCGAGCTATACGATTGCTGCTGCCAAGTGCAAAGTAAGTAGAGCTGAGGCGTGGTCATGTGTGGGTGGGTGGATGGGTGGGTGGTTAGTTGGTTGGTTGGTGGTTAGCTAGCTTGGTTTTCCAGGATGAGATACCTTCTTACTCATACTGTACGGAGTACTCCGTTCCTCTCCCGTTGGGCTAGGGTAAAAGGTACGGAATTGGCTGGCTGGCCAGGGAGACGGAGGCTAGGTACGATAGGGTAGGGTAGGTAAGTAAGCTAGGCTGGATGAATGGATGAATGGATGAATGGATGAATGGATGAGTGAGTGGATGATAGTAGGGTCAGACCTTCAAGCTGTACCTCGTACTGTGTACACTGTACAGTATCTAGATAGATACCGCTCTGCCTTCCTCATTTGCAGACAGACAAATCGAGGCGGGCTACATCGACTGGAGGAAGAGGGAAAAAGTTCCCCACCGGATTACTGGATTAGGACACCCCGCAATGGCTGAGGTGGAATTAGGGGAAGGGTCAAGCCGGGCCCTCCAGTGGGTAGCATTTGTGGCGGATGATTGGCCGACCGCTTTTGGGCCAGTTACGCGTTTTTGGGGACGATGTGCCGTGTCAAGGGGGGGCACTCTGCCCAATTGGGTAGTGTACGAGCTGCCGGGATAGGCCTAGGGTCAATCCCTGCAAAGAGGGCAAACCTTAGTTAAGGGCTAAGGCTAAGGCACGGAAAAGTGTGTGTTCGTCCGCTGAGTGAGCGCATGCACCCCCCCCCCCCCCCTCCCCCCCATTCTCCCCCCGACCCCTCCCTAGCCCCTCTTTCTTCTGCCAGTGCCAACCAGCCATCCCCGGTACGGACCACGGAGGACTAAGGGGAGAGGGGCTGACAGCAAATGGAGGCTTGCCGTCCGAGAAAAGCGGTGAGGTCCGGTCTGGTTTGGTCTGGCTGGCTGGCTGGCTGGCTATAGCAACTCCAATCTCAATCTTGGTCGGGGCATGGCGGTTCTAAGGCACGGTTCCGCTGGGAAGCGGATCCGGCGGTCAAGAGGCAAATCAGCCAAGCCGGCACCAGGACTCAAACATCCATCCAGCCCGACTGTCATTTGGTACGACAATCAATCAATCTTGAGTCGCGTCTCAGATGTGGTTGCCGTCACAAAGTACCGTTTGATGATTGAGAGGTGATGGTTTGCCTGACTGACTGGCCCCAACCTCGAGATACGGAATGGCAACTTCATCATTGATTCCTTCAGTCAGAACCGAAACATGCTGGCTTTCCCCAACCTCCAGTCCCATCCCTCAAATCTCGGGGCGCGGGATTATTCTGTTCGGTTTACGCAATGCGCTCCCGCTTGGGCCTCTTCCCTACCTGCCTAAGGTACTCCGTACAGCCCGCATGCCTATTGTCTCCTAGCGATTTCGGCTCTCCTGTTATGGGAACCCCCGGTCCCAGTGTACACCGTCCGGGCGCACCTTCTAACTATACCTACACCACTTGTTCCCCTACAGTCCCTAGTGGAGCAGTCCTGGATGCCCGAGAATTAACATTCGCAACCCCCTCCCAACTTCCCAAGCACGAAGCCACATGAACGCACTGTACATGAGCAAGAGCAAGTAGCCACGCAGTATCTCGAGTATCCGGTTTCCTCTGTCGCTGTTCCATATACATAGTAGAAGTTGGTGTGGTGAAGCGATTGCATCATCGCATCTGCCATCCATCAGCCCCCGAAGTCGGCTTCAATCTCCGGAGTAACATCGACCTCGACTCGACCCTCGACCACTACTGTCCGTGGTCCCGTGCCGAGAAGAGACTATGGAATTCCGTATCTGGGTCGAGAAGGCGAAGCAGCGAGACGCCTTGTCAGAAACTCCGTGGAAAGGGGTGTGTGTGATTGAGACTTCTATTGGCTCAAGACGAACAGATATCACAACTCTATATGGAGTGGCTAAGGAGAAGGGTGGCATGTTGTTGTTGCGAGCCAGACCAGGCGAGGCGGCTTTGTGACGCGCCCGGGGGGGTTGAAACAGCCCTAGGCCCAGATATAGTGCACGAACTAGGAAGGTCGACTACGGAGTAGATAGTTAGTGAGATAGTGAGTGCGACGTGAGAAGGCCTCGTTTCCTCCAATTCATGCCTCCCCCTTCTTCCCCCTTCCAGCGTGCGCCTCATTGATGATGCGTCTCGAAAACAAATCGAAAATGAAAAAGGGCAAGGAGGCCGCGACCGGGTGATTTGTAATTTCCCCCCTCACTGGCCGCGGCCTGCAAACTCCCAACTCCCCCCATCCCAACAGCAACCAGTATCTGGGATACTCTGGGAGGAGGGTGAGAGTTACGCACCCCTTCAGGGCTGTGTGCCTCATGCAGTCAGTACCTTATGGCGGTGGATCCTCGGGGGCGTCAGGAAGCTGGTGGTGGTTATTTAAAGTAGACGCCTCATAACCTTAGTGGTTGATCCCCAGCGCCGCCGGGGCTGCTGGAGACTGGAAACTTGGGTAAGAGGTACCCAGTACCATGTTTCTGCTTTCCTTCGCAGCGCTTCACCTGTCGACCTACCGATTTGCGTAAAAGTGCAATTTGGGAAGCCGGGGCCTGAAGAATCGAGAAGGCGAAAAGTGGGAAAGCTTGGCCTGGCGCTGTCAGCCAGGCTTACCTCGATCGGGTTGAAGGACTATTGATTCTTCACCTGCGATTTAAATCACACTAATCACGCCGGCGGCGATGGTATCTGGACGCTACTGTTCTCTGTGGATACAAAGTAGCTAAGTAAGAGGGGACAGGCAAGAAAGAGTTAGTCAGTTTAACTTTGTTTTTTAATCTTTTTTTTTTTCTATGGTCGTTCTTCATCATCGATCCATGGGCCAGACTTGAGCGTTGGTGGTCCCCTCTGGCAGGACTCGTCCATCCATCGCATGGCCAGCCTCGTGCTAGCCCGGGTGGACTCCCCGACCCACGTTTCTGCGCTGCTTTTGCCGCGCGCCCCTCCCATTGGCGTAGTTCTGAGGGCCCTGTTTCGCACCTGCTCTTTACGGTATGTCGAGGGATGCTGGATCGGGACTTTCCTCTAACTGATATGTAGGCAAGTCAGTTTGAAGGGTCTGAAGTTTTCCGTGGGGAAGACTGTTTTCTTTTCCCTCTGAAACTGACATAGTGCCAGGTGGGTAGTAAGTAGTGCGAGTGTCTAGCAAAAAAAAAGGCGTGTGCATGTATGTCACCACCCAAACCACGCGACAACTGAACCATTGTTCCCCTCAGCTCATGGTTGCCGGGAAACAAACCTAAACCAGTTCGCGCACCATCATCTCCGAGGGGCGCGGGCGGAA